GGTAATAGCAAATAAACTAGGTTAACAGATAGCGACCGAAACAATTAAAACATTATACAGTGGTATACCCGTACATTCAGTCTCGGTTATCGTTAGCATATATGTACATAAATAATCAATGCTATAATAATGATTAATAAAAACTGATAATCGGTTATATAATACTAGTGACGGTTTGTGACTGTGAGTATCTTTAAACGGTTAAGCAGACGACTTCTACATTAACCCGTTAACGCCGGAGTTTTTTTTTCGGAATTTTTTTTTAACACTTTTTTTTGGGGGAATTTTTTTTTTTAATAATTGGTGTCTTGGGTGCTTGTTTCTTATTATTTTTTTAATTATAAAAAAACGTTTTACGGTTGTCTTGAAACTATAACTAAAAAAACTCTGTTTTAAGCTTTGAAGGTATTATAAATACAATTTTTTTTTGTCAGTGCTTGCGCTATAACTTTTTAACCGCCGATTCGGTCGTTTTTACTACTTCTTATTTAGTGGATTCTCGCATTAGGCAGAATTCGCTATTTTTTTTAAATAATGTAGGTGCAGGTTAGTCCAGTTAACTTTCATAAACTATGCCTATAACTCGAAGAAATGTGGTCAACATCCAGTCTAAATATTTTTCGGTTGTTTTCTGAGTATGTATCAGGTGGTTAAAATAAAACATGGCCTGAAATTTAAAATTCGTGTGGTCAGTGTCACTGATCACTAAAAGTAAGTTGCTTGTTCCTTTGAATTTTCGGTCGATTTAGTTTTTTTACACTTGCAAATTCTCATTATTTTTTTTTGAAAGTGATGGTTTTTAATTTCAAATTTATTACTATTTCTAAATCGGTTGTAGCCCTGACTCTATATATTTCTATTGTTAATAATAATTCCGGGTTTCTCCGCTTAGAAATTGAGTTAGTGTTTATATCACTATAAGTCTTGAACTTTACTTAATCTTATTACTTTTAGTAAAATTCTATGTACGCAATTTTGTCTTTGACTTCCGTAAAACGTTGATTTTCATGAAAATACTTTTCTAGTTTTACGATTCTTTGTAGTGTCAAGGTTTAACGATACTTGGCAAAACTGGTAGCTTAATTATTATTATTAAAATTACTATAATATACACAATATGTTCCACAAGTTTCTGGCAAATGATTTTATTATGGTAATTTTTAGTACTAAATCTGACGCAAAAAAATCTTGTTTGAATTAAAATGATTATATAAAAACGTCATTATTTACAAAAATTATTGGTGCAAATATCCAACAAAATTTTTCTTTTTTAGAGGGGTACGAAGCCTGCCTACAAGCCTTAATGATATCGACGATAAACTCGCTAATGAATTTTTGAAAGGCTCTATTAAACCCTTCGAGTCGTACTTTTGCGCGTCTGATTGTCTGACGTCTGTTCTCAACTAGAACATTCTAGCATTATGCTAATAATCGGAACTTCCTCCATTTAAAATGTATGTAAGCCTGACGATTATCGTGATAGTGTATGTATGTGTCATGTGTGTATAATGATTTTCTCCAAAAATCCCTGACTGCAAATAGGCTAGACTTTAGAGAGAATTATTGAGAGTTCTGTACCATTTATTAATATTAAACTCTGGTAACAACGCGTGGCTGTCGAGAGTAATACAATAGTTTCAACTTGATATTCAATGGTATCTACACTATTGTCTATTCTATCAGCAAATCACATTATTTACTATACAATAACTTAAATATATTACATATCATATCCGACGTCCATTAGCACCAAGTATTTTTTTTAAATTTTTTTTTCGGAATTGCTGCTTGCATACTGGTTTTTAACCCACTGTTGCCAGTTGTGACGCCCTACTACAAAAATAGGCTGCGACGAGTTTTGAATGAATAGTGAGAATCAGATACTGAATAGTAGCCGCATGTGTCGTTTGGTGTTCGGTACTGACTTCGTCGCAAGTGCGGTTCACGCGTGTTCATCCACTGCCGGTAATTTGTTTACAGCTGTACGTTACAAATTATACTATAACTATCCATTATAATATGCATAGGATTTGAATTAGTCTAGTTGTGCCACAACGATATCCTCTCTTATTAGGGTATCGTTTTCTTGCGTAAACCTATAGTGTTTTCGCGCCTGGTAAATCGTGTACCGAACACTGCGCAGTACACTCATTGATGTAGCAGTAATTTCAATTTTTTAAACAGAAGTAAATTAAAAAAAACAACAAACTTTAATAATTGGGTGTTAATGGGTTTTCTATATACTTTATTCTTTAGTTTTATAATAAAACAAGTTTTTGGCGAGTACAGTTTACTTTTGTATCATATTGTATATAGACTATATACGTGTACTAGGTATATTATTTATAAAATCATCAATTCGCAATAATAGTAAGGTGAGTGTAGTATAGTGTAGGTATGCCGGTATCATGAAAACAACATGTGTTCTGACAATAATTACTTTTCTAGTAGGTATTCTTTCTGGTTGCTTATATATATTTCAAATTGTGTATTGTTCATTATCAAAAAGTTCGAATGTTTAAAGCTGGTCACACACGGAGCGGTTTAGCCGCGCGCGGTCGCGGATAAAAACCGCGGCGGTTTGCCGCCGTTAATTGAACCGTCGTATTTCAATGGGTTTATTCACACATAAAACCCGCACCGCTGATATCAGCGGTCAACCGCTAAAATTGTCCCTTGCGCGATTTTCGGCTCGACGACCGCGTCCGCCCATCATAATTAAACTGCATATTTTCAATAGACGTATTCATACATAGCGGTTTGACCGCAGCGATTTGTGAGCGGATCCTAGATTATCATATTATTATTGATATTATATTTATTATTTATACGCCAGTGCCTCAAAAACCGCAGGGGCAGTAGTTGCAATGCCCCGGTAAAGGGGCCTCTTGGAGTTGGGCTAGGGGCCCCCCCTTCATCTGGGTCATTGCATTATATTCTCACATTTAAATCAAATAAATATTGTATTAAAATTATTGAATACATTTATTTAGTGTCAGATATTGACTTAATGAAAACATTTTAATTTCTATTAATTTCTATGTAAATAAATTTTAATATAATATTAATTATATACTTTAATTAATTATGTCTTTTGACACTGAAAAATAGTATAATACTGAAAATATTTTATAAATTATAAAACCGCATTAATAAACCGCGTTTAATCCGCTCCGTGTGTAAGTGCATAGCGGTTGCGGTCGCGGATAAAAACTAATTATTAAGAAAAACAATTTAGAGTCCCATAATTTTACTGAAAAAAGAAATAAGGAAATATTTGGTTTTAAATCATTTTTTCCTTGTGTAACAGTATTCAATTGACAATCGATTGGTGTCTTAATTATTTTAATTTATATTTATATTGATTACACCTATCACAACCAGTAAATACACTCACCTGAAGAAACATAAACTAAGTACAATTATGAAATATTATGTTAAACGCACACACAATAGTGGAATAATTTTTTTATTTTTTATTTTTTATTAATTGCTTTTGTAGTTACACATTATAGTACACTATGAACAATTTATTAATGTATGTAATCTAGTATTTATCAATAACAAGATAAAATATAGAAAAGGCCAGCCGTGCTGTATTGGCGATTCTTAATGCGATAAATGTAACCACGTGGTGTGCACGAATTTAGTCTAATAATTTAGCTTTCGTTAACTATATGGTTTTTTTAATATTTTGTTTTACAAATTTGTTTTGTATGCAAACGATATGCAGGTGTAGACGTGTGGTCGTCAGCAAAATTATAGTGTTATTCATGGTATACAAATCATACTGAACAAACGACAAAAAAGTTATTATAACTGCGTAATTAATGACATTTCATGGAGTCAATGAAAATTAAACGTACATAGTACACTCGGAATTCCGTAATGTGTGTGTGTGTGACGCGTATAGTGTGTATATTACCAAAGTAAAACAGTAAAACTAAAAATAAAAATAAATATTTTGAATATTATTACAGGATTTTATAGAAACGTGAAAACATAGTTCATATGTGGTTAGAAATTGACTTAACATCCCTACGGTGTATCACGAATTAAAATTAATAAATAAATTATGTATTCCGAAAAATTTAACAACTCCGAAAGCAATACTTTTTTGCCTTCATAATAAAACAATTTTTATTATGCCTGGTGATTCTTTATATACTCTATTATACTTTTCTTTTAAAGCAATTTTTTTAGTTTATCATTTTGAATACAATTTTGCTTACTATTCTAATATCTTACAATATCAGACAAATTAAAATTTTTATATTTTTCATATTGTCTTATGAAATATTCCTCCTGTTTTAATTGTTGAAGCTTAATAAATAATTACTTACTATGACGTTGTTGCCATTTAAGCTTTAAAAGTTGCTAAAGCTCTGAAAAATACTAATAAATATAAAAATTTTGAGTTTTGTCTAATATTGTGAAATAACAAAAATGTTTCCAAAAATAAAAACTAAAAAATTACAATAATTTTAATAGAAAACTAGTGTAAGGCGTTAATAGAATCACCCGGTATAGTAAGTCAATGATGCAAAAATTATAAAAAACATTTTTTTTTAGTAGCCTTTATTAGATAGTATGATAATATGATGGCTCAACAATTATTACATAATTATATTATTTTAAAAACAAGTTTTTATAATAAATAAAAAAAATTAACAAAAATCACCATTTACAAAAAAGTATTTTTCAAGTTATTTAATAAGTACGTGTGGTTTAGATCTTCATAATTTATGGATTTTATTTTTCCTTCCCCTAAATTTTAGTTTACAGGTGCCCTTGACCTTATGTAGTGGTCGTGAAACCCTGTAACTATTTGGACATAAACTATAATTGAGCAAATAGATAAATTTTGTGTATGATATAATTATTCATTTAAATGTAACAACGAATGTTATTATTTTATGCTCCATAATTTTATTTCGGTATTTGTCGTTTTCGAAAATAATATTTTTGAAGTTGTAATTTTTGTTTCTTTTTTTTTTTAGATAGTTTGCGTATTTGATCATAAATTTGTGTCGTATTATTAATCAACCATTATGGACGTCCCGGAAAGTCAAATTCTGGGGAAAAAACGCAAGCTATGCTTTAGGAGCCTACAAGGTAATTCACCTCGTCTTGAGGTCAGAAATTATAAGTAGTCAACTTCAATAAAATGAATTTGCATGTTTTACCCTATAGACATGATACCGGCTCGTGCGGTGTTATACTTGATGTCGTTTAGCGGCTTTCTAGTCAGCTTTATGATGCGAACCGACATTAACATTGCAATGGTGGCTATGGCGAAAATGAGGCCGCGGCCAGAAAATTCTTCGTCAAACGCTACCGAACTCTACAGTTGTTATTCACCGGCCGTTAACAATACTCAAGCCGTTGTCGAGAACAAAGTACCGATGGTAAGTAATACGTGTATGGATTTTTACATTGTAACAGTGGCAACGAAGTATGCAAAAATATAAGGTCGGAAATTCCAAAATTCTACCGGTCTCAAACTTAATAGACCAGGTTCCTTGTATTAGCCCAACTAGTAGCCCTCGTCTTTAGCACTAATTCTGTTATTGCAGGTCACAAAACTAAAGAACTGAATGGACTTATTTTGATTTTAATATTTTAATAATTATCAAATATTACGTTTGTACTTTAGTATAAAGCACACAAAATAGTAAATGTTCGAAAACATAATTTGTGTGACTTTAAATGTAATGAAACTAACGGTTTTATATACATATGCATGGTACCCGGGTAAAGTTTTTAAATGAATACAAAAGAATTGAATAAAGTTTAATAATTTTGGGATAAAGATCAGGCTTTGTTGGTTTTGTTCATAGGAAGAAGGTGAATTCGACTGGGATTCTACCGTTCAATCGGCCATTCTCGGTTCATTCTATTGGTGTTACATATTGTCCCAAGTGGTCGGTGGTGTTCTGACGCAAAGGTTTGGCACCAAAACGGTGTTTGGGTTTTCGCAGTTAACCACGGCTATAGCTTCCTTGCTCATGCCGCAAGCAGCTTCATTCCATTATGCCGCCGTTATCGCCTTGAGATCGCTTCAAGGAATGGCTTCGGTAAGTATACAGTTTTAAAAACTGTATTATGGTCACTTGTCAGGGGACAAATTATAATAGTGGAGTGGAATTCAAACAGCGCAATTGTATAATATGCTGAAACCCAGTACAGTATATACGTTGTTGAATATTAAATTATTTCTGCTACAGAGTTGCAGACGCGTATAACGATCTATTATTTTATTCAGGGACTTACTTGGCCGGCGATGTACGCGCTTGTCGGTATATGGATACCTTCCAACGAACGAAGCAGGTTTATGTCATCCTTCCAAGGTATGAATTTGTTTTAGATTACATCGGACGCTTTAAATAGGATAAGAAAATGTGCCAGTTAGGAAATACATACTTAATTAAAGGTCACTCCAAAAGCGGAATAAACCGGGGGTTTTATTTAAAAATCTAGTATTATTATGCAATCGATATCGAACCATACACGTTCTCCATATTTCTGAACCCTTGAAATGTTTAAAACGATTTTTTCTGGTGGCATGCCAATTCGGGTGGTGCCTATTGAGTTAAGAAACTTCGTACAAGCATTTGGCATAGAGCGTCCTTCAAATTGTATTTTGTTGTAAATGTTACATTCTGACTGCATTAGGTATTCTTACTAACCTCCTTAAAAAAAAAAAAAAATCACACTAGTTAATTTATCGATTCTCTAGCTACATGTATAATAAGAAACTGTAGATAGTAGTAGTTGTTTTCTAATAAAGATAAACTAGTTGTCTGTAAATTAGTTTTAATTTACATTAACCAACCGATTATGTAATCAGGAAAACCATTATAGAAGTTAAACTGTCAAACGTAAATAACTAAAATAACATTAATTTATTATATAACAAACAAATTATGATTTTAATAATGTATTCAATTTATGCATATCGTTTGAATTTTGACAATGTTCCAATTCTCTGTTTGTTTGTATAATATTTTGAAACGATCAAGTCAAAAAAAAAACACTGACAATCAATCCCGACCATGTTGTTTTATTATAAGTAAATAAAAATTGAATTTTAAGTAGAAAATGACGGAGGTGTGAGTTTGGTGTAGACGTGCAGATTGGGAGGTCGCTACGGGTAAACACGTATACTTATCTACCTGTCTATTTGTGATATCTGTGTAACTGGCGTCTAGGTTAGGTGGTAATTGAGCTGTTGCCTGGGTGACAGGGTTTAGCTTCGGGATCGGACTGACGTATATGGTGTGTGGATTCATCATTGGCAACTATGGATGGCGAGTGGTGTTCTACATGAACGGGACGTTGGGTGTGGTCTGGTGTTTGCTGTGGTGGTTGCTGGCTTTCGATTTGCCTCACAAACACCCGAGGATAACGAGACGTGAGCTAAACTACATCAACGCCAATATTGGTGACAACATCATTAGCCCAAAAGTGAGTGGACTATAATCATTATCAATAGTCATTTACATCCTTTGACATTCGGTTATAGGATCCCCCATTGTCACAGGTCTCCAGGTGGTCAGAAGTTGATGACAATTTGTCTACAGCCTTCTCCTTCTGGGGCGTTTTTTTTTGTTTATACCCGATGATTAAGTATATAAATAATGTACAAAAAAATACAATATGAATCGGTCGCCTGTGACCGTGGGAATCTATAACAGCTTGACCACGTTACACGTTTCTATACAATCGTCATTTCAGGACTTGAAAGTACCTTGGTGCTCAATCATGACGTCCATTCCGGCTTGGTCAATCGGTATAACGACGTTTGGCCGGATTTGGGTACATTACACGTTTATCATATACGGTCCTTCTTACATGAAAACAATACTGGGATTCAGTATACAAAAGGTTGGTCAATCTTAAATGTTTCCTATTTACTGGCAGTGGTGCAACCAGCATTTTTTACCCGCCAGAAAGATGTCTCCAATAAACTATGAATTTGTTGGTCGGGCAAGCGCTGCTGACCTCGCTAGTTCAGGCGCTCAATTCGTTGCGCCACTGCCGAGTACCGATTCCGTAGAATAATAGAATTAATGGAAATTTTCGTTTCAATTCTTAATGTCGCCTAAGAATCTGTAATATTTGAGGTTATGCTGGTTTTCTGTTTAATAGAATGGATTCATGAACGGAGCGCCGTTTTTGTGCAGCTACTTGTCTTCGGTTGTGTTTTGTTACATGGCCGATTACATAATAACCCGAAATCTCATGAGTCTAACCAACGTGCGCAAAATGTTCACGGCTGTGTGTAAGTGATTTTGTTTAGCTTTTTTGATATTGATCGCCGTCGTCGTGTTAAAATCGAAATGTCCTCGTTTAGCTCAAGTCTTACCTGGCTTGCTGGTGTTGACCATCAGCTACATGGGATGTGAAATCACGTTGATATTGGTCATATGGTTCATAGCCGTCACACTTATTACCGCTTCATATGCCGGTGCCATGGCTAACGTGGTCGACATCGCGCCAAACTTTGCTGGGCCAATACTAGCATTCGCCCAAACCATACACATGTCTGCAAGTTTTTTGTCGCCTTTAGCGGCCGCCATTATTCTTCAGGATAACGTAAGTACATCTATTTTTTTTTTTCGAGGGGGAGACTCGAGTAACTTTATCGAACTTCAGGCGTCACATGTGATAGAGCATACCCCAGGGGCGTCATTTTATTTGCGATCCCTTATCGTTTCACTACTTTTATTTATGTCGTTCACACTATAGTCATTATTTTTATCATTATGCTGTTCAACATAATCTTTTTGAGCATTCAAATGTATGTTAGTTTCTAAACTACTGTTACAGTTAGTGTAGGATCATAGTCAATATTCTTTATTTCAAAAATATCTCTTTTATTTATAATAAAATAAAACCCATAAAATTTAACTCGCAGATAATTAATAATTGGGTCATTAGAAAAATATATAATTAGTTACCACTTTTGCCAAATTGTATATGTCACTAAAGGTCATTTTTCTTAACCAGTTTGTTATCATATCTTTTCAACTTACTTTAAACCTGTAACCTCCTCTTAGACTGTAGTCTGCAAACCTAGGAAATGTTTGGTTTAGAGGAGCGGGCGAGTGACCAATACCCGGCCACCTGCCTTTCGTATCAGTACAAAATCCACCCACTGACAGGAAACCCTTAATAGACATAAGTAATTTATGCAATTTGGGAAAAGTGGTACAACCCCTTAAAAGTTATGATAAACAAAATAATATCACAATATTAAATGGTAACGATAACGGGATATCAGTGAGAATTAAATAATAACGTTTTTATTATTCATTGACTATAAAAAAAAAACCACAGCCGCTTTACAGTTAACGTTCACGGTGGTTTATAGACTACAGTGACGTAGTTTCTTACCAAAAATCAGAACTAAAGTTTAGAAAAAATAATATATTTTATATTTATACATTAGGCTAATAAGCTGTAGATCGAAATACTATAGTATGATGGAATTTTAGGTATGCAAATGTATACTCTGCTTACCGCTAATGACGCCCCTCGCGTACCCTTGACTTTGTCAAGCGAACCGGCAGGAGGTTGAGTTTTAAATGAATGACACTGTCATTGTTTATCAAAATATTTATTTTAGCTTCGATGCGGAGCTGAGACGTATTCTTTTAACAATGATGCGTTTTTATTTTTATATTAAACGATTTCGTTGATATCAAAATTTAAACTTATACTCGTATATAATATACAATTATAAAAATGTATTTTTATAATAAACAATATTATTTAAAATAAAAATAAAAATTGAGCGATTCCAATTAGTAATTCCTGATTGGTCCAAAATACTTAACAAATTCACTCTAAAATTGTTTTTAGAAGTGTTCCCCCCGGGATTTCAATGTCATTTTTGCATTCTATGGTAATTTATGTCAAAAACTTAGACAAATACCAAGTCCCAGGAAAAGTTTTTTGAATAATTCCTGTTCAGTACTTTGGACTAATTAAAAATTATTAGTTAGGATTACTCAATTATTATTTCTATTTAAAATAAAAAATATTTTAATAAAAATATATTTTTCATATTTTTGGTGTTTAAAAATTAAATTATTTTTTGTTTAAATCGTGAGATCAGCGAAATATTTATTTTTACTTTTTACATTGGTGGTCCCAATAAAATTATATTAAACAAAAATTTTAATTTAAATCATTGATTTTAATATTTGTATTATTTGGTCATTTGGGCACTACGATTGGTATTTTGAAGACTGCGGCGCGTGTTATCATCGTTCAATTCAGTTGTAATTTGACATACTCGCGTTTTTAAGCTAATAAACAAATTGAGGGGGTACCAGTTTCAAAAAATATTAAATAAGTGAAAATTCGAACTATCCTAGCCCCCCCCCCCCCATGTCCCTACTCTACTGCGATGGCATTTTAGTTTCGAAATACTAACTAAGGGAGAGAAAATGTCCTTACTCCGGTACAAGCTAACCTCCCCAAGGGTAATGGGTATGCTGCTCTGACACTTGTTAAACATAACATTATAGTATCTGTATTTGAACGCATTCGCTTTGTGTTTAGCCAACGCTGGAGAGGTGGCGCAGAATATTTGCTGTGACCGCATGTGTGGCTTGCGGCACTTATGTCATGTACCAGTTTGGAGGTACGGCCAAGGAACAAGTATGGAACAATCCAAACCGGAAAAATAATTCAGGGTCCGTGCGGGTGTCACCCGAAGACAACCAACTGATATCGAACAGCAAAAACGACCCGGAGAGAGGGGACGGTTAGAGGTTTGGCAACGGCGGTCCCGAGGCTACGAAAACAGTATAATATGGCGTAAATAGGTCCCCCGTACAAAGGGGTACAACAATTCAAATTATTTTTTATGATCGTTATTATTGTGATATACTTAAACCTTTAAACAAAAAGAAGACAAACATTAGCGCGCCCGTCTATTGAACCGGGCCACAAGCAAATCTCATCATTCCAAACAACACAGTGTTCTAAACATACAACTTGTATATTTTATTATAATTTTAAAAAACAAATTCATCTTTTGTAACCTTAGGATTTTTAAGTTGCGACCTTGTGTCCTCAAATACGAATTAAGTAGTGTAGATCTTTCAATCAATTACTATATAATACACCTATGTTTTATGTGAGTAATATTATTAATATTTACCTATATATTTATATATATATATATACAATAATATGATGTATAGTTGTTTAATTTGTACGATTTCCGTGGCTTTAGAAAATATGTGCAAGTTATTATGAAAAAATACTTGAATTCTTAACAAAACACAAATCATTGAACAAGTGGCTGAGAATAAGAAGTTGTATCTAGACTAATTATTTAGATAACTATCATCTTAGCCGTAATCTAATTTACAACTTGGTCTAAGCTTGTGATAATATTAATAGTTGAAATGTTATTTTAATAGAAACGTAGAACCAAATGAAATGTGCCTTACCAGAACTTTTCTGTCTTATAGTAATGAAAATGTACAGTAAATACATGTGATCACACTAGAAATTTTTTATATTTTAGTGGCATTCTTTAAATTGTTGTTAGTAACAAAGAATAACTGAGCTATTCAATAATAGATAATTTATGACATTAAAAACACCTAATTATTTATTAACTTTTACTCTCGATCTTGTTTTTTTATGTTCGAATAATATTTGATTAGAGGAAGAACAGAAGTATTTAAACAAAATTACCTCTACTCAATTCTTATTAATAACACGATATGATTTTTGTCTAGTGAATAAGTTATGATCATTATGTATAAACTGATTTTTATAAGAGCAAAATGTAGATTATGTAGCCTATAGTTTAGAGCTATGAAATTATGCTTGTTTTAGATTTTTTTATTTTTATAAAAAAAAAATCCAAATAGGCCTGAAAAGAATGTAAACGTAACAGCCAAATGATTAATTTAAATGAAATATATATATATATACTGATACACATCTAATAACTGAAAGAATTGATTGAGTATTATATTATATTGTTTCGATTTATGATTTTTGACTAGTTATTTACCTTTTAGAATATACTCATTACCTAGGTAGGTACTCAATTATACCTATACTAGCCTTACACAGATCATGATTTTATCAAAATATTATAATTAAAAAATACATAATATACATACCTAAAACTAATTTTTTCTTCATTATTATATATTACTAAACAAAATCGAGTCTTCCATAATTACCAAATTTGTTCGATTAGATAGCTAAAACTAAAACCCAATTACAGTTAATGCAAATTAAATTTCATCTTCAATTATTTAACACGAATGTATAAATAATTAACTTCAATATGAAAATATGCAGTTATTTTTTTTAAATATAGGCACCTATTAATTTAGGATTATACAGGGATCAGTAGCAAAACCAGTTAGTGTTAAATAATAATTAATAACTACTAGTAAACTATTTTTAACAGTAGATTTAATGGAATAGTTGTATACAAATAGTTACATTTGAACAGTAATGTTAGAACATAATATAATAGTAGTTTTCAGTAAATAAATTTATTGTTTTCTTCGATTTAATTTGTTATTGCAGCCTTCTTATTTTGTTTCCTTGCTTCTTTCTGACAACCGTTTATGGTCAATAATGCCTTTTTTTTTTTTTTTACACATTTTCAAACTACATAGCTGAAGCCAAATGGTTACTCTCAAGTCATATGATAAGTGATAACCTTTAATAATTTTTTTTAAGACAGTATTTTAATATATTTCTGTAATTCTTTCTTTAGGGAAGTTTCATACAATTTATTTTTTATCGATAAAGTATAAAGTATAAATGTGTTTTGCGCCAAATTACAAAACATCAACTCTTACGGCTGAGATCTGAATTTAATCTAAGTTTAAATTCATTTGAAAAATTAGTTAATCATCCTTTTTTATTCTGCTATACGTTATAGATCGTCGTTTACAGAAGTCTTTAAAGGAAATACAATTTTTATTTTTTCATGCACAATTTCTATTGTTTAAAACTGTTCTCTACTTTTAACTTTTTTCTTTAGTTAATTTATTTTTTAAATATTGGTTATATTATCTACTTATAATCTATCTCAAACTTATTGACGAAAATTTATCTAAAAATCCTTATACTCTGTAGTGCAAAACCAAACAATTATTTTGAAAAGAGATGTTTTTTATATGAATTCCTATATTGAATTGAAAAAAAAAAATTCTTGTAATTCCTTAATACAATGGAAAATGAAACATTTCTATTGGTAATTATTATTAGCGTTAAAATCATTTTTAATTAATAGTAAAGTATATTATATTAGTGTGTACTGTAATTATAGAAACTTAAAAATATTAAAGTAAACGTCAAAAATTTAAATCACTTTTAAGACAAAAATTTAAAATGTGTTGGAATCACTTTAACATTTGTTATAGTATACAGGGACTTGGCAAAAGTTTGTTAATGTGTGTAATGCACCACAAACTTTTGATGGACCTTGTAAATTATTAATTTAGAGATTTCATGATCAAAAAATTTCGACACTCCATCAGAAAAACTGCACGTTTTAACTGTTAACAAAAAACAACATTTTCGATTGGATAAAACAATGAGCTGAAGTATTGTTTTTTGTTCGGCAAACTTAATGTGCCGTTATTTGTAAGGTGCGTCAATATATTTAATTACTCTTATGTTTGTAATGTTACAATGTTTTCAAACCACTATATAAGTGTTAGTTACAGAATGTTCTCAAAACAGAATACAAAACTTTCATGACTTTAATAGTACATTTTTATGCCAATTTTTTAATATGTTTACCTAGTAAAAACTATATTATATATTTTGTTTAGTTTGATTTACTATTTAATTAGTTAAACTCGTACAATTGTTTTATATACACTAGTCTAGCAGAGTACACAAAATAACTTGCAAGAGTTTTGACCTTAATTACCATAGTTTAAGTAATAGGTATGTAATTTAAAATACAACCTACTTCCAAGGTATTAAACAAAAAACATTAAGCATATATTATGTTTGAGAACTATTATTGTATAATTAACCGCAATATTGTATGTAGTATATTATTGAATAAACAATTTATTTAAAGAAAATAATTTAACTAAAAAAGGTTTGTTATATCAATATCAAAAATGATCATCTATAGACACACTAATCATTATGTGAATTAGGTATACGGCATACTTTTCTAAATTTTTATAGTATGTGTCGCTTCAATAAATAAATTAGAATATAATTATTTTAATATATTGTTTTTACTATGGTAAAATCATTGTTTAATGCTTTCAATAAGTAGCTTGCTTTTAGAAAGGATTCCTAAAAATAAAAATAAATAGATTGTTATTTTACAATAATAATTTCTAAATAATATTAATTATAACAGTACCTTTATCTTCAAAACAGCTAAACAAAGGGTCACCTTCTTTTATAACAAAATTCATAGTGGATGATTGGTAGTAATCACCTAGCAGTTCAATATTGTTTATAACTGTTGAAAGTAAGTGTGCTTTTTCAGTATTTATTCCTGTAATCAGTAATGTTATTATAAATAAAATAATAAATAATAATTTAAAAAAAAAAAACAATATTTCTTGTTTCAGTGTTAATAATTAGTTAACATAATATTTACCTGGTGGAATATGCATTAAATATGTAAAATGCACGTGAAAATGATAAAATGAAGGTTGGTAATGTACATAAATACGTAATTGTGATAAAGGAACGCCATACAACCTATAAATAGCAGCCTAAAATACCAAATAAATAGAACTAGATACATTTTTGTTATTTATAAATAATAATATTATTAACTATTTACCGTTCCTTTGTTTAAAATATTTTTTAAAAGCGGTAAATGTTTCGACGTTAAATCTCTCAACGATTTTATATTTCTTCTTTTTATAATAGCTAATAAATAAAGCTCGTCTAATTTTCCAGACCACTTTAAGTCTGGTATAAGTAAAAATCCATTAAGATTATCATCTTTATCTTTTTCGCATGCAGTATCATATTTAATTCTTTCTTTTTCAGATGTGTATTCCAAACAGTTATAAACCCACTATGTAAAAATGTTTATTAATGGGCAATAATAATCATTTAAGAAATTGAAATAATAATAAAACTAACTTGTAAAGATAAACTATTATCTAATATGAAAGGAAGTGTTATTTCTTGATACATTTCTTTAGTCTCTTGAACTATGTACAAAGGTTGACTGGAAAACTTTAAAATATGTTTTTGGGTCGCTGGGTGTATTAAATCCATTTTGTTGGAAGAGATATTTTCTAAAATATAATTATTGTAGACAAATTATTAAGTATTACTTTATTAAATATTATTAATAGTTCTTACCATTATATTGAGGCACACAAGTAAATGATTTGTAGACATCATTTTCAACATCTTTAGTGAATTTGGTACCAGAACTACATACATTCATTATTGAAGCTTTGTCAAAAGCGTACTTTTCCATTACAATAACTGCCGGTTTGGAGCACCCATTAAAATTTCCTTCAACAGCTACCATCTTGCGCTGAGTGTCATTCATTAAAATCCTTTTAAATTGAAATTTACTAAAATCTGGCTGTTCTGACATCTTAAGATCAATTTTTAATGGTCAAAATACTAAAACAAATACAATAAGCTTAAAAACAAAAATTGTATTACGTGTTTAAAATAATGGGCCGTACAATATCAATAATTTTATATTATAAAATACTTACAACAGTAATAAGCTAACTAGTATTTTAGAGACTTATTATAATATTGAGTCTCAATGTACTATATTTAATAATTAGCTTGGTAATAACTAACTAAAGTGTAATTTTCAAAATAACTAATTCTATACCTATAATATTAAGGTCTAATCGTTAAATATTTAATAAAATTATATAAAAAAATATTTAGTATTAAGTAAAATTTTTTAAAAAAGTTTCAGTTATCTTATCACTGTCTATAATATTATATGTTAGTTTTTTTGATAAGTGATAACCCTCTCCACCACGCCCATCGAGATAAAGAATACTATACATCACGATTTAAGATAATATGGTTGCCCAACGAGCCCTGATAATGTGACCGCCAAACTGTCTTCGCTGAGAATTGCTATGTGCAAATCACTCCTAGCGCTTTTAGCGGACAAACCACAAAACCAGCATTACCACTCTTAAGAATATTTAGCTTTTTTTTTATTGACGCCTACAGCCTGTATAACAATCACGATTTAAAATAATTATTATCATTGTGGATTTATAAATCCACCTTGGTGTAAATACTAATACTGATTTGACACTTATCTAATGGTTTTAAATAAAAGTAATAAAAAGTAAAATTAAAAATATAATACATAGCATTATATAAATGTTAATTTTATAATACCCCTAATTGGTTCAACATTGTCCTATTCGTAGAAGCACCGTCACGTGTAAGACCAATAACTTGCCCTCCAGAATCCTCTATTAACATTATAGCTTTTAGTATAAGCTTCGCTAAATCAACACCTTCATAAAAAAAAAAATACAATACTATTTCAGCATTTATAGAAACTTTTTCTTGTAGCCAAGTATTCAGTAGTTCTACAACCAATAACTTTTTTTTCAAAAGCATTCTTTTGAAAATGAGAAAAATTGATTTAGTTTATTAACTTAATTTTAAATTTAGCATACAGATTAGATAAATAGTTAACCTTTGACTGTTCCATGTGAGGCAAATACAGCAATAGGCTGGTCTACATTTTCTGCTATACTTTGCCACATTAAGACCAATGCATGATTTGCTTTATTGGAACCCTCAATATTTATGGTTATGAATTATACCTACCTCATATTTGCTTTTAGTACACTTATGCATTTTACATGTCTCCACTGGTCAAAATAATTAATGAATTGTAGTCCAAATTTTGATTTTATAGAACTATATTTACACTACCTATCTAAATCTATTCCTTGATAGACTTTAATTTTGTCAAATAATTGTATTATATCTTCTAGTTCTTCAATGGACTTAAGTTTAAAATTAGACTCTATATCAATGTCTGATATTGTAAGTGTTAAGGGGAATTGCGGCTACCTAAGTAAGAATTAAAATATCTTCGGAACTATAAGTCCAGAAATTTCGTTATTTCTTGAAATCGTACTATCGAGTTCTTTTTCGAAAATAATATTCCAACTTAATTGATAACAATTAACCATATCCGGTTATGTAATACTATTTTTTTACACCCCCCTCCCCCCCCCAGAGCAAGATTTAATGTACGCCACTGGTTATATAGAAGCGTGCTAAAGTGTATTCACTCAAATGGATAAGGCTCCGTTTATTAAGTCAGAGGCATTATTATACATTTTTCCTAAATAACTCCCCGATCCCTGTTTTAATATACCCTACTTTATAAGTCCCTTTAGTTACCATAGAATAAGCTTTATCTTGTAAAAATATCTAGTTTCACTTATGGTTTTATAGGAAACTACATTTTTTTAAAGAAATTTTCGTTATTCTTTATAACAAATTATTCTTTAGACCTTCAACAACTATAAACTCAATTTGAAAAAACTTCTCTGGTGCTTAAAATTCGATATAGGAGGGGGGAGGGAGGGGTTGAGAACAATTTTTTCTTGTACATAATACGAGTTAAAATATTATATATCGTATAGAATAATTTCATATATATTGTTATAAAAGGATAGTCATCGTTCGACTATAAACGTCTTTTGTGGTATAGGAATTTGAATAAATAATACATTTAATTAGACTACATATACGAATATTGTGGTTTTTTAAATAATATATAATCTATAGTCCTGTAATATATTTATATTTAGCAATAAAAATGACAGTAACGTATAATAATATGTAAAAAACCCTATTAGCTCCATGTAAAAGTCGGCCTCCGGGAGAATGGTGGCGCTATCTACGTGACAAAATTGTACTACCAAAATGCCGTAATTTCTTGACCCACTGATTTGGTTGGAGTGGCATCACCTTATCTTTTCTACATCGTGCATAGACCTATAATCTTTATAGGTCTATGTATAACACACATTAATCCCACCAGAATGGCGGACCGTCGGCTTCAATTCTTATCGCTAGTTAGCAATCTAGTTTATTATATATATCTGTGACCTTGTACTACTAGACGGAGCATGCATATAGTTCCAGCGAGCCAATTTTTTATTACTAGATCGCAGGACAGCGCGAGCAAAATTTTATCGGAAATCACGACTACTGGCGCCTGTCCGGAGTTTTAAATGCAGAGTTGAACGTGTTAAGTAATAAGTGTGTTATAATATTGTAATAAGTAATAACTATTTATAATAATATAGTTACTTGTTATAAATAAAACAAAATAATGTTGTACAGTTCATTAAACAATATTTAATGAAGTATAATTTATACTTCTTGCAGTGGCATCACTGCTACGACAATAGCCGTGCTCGCACCACCCGCCCGCATCCTACCCGGATGCTCCGTCTAGCAGTATAAGGACTATGATGAGAATATTATAAAAGCATTGATTAAATATTTAATCAATGGTTCAGTTAACCAAATTGCAATACAATCGCAGTTGAATCAAACCACTGAAATCTGAACTCAATATTGAGTCCAAACCGTTTTAACGCTATCATACAAACGTATTAATGGTAATATCAAGGTGGATTTATCCACCTTGGGTAATATTTTACCGGCCGGGTCGCCGGTAAAAAAATGTTGGCTGCACTGTTTTACAAATTGATAACTGAAATTTGTCAGGACTCGGGCCACAAAGTTAATTTCCTATTGTATAAGTAAAATTAAAAAGAAAAAATGTGAAAAGCATTATTTATGCAAAATTTTGAGTTTAGAATTCGTATATTTTTGATATTGAAATTCATTAGCAAATTATATATGTCACTATGTTAAACAACTTTAGATCAGTTATACGAAGCTTTGCAAATCGTAAGAAAACAATTTTTTTATAAGATAAATATTATATTTTTTCTTTATTTTTAAGATAAGTTAAAATATTCAGTTACAATAGTTTCATGCTGTTTTGGATTTAATATTGATTTGCATTTATCATTGATTAAATATAGTAATTGTATTTTGCTTTTTTGTTTTGATTATATTAAAATCATTGCAGTATATTTTTAAACAAATTGTACTATTAGAACTTGCACCTCATTCAAATTTTCATTTGAAATCAAATCGAACAAAGTAGCATACAATTACATTATCAATTGAATATTTCCAAGTTTAATTGCATGCAATAAAAAACTTCCTTTAAAAGAAAATAATTTAAGCAACTATAAATCAAATGTAACTTCTTATACCTACATTTAAAAAAAATTAAAACAACTTGTATGTTTCTAATTGCTTTCTAATTGTTTTGTTTATTCATTTACAGTTACAATTGCTGCTGATAGAGTATCAAACGCTCGATTGATTTGTTCTATTAATCAATCACCTTTACAGCCACCGAATTTTCCGATTTCTATTTATGTACCTACTGTACCATTAAAACAAATTATAGAAAAACATACTCCTTGTATTCCTTTGAGAATCCCATGTCCTTCAAAACCACTTACAATTGTTGATCCCTTCAGTGAAAATGCAAATGAAATTCAAGCAGCTAGGCTGATTGTCATTCGACGTAAAAAAATGAAAAAACACAAGTTAAGGAAGTTACGTAAACGTATGAAGTATGTTTGGGCCAAAGTACGCCAGAAGAGAGAGATGAGAAAGGAGAAGGCCTTTCAAGCTGAACTTTTAACACAGGTTACTTCTTGAGTATTAACTAACATATTTACAGTGTTTTTATTTTATATTGCTTTTATAACAGGTTAAAGAAGCAGAAAAGTTTAGCCCCGTTGAATATGTACAAGAAAAGCTGAATGTTGTCAACATGACGATACTGCCAAATAGATGGAGGGGTAAACGCTTGCCTGAATTTGTCATTAAGGATTTAATCGCTAAAGCTCAAGCTAAAAAGCAGGCTAAATTAGAAGCTAAAGATAGAAAAGAAAAACTTTTGGCTAATTACAAACCGACATGATTTTTAAAAGCTTATAAATATTAGTTCTTTTGATATTATAATAAATGTGTTATATAACTTAGTTTTCAAACTTTATCATATTTATTATAATTTATACTGTTGTTGACCTAAATTGTGTTAGCTATTTTTTGTAAATGTTAATTTAAAGCTACAATAATGATGTATAGTAGTGTAGTCATGACAATTTTTTATTAAAAGTTAGACCCAGAGAGAGGTGCAGGTGGCCATTTCTCCACCGAGACAGTTGCCCACCCAGAGGAACAAAACACCAGTGGCCAAGGTTCGAACAGGTGACCGTGTGTTAGTACACTGCCGCCTTATCTCTGCTACCCGCCTGCCCCTGAAACTAATTAATTGACTAAAACGGAAAACCTAAATTTTATTTAAGTTTTAACATTTCTTAAATTTAAAAAAAGCTATCAGATTTTTCTCCTGATATTTTATAACTTGCAATAATTTAAAAACAGTCAAATACTTACAATAAATCATGAATATAATATGTTCATTAAATGTCTATTAAATTAATTAAATATTTTAAATAAGGTTTTCCAATTTAGTTTAGTTCAGAACATCAGTCAACACTAGTAATAATATGAGAAATTCAACATGTATAATATAATTCATTTAACATAAATTAGAATAATTGCAATTTGTGATAAATCAAGATATCAAAGGAATAATAAAACAAGTATTAGTACTTGTACTTATGCAAAAAAATATAGTTGTAATTCACCATTCATTTTACTTAATAAATGCTCACTAAACTAAACATTAATATTAATTGAAATAGTAATTATCAGTTCCATCTTTCATCCTAAGGGCACGTGGACACAAACCTAGGGCCTCCAAATATAATTAAAGAACTATTTAAAAAAATATTAAGAATTGATACAAAACTAGGAAAAATAAAAAACGAATGCATCAAAATAATAAATACTAATTTCTAAGTACAAATGATTGATTTTAAACTAATTAAGAGTTTAAAAGAGTTTAGGTGCTGATTTGTTATTTTTTTCAAAAAGCGTACAATGGAATAAAGATGATACATTATAAAGAGTCAATTTATATTTAATTGTTAAATGTGTATATTATTATGCTGTAATATAAGTGTTATTTTTAACGAGTTCGATCCAAATGAATAAAAAAAAGGGAAAAAATAGACACTCGAAATAAAAACTACCTATTACCCAACTCCATTATGATGTTTTTAAAAATAATTTTAACCCAGTTCAGGTCAATCCAGCGTGTTACATTTTTTAATTAGGCTGGGTAGAGGCAAACTAAAAATATATTTTTGAGCTACGCATAGCTTTACAGTATGCGTTTTACTCAGTCTATGATGGTTTTCGAGCGAAGACACCTATTATTAGTTTTTTATTAGCTTAATACTTGGTATTGAAAAATAAATTTCTTAATATCTTAAAATAATTAACTTTTTTTTCTAGAAATTATTATGATAAAAGGATGATATTGTCTCGTACTGGCGTCTTTTCCATTTTCAGAATAGGTTATGATTTAAACAAAACCATATAACATCCTCTAAACCTGTAGTCCCTAGTATGCTAATACATAATTAAAGAAATCTAGAAAAACAAAAATTGAATATTATATATTTAAAAAAGTATATATATAAACAGGTATACATATATATTTCTCAACAATTATTATTTTTTTATCGAATTTTAAGTCCGTATTCTTTTGCCAAGTTATCAGCAATAACAAAATATTGTATATCTGTTGGACCAGCATAAATTTCAGTTATTCTGGCATCTCTATAGTACCGTTCGGCCGGCATGTCACTTACGTACCCCATTCCACCGAGTATTTGAATGCAATTATGAGTAATATATGTAGCCGCTTTAGATGCTGCAAGTTTTGCCATGGAAGCTGCCTAAATTTTTTTAAAGTTTATTAATAACGTAAGCTTTACATTAGATATTAATATAATACTTTTGTGAACGAATGTCCGTTATCTTTTAATATTGCTGCTTTCCAGGTTAAAAGTCTGGCTGCCTCAATTTTTGTAACCATTTTAGCAAGTCTTTGCTGAAACAAATAATTCTTATTTTAACAAATCAGATGATAAGTACAATTTGCCATTAAACTATTAGCTAAATATTTGTTTTCCATATTAGGTAGGTATTTTATTAATCATACACATTGAACACACATGTTTGATTTTAAGATAAACTTTGTGACTAGCTCCTTCTCGACTTTGCCTATCATTTACTATCTATTTAAACAGAGTTATTTTTAATTTAATATCATTGATTTAAATTATGTCAATCAAAATAATACAAATTACATTTAATAACATTTAATTTTAATTTTAATTATATTAATAAACATTTTTTAGAAGGGCAAAATAAAAATTGTATTTCCAAAAAGACGAAGTAATTATTTTAAAAGACGTAGATGTAATTTTTTTCATTAAGTAAACACTTTAACACTCCTCCTTGACATCTCTAAAAATCCATGGGTTGAATATTTGCCAGCCAAGTCAAGACAGTGTAATTTCACCGCTCAAATACAGTTCCTATCTAGCAAACAGAACCGGTCAACAGTGTTGAACCGGTGACATGGAATAAAACAGGCTGTCATCATACGCACTCAGTCACTTGTCTTAGTATAGTACATGATTTTATTTTAGTATTATTACCTGTACTGCTGATAATTTAATTATTGGATTTCCAAATGCTTTTCTTTGTCCGGCATATTCAACAGCACAATTTAGAGCTGCTTGAGATATACCTATTGCTTGGGAAGCAATACCAATTCTAGCCACGTCTATGAAATACAAATTTTGAAATTATAATTCTAGTAATAACATATACATACATATATGTTTGTATGTTTTACCGATTCCGGACATAGCTATTTTAAATCCTTCTCCTACATTTCCTAGTAAATTTTCATAAGGTACCCTGACATTTTCCAGTATGATATTGCAAGTAGACGCAGCTCTGATACCTAGTTTATCATCTCTTTTGCCTCGTGTTAGGCCTAGAAATAATTAAATACTATTACTGAGTATTCAGTGATGTAGCCATAGTGGATAAACAGTAAGTACCCATTTGCTACTTTTTATGTATACACTAATTGTAAGTGTGTACTCGTAACGAAAATTGTATACCTAGAGAGTACATGTCTTTCGTTATGATTACATCTATGTGTACCCACAATGCATACTCTTACGACTATTCTAATTTTAACAAAAATAAATGTATAGTAATGTATACTGTTAATTGTAATGTAAGTTACCTGGAGTAAGTGTCGGAACAAGAAATGCAGACACTCCTTTGTGCCCTATTATCTTATTCGTACGAGCTATCACGATTATCGCTCCGCCTTCAATACCATTTGTTACCCATGCTTTGGTGCCGTTTAATACCCATTCATTACCATCATGTATTGCAGTAGTTTGCATATTGACAGCATCACTGCCACTACCTGAACTTGTGTAACAATTTTTTTATGTCATATATATTGTTGGTGAAATATAAGTATTAAAATTTTAGTTATACATATGCGATAATAAAATCAGAAACAATTATCAAAGTATTAGAAATAAAAAAAGAAACAGTGTTGCTTAACGGTATGTTCTAAAATTAAATCTTATACAAGGTTTGATCAAAGGTTAAGTTAGGTTTTCACTAATCTCGAGGAGTCTTTGGGTAGAAAACATTTTTCTGACAACGAAGAGGGGGAAAAAGACAATTGAAAAGTGATTCAAGGAGGTGTAGCGTCAATACTTCGACTCTGGCATACAAACGCCGAGTTCACACTTATAGTGTATCAAACTGAAGGGTTTAAAATATAAAAATAACTATATACCTATGGTACAATCTCTGTGAATTTCATAAAAATATATGTACTTTTCGGTTTTTTAAAAATGTAACCTTACTTTCTGGACGACCCTCGTAAACTATTGGTTAGGTAAGATTCATAATCTGAGCATTATTTAATTAATAATAATAATACATCATAATAGGATTTAATGGAACAAAATTTACCCGGTTCACTAAGTGCAAAACAACCGACATTATTTCCATTAACAAAGTTTGGTAAAAAGACTTCTTTTTGTTGGGGTGTACCTATCCTGTTGATTATATCTGCATATAAAGCATTGTGAATGCTAACGATTGAAGCAGTTCCACCACAACATCTAGATATAAAAAAACAAAAAAAATTTAATTTGTTATAATAAATTGAGGGTTTTAAAAACACACTACTTGGCTATTTCCTCGACCGCTACTGATAGCGCAAGAGCGTCTGCTTCTGAACCCCCATAATTTTTATCAACTAAAATACCCAACAAGCCTAAATTTGCTAATTCTTTTATCTGAAAACAAATTTGAAATATTTATTTAATTTTTTAATAATGAGTTTAGCCAATTGTATTTAAAAAAACATATAATGAAGTAGAGAATTAACCTAAGATCTAAGTTAAATCTTATGAACTCAAAATATTAAACATAACATTGTAGGTAATTTTATAAATTGTAGGGTAGAGTTTAAAGAAATGTGTAAAACATATGTGACAAGAAACATATTGCAGAATTACTTTTTAAATTAATTAATATTTCATTTGAATTAACATAATAATAATCATTAACTTGCCAAGCTACCTAGAAGTAATTCCATAGTTTGTAACTAGTGAGATTGTTCTTTTACAATTTATTAAATCTGGTTAATTAGGTAAACATTTTAAGAATAATATAATTAATACAGTAATTGATTATTAAATATTTAAAAAACAATATACTTGGTTGGAGGGAAATAATTGTTCTTTGTCCAATTTAGCAGCAATAGTTCTCAATTTTGTTTCCGAAAAGTCACAACATATTTTCTTTAACTTTTGATGTGCTTCCGGAAGTATAAACGATGAAATACTTCTTGCAACTTTAAAATAAAAAAATTAATAGGTAATCCTTATGATAATTGGTTAGTTTAAGTTTTTCTAAAGTAAAATAAATATTACAACATAGTTTTCGTAGTTGAGGACGAATGTTTAACATTTTATTTAAAATAAAAAAATATTAACAATAGCTAGGAATTATTATTAAGATTAATAAGATTATTGGTAATTATAGGTTTCAAGTATATATTTTCAAATAATACGTTAACTTAACAAACATTGAACACACAGAAAAAAAAAATTATACTTTATGTAGGTAAAAACAATTTGGAAGTCGCCATATTTCGGTAGTTAGTACTATAAAAAATTAAAGAAAACTTGGGTAAGCAGTAGGTATCTAGGCACTATAGCATGTAAACGAACGTACCTATATTTTGTATAGTAATAATCATTTTAGAATAGGTACAGTGTTCATGATAATGTAAAATTGATAACAGTTTCAATGAATACCACAGGCGGTTGCGCAACAGCTTCAAAAGTAAGTACTCTATAGTTAAATCAGTTGCTGGTCAGAGAATTTTAAGGCGCTCTCTATCCTTCACTACCCGTTTACATATTTGTTTTCATTATAAAATAAATCCATCGGTTATTTGTATAATTCTGTCACAATTCGTAAAATATTTCAATTATATGAATGTAAAGTGCATTCATTATTAGTAGGGTAAAATGTATATTATTTCTATAAAAATATTAATAACATTATATTATTATATTAGGGAACGCTGTCCTCCAATTTATTAAGGAGTAAGAATGAAATCCTTTGCGGTTCTGTAATTGGTTTAATAATATCTATCAATAATAATATCTTACATATTAAGTATCTATTAATTATATTACATTTTTAGGCAATTCTATAATTGCCTAAAAATTCTGTAATTAATAATTTCTTGCTATTTTTTCGTTACTGACGGTGCATACATTTTGCAGCAAGTGAGGGCTACATAGGATGATTATTACTGTTAACTAGATTTTTTAATTTAACGAGTAATATATTAAAGATATTTGGATAAGGATTTTGGTTGTCAAGATGTTTTAATTAGATTTGTGCGTATATTGTAAAATTAATGTTATCGTGTGAGAATTCTGCGACAGATGTGTATTTTGGAGTTATTAGCTAGTCGGGTGAAAACATATTTAATGATTTGGAAGGCAATATTGCCCATCGGCCTTCGGGGAGTGAAATTTGACATACCTGATACAGAATATATCCATATTTGTCAAAACCATTATTGGTTTCTAGTAACGTTATTTGTTTTCTACAGTCGAGTGGACTTTGAACTAGTATTTTAAAGTTTCTAGTCGAAATTTGTATTATTTATTTAAGGCCCCAGGATACCGAACGTTTTTTCAGTCAAAATACATCATTTTTTGTCCATCGCGCACATGCCGAACCAGTGATCCGATAAGCAATCTAAAAACAGATATGAATTCGTTATGAAGTTTACTTGAAATCGGTCAGAGTATTTTTTTCAATTTTTATATTTAACCCTTTTAAATTTAGTTTTAAAATTTGATATTTTATAAAATGTTTAAACGTGTTTTATGCGTAGTAGGAATAAGATATAAAAAATTACGCAGACCGATCTCGTGTTAACTTCATGACGAATTCAAATCTGTTTTCAGATTACCTATCTGATCACTGGTTCAGCCTGTGTGATGGAACAAAAAATGTATATTATATTAAGGCCCCTGGATACCGACCATTTTTAAGGAGTTTTGTATAGGCAATATTTTTTGTGCGTACGAAAGTGACTGATCTTGTGTTAGTGTGTAAACCAACATTAGTGTGCGTGCCGTTGTATTTCCGTGACAGCGCCACTCTTATCAGTGGTCATAAAAATATAGCAACAAGACGACCACCCGCTGCGGTGACGGTCAAATTGTTTTTTATTACTAAGAAAATATATAATCAACAAAATAATATTTTGAAGAGCTAGCCTAAATAAAATCATTTCTGGACGGATTACAACGGTGTTACATCTTTTTTCAACGCGTAAAACATGTGTTAGAAGATGCAAGTTCGTCGTGAACTGAGCAGTTTTAGCGCATATTTACCTATGAACAAAATTCAAGATTAAGAGTTTATGTATAGATAAATGTATGTTTTTTTTCGATAATAATACTAGGGACCAAGTTATAGATCATCTGCTTTTTTTTCAAAATCGTATATCATTTTCGTTACTGTAACGGTTACATTATCTAATCGTTCCTGTTGACTCCGGACCACACGTACACAGACACTAATTAACCCGTTTAGGGGGGAGAGCAGTGTTGACACACGTTGCAGATAATCAATTTGAATTTGATTCTATCTGTTTTTATTTGCCGATTGCCGTTTTTGCCATGGCCATGCATCGCCGCAATTTTATTTTTGCCGCAGATCCATTGTTGCCGATATTGCCACTTAGTGCCGCATTTTTACTGCAAATTCAATATTTTATTGAGTTATTTGCTTATGGTCTGAAGACCAAAATCTTTAACACACCACTAACACATATCTTTGAATTTCGAACGTAGATCATATGGGTAGTTTAAGAGAAAGGAGTAATTAACCTCTATTTTAAATGTCCGGATCGAATTTTTGAATTTTAAATATACTTGTTGTTAATACGCGAATGTCATCAGCGATTTTGGTAGTGATTAAATACATATTTCCGGTTGGTTACCGTTGAGTTTTTAATATTTTATTTATACGGCTGTTTGTCTCTGCGTTTGTTCAGATCGACTGATATATTATTATTTGGCAAATAATATCCCGGCTAACCCCCGACGACATACTTATGTCCGGTTTTACCGTCGACCTTTTTAATGTATTTACGGCAAGATATATTTTTTGTACACGGCATAATTTAAATAACATTAAGAACGGCTAATATTTGTCACAAGTTGACGCGTTAATTACGGCACTCAAAATAATTTCGATCATAAGAAAACTCGACTTAAGTGTTATGGCATCGAGTCATACGGACACGGCGTTCCAATTCTTATTATCTATTTTAACTTAATTTTTTTTTTTTTTTTGTTTTAAAGGTCAAAAATAATTAAATGTTCGGCATATTATGCACACAATTCTTAAAATTCCTTTTACCATTATTAATCCTAGTACTCTGGCTAACCCTACTATTTATATTATTCGCATTCTTATTTGCCCTATAATAACTATTGTTGTTATTATCTTCAACCCATTTATATGAATTTCATTATTATTATTTTTAAAAAAATCCATGTGTATTTCCTTATTATTCGCGTTAAGTTGTATTTTTGACTTAGCAAAGTTAACTACGCCCTTATATTTAATTAGAAAATCAACTCCAAGAAGACTATTACAATTCAAATTTCGTACGACCGCGCATTGTATTTCTATAGGAATATTATTAAAATATACTTTAATAGCTCTGACCTGCCAACTAAATCTAATTTTGAACCATTGGCTGTTTATAATTTTGTCTCCCCGTAAGAACTAATTACATGATTTTTGGGAAGCATATTTTTGTTAATAACGCTAGTAGTCGCGCCTGAGTCAACAGTAAAATGATGTGATACATTATCTAAAACACCTATGATTACTGGATTATTCCCTTTATAATCTGTAATATTAATATCACAGCTACCTATGTTTTCTACTCGGGGTGGAGTATTATAATTTTTACTCTCTTGTCTATCATTATTCCCAAAACGCGCGTTGTAATCGTTTTCACTATGGTTATCAAAATCGTCTTCCTCACTTCTACCATAATCAGAACTACTCCTAGGTGTATTTCGTCCATATCTGCTATCGGATGCGGCGTCGTCATTATGATAACTTCTATTCCTATAATCATTATTATTATCGCGCTTGTTAAAATGTTTACCTTCACAATTACCATTAAATTTACTGCCATTATTTCTATAACTATTAAAATTTCTTCTAAAATTACCATTACTTTTAAACGGTCTATTATTCATGTCAGCTTTAAGTTCCTCAAGCTCTTTTCTCAATAGTCTTACCTCATCACTAATATCATTATGTTTGCTAACTTTGAGTATCTCAATCTCTCTCCTCAATAATTATATTTCGCATCCATTATTATTAATTGCTGCCATGTCCGCCTCATATGACCTAATATTTGATATTACCTTATCAACCGTAGAGTTGTCCATTGCATATATCCTTCAATATATATCCTGAGGTAACCCCTTCCTAATTATCTTACTTATCTCTTTCTGGCTCATTTTCTCATCCACTCGTTTACACTCTCCCAGTACTTTCAAAGTGTAACCCTGAAATTTTTCCTCCGGCCGTTTCCTTCTCCTATTTAAATTTTCTCTTAAAAGCGCTCACTGTTCCTCGGAATTATAGTATTCCGTGAACACCTTTTTTAAAATAGACCAAGTTAAGTTATTAGTTTCATCCTCTATCTTCTCAAACAAAATCTTCGCTTCCTCTTTAAGGTACAGCGGAAACATAACTACTTTTTGCCCGTCAGTCCAGGTATTTGCTGCCGAAATTCGTTCGTAATCTTTCAAATACCCAATAATATCTTCGGTCATTCGACCGGAAAAGCATTGCGGATACTCATAATTAATTTTGAATTAAATAAAAATAATGCAATTTAAGTTTAATAACATATCCTTTAAAATTCCAGAGCAATTTGTACCGTAAAATAAAACACCTTAACACAAACCGAGAGCGAATAAATTAACCAGTGCAGTTATATGGGGTCGTGGCCGTAGTTTATTCCCTTGCAAAATGGGTTCTGCAAAAGGGTAAAAAATAAAACTAACGGCAATCGGCGCCTCCACCAAGTTGTAACGGACCTACTTGTCTAGCTGGCTAGACTAGGCAAAGTGGCCGTCGATAAGGCTAAAATAGACGGATCCCCACGGGAAAACGGTTGGCTAGGCCGCTGTCTACGTCTAATTGGCCTTAAAGTCTCCCTTATTAACTTAATATATCGCCCGAGGAGCTAGAACGGGCGGTCACACTGTTAAATAATCTAACTCTCAGCTGCAGGCTACAAGATGTTTTATTCTAAATTAGGGTTTCTAAATAAAATACAAAATTATACAATATATATATATATATATATACACTCTGACCTGGGTTGGACAATGAAATGGTTGGTCAAAGCGGAGTTGAAACGGACGCACACAAAAGATAGTCGGATGGGCGGCTTGTAGTAAAACGGCAAAAATATAGAGCGCAAGGTCGAGGATATTGGCGGTCCGTGATGATAAAGTCAACTGGTTAATTAGATGATACGCGACGTGCATTGTCCTGTGTGTGCGACCGTTCCCCTACCTATAGTCGGGGGTGTTGTGTCAGCAGGTTTGGGACGAGGAGTAACAGTCAGATGAAATATGATCGTTACACTATCTTTTCTATCTTTTCTTTCTTTCTTTCTTTCTTTCTCTTCTCTTCTCTTCTCTTCTTTTCTTTCTCTTCTTCTAGAAACGAATTTTTAGACATTTTAGTAAGCTTTCGAGTGGTATAATCAAATTGAGGGGACCTCTTCCGGAACATTGTCAAAAATTGACATAACTGCCGCCGGTTTCGTTCGGCCGCTTTTTTATTGCTGGATTGGGTTCGGCGGCCGCAAAACCCCAAGTGCCATTTTTTTAAGTTAAATAATTTACTCTTACTGTTTTGTCGATAATTAGAATATATTTTAATTAATTAAGTCGATATCGTATAATAATAATCGTCGGTGTACGTGGATATATGGACTGCCCCTTAGAATAATTAGTGTATTGGCAACACAACATACACCAACGCCATGACACTTTCTGTTATCAAATATTGCTGGCTCGTTTATGGCTAACTTCACACTCGTGTTAATTATAATGTTAAATATTAGATTTGTATAAATAATTGTATAAAATTAGTGAGTATATTTCAATGTTTAATTTCCTTAAAGAAATATCGTTAGTGTCAAATAACTCAATTACCATTACTTTTATTCTAGTATGTGCCATGTGGTCTGTTCGAGTCTCCAAACATTATGTGCTTTGTCCAATTGGCAGATCGATCTCGATCCAGAGAGTCTTGAATAATGAAAGCAGTGTGGAGTATCCTCCGATACTCGACCTTAAACCTGGTCCTTCTAAATTGCGTTTAGAATTGGAAACTCATGAAAAAATACGTAACCTACATACTATTGAAGAAAAAACTATTGGTATCAATATGCCAAGGTTTGTATGAATAATTTCATAACTAAAGTAATCACATGACTATATGACATGGTTTCCAAAATATAACTTCAATTATTCAATTAAATAATTACTTATTAATAATTATTAAAATACATAATATGATAATACAGACTTATCTAAAAATATGTTTTTACTTTGTTAACAAAATATACACTTTACTCATTCATGTATATATTATCATTGTATGTTATTAGAAATAAAAATAAAACTTAAAGTACTTTGACATCATCTCTGTATAAAATATTGTTTTTGCATTATTAGGTATTATGGGTGGCAGTCTTTTGTTGTGAAAGATAAAGTAATTCCATATGATTTTTTACCATTTGCTCAAACCACTACCAAAACTAAGCTCAACTTAGTTGAAACTTTACCCAACTATGTATCAAATGAAGTGAGTCAACAGCTTATTGATCGCATCAAACCTCATCTTGAAGATTGCTTGGTATTTGAACATAATAGGACTAGGTTTGTGGACCATTTATTTATTTGACTCATATAGGTATTTTAATATCATAATAGTGTCTAGAGACAAGGATGTCTCAATTAATGATGCATACCAGGACACTAAGTAATGTAAATTTACCCATCCATCTTTCCTTAGTTTACCGTCAACACTTGTTCCGTCTATATCATGTTTAAAGGGTTAAGGGATTATATTATCTCAAATAAAAAATGTTTTATATATACAATTACTGAATTACTAATAATAATAATAATATGTATACATAATTTAATTTTTTTGGTGATAACAATAAATGATATGTATTTGTATATTAAATAATTAATATAAAATTGAAAATATAGAAGTCGGGGTGTTATGAAAAATTACAATAATTTCATTGAATCACCATCAACTAATGAAGTAGCTAAAAGTATAGTAGAACAAGTTAATAGAATATTACTGGCAAACCTTTCAGCTGAATATCCTCATTTATTTGAAGCTCAAGTAAGAAGAGTTAAAAAACTATGAATGTCTAATTGTTTTTCACTTTAAAATTTCGTATTATAGGTTGACTATGAGCCTAGAATAGAAGCATTTTGGAATGTACACGGTTTTGCAGCAACAAAAGAAGATGAAGAAATGAGAAAGAAAAAAAATGAGCCTGAAGAAAATCTAAAAGATCCTGTTGACAGATGGATTCACTACTTTGGTCAACCAACAATTCAGATTCGTCATAAACTACCACTCCCCATTCTACCTACGAATAAATTGACAGTAGCTACTTCACAATCTTCTGGCTCTGATAAATTTCAAGAATATGATGTTCCGAATTATGACTATGATCCGAAAATTTATCTAAAATTACCTTATGAAAGGAGACATGGTGTATCTATTCCCGGTTAGTTAATCTAATACATTATTCAATAGTTTATTCAAATATTTTTAATTTTATTGACAGGTTTTTGGCCTAATGATGATCATAAATTTGGTTTGTTATCTATACACACTAATGAATATTTAGAAAACAGACCACCAAACTTTGGTGAAGAAGAACATCAAGAAGCTATTCATGCTCAAGCAATATTAGCATCTTTTGCTTGGTTAGTTGGCCAGGCTCATTACCAAGGTTGTTAAAACATACTAGTTGTTACTATTATAATTCATGACGTTAATAACAATTTTTTTTTTTTAGGTTTTACAGCTTGTAATGAAATTACATATCCTTTTGTTAATCAATCCATTATTACTAATGGCAAGTTGTGGTCTTTTTATGCTTACCAGTTGAATACTATGAGATTTTTTAAGAGTCAAGATGAAATAAATCGTCCATTAGAACCTAATAACATTTGTTGGGCTACAAAAGCTACTGAACTGTATCATGACATTAAAGACAATCGAATTGTTGGTAAGTTAAGTTACAATAGTAAATTTTTGTATCTATAATTGTAAAATATATTGTTTGCTAATTTATTAATATTTTTATAGGTTGGAATGATAATGTATTAAAAGATATGTTGAGTTGTTATATAAATACTCCTCAAGCTCGCGACCATGAGTTGAGTCCATATTTAGGAGAAGAAAACGTAATAGCAAATATTGATGACAACAAAAGAAGGTAATTTTAAAAACCTTTAATAACTGAAATTACATTTTATAACAACTTAACATCTTATAGTATTATCTATATAACATTCTATCTGCGATGCCCAGCCAAATCCTTGGCACGCAGAGATCTAAAATTTTAAACATATACTCTATTCAAAATAAGAACAGGCTTTGGCGGCCGACTTATGTGTATGAGCGTGGCTTCACTACGAGCAAGTGACCTCGAACACTGCTGCTGGTAGGGCTACAGACAAAATGTAAAATGGGACCGCCGCCTGACGAAAACTAGTCGACCGCCGAAGCCTGTTCTTATTCTGAATAGAGTATAGGTGAGATAAATATAAACATTTTTTTTTGTGTTAAAACAATAATTTTTATATTCGTTATTTTAATTTATAACAAAAATATAGAAATATATTTTTACATAAAAAACATAAAGAAGACCTTACAAATATTACTATACATAATAATTTTTCCTGGCCATTTCCCCGAATCCAAAATCCCGAGAACCTTTTTCCCAACAAGCTATTAACCCGACAAATAATCAATTTAGGTCAATAATTTATCAATAAAGGTCGGTGACAATTCTACCACTGCATCACTGCGCGGTAATCGGCGTTCCTCTCCCATCCTGTCCTCCTTCTCGTACATTCCGTAATCTGCTTGTTAATTATAGTAACAAATACAAACAAAGTACTAATGAAAAATTAAGGAAATTGTTTGAAGAACCAGACATAGTATGGACTCTAAAAAGAATTAACTGGGCAGGACATGTATGGAGAACAAAGGGCTGGCTGGTACACAAGGTCTCATTATGGAAAACAGATGGTACAAGGCCTAGAGGACGCCCAAGACAACAGTGAATTGATAAGACTACGATTAGATCTTAAGCTTCTAAGAGGGATAGATAAAGATTAGCAGTGGATAAAGATGAGGTAGTGAGGTGTAGTGGAAGTGGCAATGGACCTACAAAGCCTATATAGCCAAAAAAAAAGAAAAGTTATAATGGTTAGAAATACTTAAGTTTTAGCCATTATTTTCATAGTATAATTTACTGAAGACAAAATGCCAAACTTAAAACAACATATTACATTAATTTATAGTAATTCAAAAATCACATCTAATGGAAAATTAAACATTTAAACACAATTTTAATTTTTAATTTTTTTGGTAAATGTATTCCTTTTTTTTTTTCAGTATGTGTACAAATTTATTGAAGGCATAGCCATAAGCATTATACGTGATTTTCTTTTATAATTTTACAGAAAATTGATAAAAATGTAATAATGCTATATCATTCCATATATTTGTGCACTACACCATAAATAAAATATTTGTTTACCCAATAATTTTACATTAGGAGAGAACCCCTGTCCATGTAAAGCAACAGCTTGCGGTGCTTTGTCTCACTTGCCAGCTTTATTTACTAGAGTCTAGACAATAGACTGTTTAGGAAAAAGGAGCCGCCATCCCCCTCACTGGTGACAAGCTTACAATTAGTTTTGCAAAGCAAATCTGGTTAGAAATTCCTTCTTGGAGGAGGCAGCAAAGGCCCCAATTAGGCTTATGTTAATATACACATGATGATTTATAGATATTAAATCAATTATAATTTTTTTTAGAGCATGGTTACATGATCGACATCAACGCTTAACATCGCATAGACCAAGACACCATCTTGAACCTGAAATTTATGATTGGGAGAGAATTTATAAAATCAAATTTGAAACCAGACAATTTGAACCAAGGAGACGTTTCTTTGAACTTGACCAAGATCCACTGAATGAAAGAAGGTTAGATGGACACTTAGGACATTATATACCACGTAAATTTAGGAATGAAAATTTGAGAACACGGAGAAAGAGATTTGAAAACACATATTACCCAGATGTTTAAAGTAGTCATTATTAATATGTATCATAAAGATTATCTGTACAAATTATTAATTAAAGACTTAGTTTAAAAATGTATTCTAAAACGAGTTATCATTTACCAAAAATCTTGTTATATATTATAAAATTATATAAAAAACAAATTAAGAATCATTACTAATAGTTAATCAAAATTGTAATGCTAATAATACTAGTCAACAGATAAACATACTACAATTATTCATATGTCGTCCTCATTGTCTTCATTATCTTCATCATCACTTCCATTATCTATTATGTCCACCACAAATTCTAGAGGAGGTTGTTTATTCTAAAATTAAATAGTTTACTGTACAATTAAATCAGTTATAAACAGTAAAATAAAAAATAAAAATTTACATCGGAAGAAGTAGCTGGCAGTTTTTTCTTTACCACTACTTTTTTTGGGTTGACCAGTTTAATTTTCTTTTGTTCTTGAATGTCTAAACACTCGTATCTTGACATTTGTAGTTTGTAATAACCATCATCATCTTCTATATACCTGCATAATGACAAGTGGTAAACAAACATTGTATAATAAGTAAAGAATATTATACAAACCTGAATCTTTTTAAACCAGCAGGCTTATGAAAATTATGGTCATTTTTCAAATGTTTGGTGAGAAATGACCCCCTCATAAATAAGTCATCACAAAGATGACAATAATATTTATAAAGTCCTTCTGCTCCTCCTTCGTAGTGTTCCATACCAATATGCTTCCTTATAGCATATTCACTGCGACACGAAAAGTCACATCCAGTCTTGGAACATTTAAATAATGGCCCAGGCTCGTGCTTTCTTAAATGTGTTGTAAGATCTTGCTCGCGAACAAATCTAAAAAGTTTTACAAATCTTATTAGGGATACTCGGTCTGATGTGTAAACTGATGATGGTAACATTACTATATAACAATACATATATGCTAGAGTATTATTTTTATAAAGGGTTATAAAAATACGCTATAGAGTTTTTTTTTAAATAATTCATTATTTTATAACTTTACAATACCTATACAGGGTGTAATGTAAAGTTCTACTGAGTTTTAAATGAGAAATTTAGGATGCTCTATGAATACAATAAATAGTATTCATTTTATTTAATTTTAAAATTATTTAAAATAGAACTCGTATCTCATTAAAAAATTGTCTTACGAAAAAAATAATTTCAGATTTGAAATCAGGAAAAAAAATCTTGTCGAATGTAACATGATTTTTTGGTATCTGGCCACATTTGTGTCCACCAAGTGGGCGGCAGGTTACCAAAACCAACATATGGCATGTGACACATCATTTTGGGTTAGAATTTCATTCTCAATCCAATGGTGTCCTTAGAATTATTTTATATTAAATGATGTGTCGCATGCCATATGTTTTAATCACATGCCGGCCACCCTGTGGACGTATATGTGGCCAGATACCAAAAAATCATGTTACATATCAATTCAACAAGATTTTTTCTCCCGATTTCAAATCTGAAATTATTTTTTTCGTTAAACAATTTTTTTTAAGAGATACGAGTTCTATTTTAAACAATTTTAAAATTAAAAAAAAATTGAATACCATTTATTGTACTCTTAGAGTATCCTGAATGTCTCATTTAAAGGTGGTAGAACTTTACATTACACTCTGTATAACCACAAGTGTTATTTAAGTATTTCTAGATATTATACTATATTCTACCTATCTTATAAGTAACAAATGTAATGGTTTTGCAATTTTAAAAACTAAAATAGTAAAATGATCAACAAATTTCTCTTAAAAAAAGTATAACTATATAAAAAAAAAAAGTTTAATTAAATCAATTTTCCCCAGTTAACCCATTCGTACCACAATTTTTTTCAACAATTTTTCAATCAACAATATTTTACGTATCGGACTGATATTGATTACCAATATAGCTGTGTTGATTTTTTTATCATCAATCTATACTAGAACTTGTGTTTAAAGACATTTTTGATAGTGATAGTACGTTGTTAATATTTTATTCGATTTTATATGCTTTTCTTTAGCTCGCAAACACGTACATACGTACGTGCGTCTGTACGGGTATTTTTCAAATCTTTTAAAACTAATTTAACCCACTTTCCAATGTCGTAGAGGGCTGAAAATTGGCACAGACACTCATCTTGAATGACAATACAATATCCTGTAATCATATTGGGACTTGGACATCCAGGTCGCCCTACACAGGGTCAAATGTGGGTGTCATTTCACTAAAATTTCATTTTTTTCCAAATCTTCCAAAATTAATTTAGTAATCTATTCGGCAAATATTAAATACCTTTAATAAGACTAAAAAGTAAAAAAATAAAAAATAAACTTTTTAAAAACATGCTTTTCTAAAAAAAATATAGTAAAAAGTGAAGTAAAATGTAAAAAATAATTTTATTACAAGAACAATTTACCAATCAATTGTAGCATATTTTATTTAAAATGTCAATTACTTTGAAAACAACCGAAAATGAACTACAATTTTAAATAATGTTAAACATCTTTAATTTTTGACTAAAAAGAAAAGTGTGGGCCCTATTCAACAAAGTCCCTAATAAATTTATCAGATAATGTTTTATATTGTAAGTTCTTTTGTAATTTAAATTTAGTTTAATATTTGTGTGTGACACATACATTTCATAATACTTAACTCAATGAATTTGAATAGGGCCCACGCTTTTCTTTTTAGTCAAAAATCAAAGATGTTTAACATTATTCAAAATTGTATTTAGTTTTCAAAGTAATTGACGTTTTAAATAAAATATGCTACAATTATTGATTGGTAAATTGTTCTTGTAATAAAACTATTTTTTACTTTTTACTATTTTTTTTCTTCAGAAAAGCATGTTTTTATTAAAGTTAAATCTTCATACGAGGATATCAGTAACGAAAGGGTTAAACTTAACATGTATGTAAAATTATCGGGTTACTAACATATCTTTATTAATCAGAACTTTCCAGACATATAAATACATTCTGTATATAAATAAATTTATATACAGAATCAGTTTTGTGATTGCTTTTGGTTTTAATGAAGTGTCTATTATCTACAGTCACTATTTATACATAAGCCGCAAGTGTTTTTAATTTGTATTATACCGTACACTTATATATTATATTTAATATTCCCTATCCACCCCACTATTATAACCCTGTATTGCTTAAATTTTTCAAATTTAGTTAAATTTGAAAATGAATTATATTTAGTGCAGGCGCGTGGCGGAGTGAGATAAGGTGGCAGTGTACCAACGCATGGTCACTGGTTCGAATCTCGGACAACTGGTGGTTTGTTCCTCCGGGTGGGCAACTGTCTGGGGGAAAAAATGGCCACCTGCACCTCTCTCTGGGACCAACTTGTTTGGTAGCATTAGGTTGGCAACCAGCTCTAAGCCCAAAAATGCCAAATCTAAACCGTATAAGCCCCGATTGGTGGGAATAACGGACGTTAAACGTAAGAGAGAATTATATTTAGTACTAGTGTTACTTAAAAAATATAATTTAATAGGTTTCTTATAATGGGATACATATTTATCCTTTGCGAATAAAAGAAACCCATGTGAGAGTTAACAGGTTGAAAAACAAATGCACAATAAGAAAATAATGTGTTCAAGAAAAATATATAAAAAAAATCCAAAGATATACACAAGTTAAAAATACTTACTGAGATGTACATAAATGGCATTTAAATGGTTTGACGTCTATATGTCGGTAGCGTATATGAGTAGCTAATTGTGTAGCTCTAGAAAATGAAGCATCGCATTGAGGACATTTAAAATAATTTATATGTAAACGAACATGTTGTTTTAGAAGTCTTTCACATGAAAATGTTTTTTGACATAATGTACATTGATGTTTACTTTTATCTGTCAACAGTAAAATTTAAGGTAAATATACTATACTGGTCAATAAATGTTAATTATATTTTAAGTCTACAATCTGATCGTTATATTCTGATTTTGCATGTCAACAAACTTTAGCCAGACTCATTTTTACTTATTTCACAGTAAACTACAAAGGAATGAAAATCAAACATTCTTTATCCAGATTGGTCATTTAGGTTTATCCATGTTTTTAATTAAAACATAAAATAAGCTCACCTTTATTCGATTGCCAACAATGATCTTTTAATTTTGTGTAAGTGGAAAACATAACGCCACAATTAGGACAAGCGCACATTTTTTCTAAAGTATGACTTCTTATATGGTCAACTAATCGAGATCTTTTAGTAAATTGTAAGGCACAATCTGAAAGATATTGCAAACATAAAGTTTTCCAACTAAATAGCATTTTTTGATAAAAATAAATTAACCATAGATTGTCCATGGGCATGTCACATCTTGTTTATGAAATTCTACTACATTCAAATGTCGAGATACGTGATATGCATAATGTTGCATACATTCAAATCGTTCATTACAATTTTCCCAATTACATTGAAATTCATCTGGCAAGTCCGGTAAGATATTTGAACCATCATCATTTTGTTTACATTCCTTATAAAAAAAATATAAAAATTAGTTACTAGATAAATAAATGTTAAGAAATAAAATATGCACGTACAGGAATTTCCAAAATATTTAAAACAGCAGCTCCCACACATTTGAGCCTTGTATGATAAGCATGGTAATTAACATGTGTTGTTGACTTGACTTCACAATTTGATTGAAAGGGACAATTGTTCCATAAACACGTAAACCATTCTATAACAAATTGATAACTTACAAAACTATTACTTCTGAAATATATGGTGAATTTAAAAAAAAAAAAGGAAAATACAAAATATGTAGTCATAATACATACATTTATACATTTTTATAGCTTGTAAGAGTTTTATATTATTTAGGCTTATAACATTATAACGTTTATTTTATTTTTATTAGTTTATGATTATATATAAAAACATAGTTAATAGGTTTAATAAAATACTAATATTATTTTAAATATTAAATATAGTAATTACAACACGAGCTTTTGTTAAAAATACAGTAGTGTTAATTAAAATAGTTATCAATAATAATATTTCAATTATGATGTAAAATTAATATACTAATCGAGTCTATACAGCTGTGTGTATCATGATCTGATATAATTTATACATTTAATTCAGTTACATCATCAGGGTTTACTATATTTAAAATTCTAGTTCATATATTTTGATGAAAAAATATTATTAATTTTTAAATAATACTTTGTTTTTTTATCATATAAGTTTACATTTGATTTATTTATAGTTTATATCTTACTTTCTTTATTGCTTTGCCATTCTTCTGTCCATAAGTGGTCAACATGTTGACTTACATGATAAAAATAGTCTTTAATACTCAATGAATCATACTTGCACATTTCCCAACCACAAATAAAATTAATTTTCACACTATCTAAATCAAGTTTTTTTTTCCTAGGTCTACGCTTCTTGCTTTCTTTCAAATTATTTAAATCCAAACTAGATTCAAATGAAGAATCTTCATCTGAACAGTTCATCACAACACCTACAAAATCACATTTCATAATATATTGGAAATATTAATCTGAATTGTTGTTTTTATAATATCTCTTTTTCATAGGCGCAAATAGGGGGGGGGGGGCTAGGGTGAGCTTAGCCCCACCAAAAAAAATTAGGTTATGCATACAATTTTAAAATACAAAAATATATTTACTTATATATATATTTTAAAAAAATGTCCAGCCTCCCCCCCCCGAATTAAAAATTGAAATTGCGCCTATGCTCTTTTTAACGAATAGTATAAGGTTATTAATATTTAATATACATTTATATAAATAACACTCCAATACAGTTTTTTTTAAAACTACATTTTACTGTTACATTGGTTAGAATAGTTAGTTGATAGAAATATTAATACTTTTAAATTCCCCCCTCCCTTCTGAACGTAATAAGCTCTACCTTTACAATACACCTGAAAATAATAAAATTATAATAGCTTAGCCCCCAATCAGTCTATTTTGTCGACCAAACGAGAAATTTCCCAAATCCTTAATCTACCAATCCACTACAGATTTAATAAATACTTCAATTAAAATTTAAAAATGTATACAGTAAAATGTAAAGCTTAAATTATTATAAAGATGTTATAAAGCTTTCATCCTTATCCTTATAATATACATACATTTTTTTTTGGCAACATATTTCTTTTCTTCAGCAACATTTCCCTCGCGATGAGCAATAACCCATTGTTTACACCAATACTGTTTGTCTTCTAAGAGAGATGTAGAACCACAGTCAGTTTTTTGATCAATTGATAAATAAGTTGGAGCAGCAAACATAGAACCTATAGTATAATTATAGTTATTTAAATGCGTTACTAGTTTAATAAACAAAATAAAGATTAGGACATTTAATACATGAACTAAATATATTTTTAAGTTTCAATACACATAGTAAAATTAAAAAACCAGCAGAAGATTTTAATTATATAATTTGAATATGATTTTTCTATTCTTTTGAATTGCTCTTAGTGACAACATACCACGCCATTTTTATTTTAAGCATGTTTTAGTAATTCACTATTATTAGAATTTACAACCATTCAGCTTTACCCAGTTTTATGAAAATAAGTATAACCTTTTCTGACTTGTACATAAGATCAACTTTAAGGGCCTTATCACACAATGACGGTTGCGCTGTACGGCGATGACCGTCCGGTTCCGCCGTTTAGCATAGGTTCTAATAATCTAATGGTATGTGTCACACTACCACGGTTTCGCCCTTTTCCACCGACCAGGAAATCTCAAATCCGTCGCGTATCACAGTTTCATGGCGCTACCATTCTGCCGTTTCTAATTATAAAACCGGATGGTCGTCGCCGTATGGCGCAACCGTCATAGTGACACAAGGCCCTAAGATTATAAAGGTCAATAAAATATATATTATTGTATTTTCCAATGATTTTTTAACTAAAATTGTATACTATCAGTACTTTTCTACTTTAATGTAGGTTGTTTTTAAATTGAAAAAACATAATCAAATAAAAAAAAGAGCATTGTTAACTTAATTTAATTAATTGATTATATTTTTGTAAGTTAAACAAGGAGTTTTAATTTCATGTGCCAATTCTTAAATTGAATAATTAGCCATCAATATTCAACTACAATCAAAAGTATTTAATACAAATTAATTAAAATACAAAATGTATTAAGACAATTCACTAAAAAGTATAAACAGTAGCTCCTGCAACAATTCTTTAAAAATTTGAATAATTCATACACTATTATTTCAACATTTTTAACATATATTTAAAACAAAATCAGTTACCATCATTTGACTCATCAATTCGTCTCGATCTCCGCACTAATAATGTGTCGCTATTATCTTCAGTATTCATTATTTAAACAAAAAAATTAATACTCTCAATAAAAGAACAAGAAAAATTATTAGTAATATAGTAATTTTATTGTTAATAAACTATTTAAGGGCTACATTAATCTTAAGACATTAATAAATGATTGGCTAATGGTTCAAGTGTTCAACTAATTCATCGCCACAGTCCACAAACAATAAATACATTTTCAAGTTTCAACAGACAACTCATGAATCACGATATAACTAACAACGTATGTTCTTAGCTTATCACAAAAATACGAGTTTTGGTCCCAGTTCGCACTGGGGGTCCAGTCAGGGACAGTTCCAGGGGGTGGCTATAGTAGTCTTAATGTGTTGCAAAAAGTAGGACTAAAGTCAGTCTGCCAAGATAGAAGAAAATAATTATCGTTCAATATATCGTGGTGATAAGATATCAATGATAACACTATTTTCAAAAAACTTGTTTTTTGTTTTTTTTTAATATTTTTTTTTCTGATCTATTGTTAAAATAATGTGTTAAGTAAGTATATTGGAATTCTTCTCAATTAAATGAGGAATAAGTAAAAAATATTTTATACCCTTCAAAAATATATTTTAGGGTACTATTAAGGGTATATATATATTAATGTTTTCGCCAATTTTACATTCTAAGGCCTAAATTAGTTCAATAGTAGTTTTTCTTGTAAAACAAAAAAAATACTAGTTTATTCCTCTTTTTCTAATGATGATTTTGTATACAAGCAACATTTTGTTTAAAATCGATATTTTATACCTTAAAAAAATTAAAAACTAAGAAAAACATTTTTTTTTTGGAAAACTGATGCTCGCAGCCTCTATAAATAATTTTAAAAATCTGAAAAAAATAGGGAAATATTATGTTACCCCAAAGAACATAATGCCAAGAGAAGAACAACAAAAAATTGTTTTTGGTCCACCTTAACGGTTACATATTAAAGAAGTATGCTGTATCATGTTACATGTATATTTAAAATCAAGCATTCATATGTCATCACCATCATGGAAGCTGTACATTGTTATACATTTTTTTTATTACATATAATATAATAATATGATAAAATATTAATTGTTTTGGATTTTGCCTCTTCTGCGTAAGCAATGGGGCGTGCCCGTACAACTATTTTTAAACGTAGTACTTAAATCTTATTTAACGAATGGCCAAATTAACTTTAAAATGTATATTTCTCATAATATACTGCGTTAGTTTGTCACACTGACTTAACATGTGTGATTATTCATTTTTGATAACCTTCTTCATTATCAACACTGTACTAATAACAAGTACATTTTATATTATATGATAGTTATAGATTTCAGTTCGCGATTTTAATATCTTTTGAATGTGTTTTTAAGTTTAAAGTAAACTTTTTTGTATAATGATGAATGTTATTAGAAGATTTTATAGTAGTAATAAGCTAGCCCCAAGTGGCCCGGCGACAGAAACCAATGGTGCATTACCCATTGATTTAGAAGGCCGGCACAGACATGTAAGACATAGATTAACGAACATGACTGATGAAGAACGGGCTTTTCGAAGGAAATTTTTGCATTCTCAACATTTAACTCCTGATGAGCCGAAGGTTGTACCTGAAATGTATGAAGAATTGTATAATCCTATCAGACGTTTTTATAGAGCTCCAATGAATGCGTTTCAATCAGTTTTAGAACCAACATTAGTGAGTATTAATTATTAAAACTACAATTTTTGTATAAAATATTAAAACAAAAATACATTCTTAAGCAATGAAAAAATGTAAATACAATAAATATTAAAGTAAAGGTAAGCAAATATGGAGGTAAACTGAATTAGTAATTGAAACATATTGAATCAAACAATTTTTACATTAAACATAAATTGCATGAGAAGGAAACCTCTCATTAGAGGTACGTAAAAAAAACAGTTATATTTAATACCTCAAATTGCATAGCCTATACTCCGTGGATATTAGCCAATTATTATCCGTTTATCTAAACCGTACATGATGAGTATATGTATATCATTCAAAGATAAACTAATAAAAAAAATGTTTGGTAGTATTTTAGTTAATAAATTTTACTGTCATCCTTCACTATACATACAATCTTTGTAATCTGTACTTGTAAAATTAAATTTAGTAAATAAAGTAATTAACAAATAAATTATTTATTTAATTCAAAAATAATTAACCTAAAGTTCTTGTAATTATATCCAATTTTTTCAAAAATATTTTTTACAAACTTAGTTTATATTGACGCCCCTTACGAAAAGTAGCACACAATATCGTTCACAGATTCTTACGAAAAGTAGCACCGTTCAGTTCTTACGAAGGCTAGCACCGTTAGGCTATTGTTCCTATTGTTGAAAACGGTGCTACTTTTCGTAAGAAGCCTCGAATGGTGTTAGTTTCTGCTAGAACTTGAACGGTGCTACTTTTCGTACGGGGCGTCGATATGATCTTGCCTTATTTCGTTTTTATTCTGTGTCATTTTTTTTTTTTTGTAAAATGCATTATTTTTCAGATGCTATAAACTTGTATGGTTCAAAATAGTATTATTTGTAATATTAATAGCTTATACAATATTGATGGCATAGTGCACAGATGACATAAGTGCACTAGGCTATCAATATTCATATTTGTACATGTTCTTTTAGGCTATGTTTTTTATGCTCTTTTTGGCATTATCAATTTGCGCTCTTTTGTAATGTACAAATTTAATCACAAACAAATTTGTCCTTATGTACCATATGTATCTTGATTTGATTAATATACTGAGAGGCAGTGCTTTGCATATTGACGCCAATCAATGTTATTTACCAATGATATATACATCTTTTTTTGTATTTAAATTTTTATCAAGTTTGTTATCCAAGTAAATAGGTTTCGTATGAGAAGCTAGTCAACATCTGTTACACAGTGTGCAAAAGTAAAATTTGATACCTCTATTAACAAGTCCTTAATTGATTCCATTCAGATTTCAAACTTTTCCAATAACTTTTTTTCTATAATTGTAAATCTAAGAAATGATCATGTGTTTATTAATTACAATATTTGTCTTTAGGGTGAACGGAGAGCCTTTGAAGTACGATTTATGACTGGTAAATTATTAATGGGAATTGCAATTGTTTATGGTGTCACATACTACTTTATGTACAATACTAATGTAAGTTACAATATTAATTTAAATATATTATATATATATATATATATACAGAGTAATTCATTAAGGATAAGACACTAATTTTCTCAGAATATATTAATATTTTTAACACTATTTTTTTCCAAGATTTTTTGGTACTTATTGTACTATATTTTTCAATATCTTGAAAATGTTTATCACCAATCCTTGAAGGCCAAAAAGGGGATTTTAGTTTTTTTTTAATGTCAAAATATGTTTTTAATTACATAAATTTGTAGTCAAAAAATAAAAAAATATTTTAGCGTTTGAGTTTTGAATTTTCATTTATTTGTTCATTAGCTATGACTTTGATAAGATACTACATTTTCTCTTAAAGTTATCATGTTTCTTCGGTTTTCCAAAACCGGTAGCACATAAAGTTCATATTTATGTTCGAATTGTCCATTTGGTGATAACATTCTAACAAAAAAAAGTCACTGGTATAAAATGACTGAAATAATGATAGACAAATGGTTCTTATCTCCAGATTACACAGGTACACAGGTTGGTTTTACAAACTCACTTTATCAAATTATTTTTATGCGTGTAATAAAACTACTCGTCTTTATAGCAACGATTGAAAATATTAAGAAATACAGTTAGTTTAGTAATTGTCGTGCTGTAATGTTGTTAAAATAAAAGCACATTAATAAAAAAAAAAAAAAAAATACAGTCAAAAAACAGATCTTTATAAAGTCATAACAAATGAACAAATAAATAAAAATTCAAACACTAAAATATTTTTTTATTTTTTGTCTACAAATGTATGTAATTAAAATATGTTGCTATTTAAAAAAAAACTAAAGTCCCCCATTTTGGTGATGAAAATTTTTAAAATATTGAAAAATATAGTACAATGTGTACCAAAAAATGTTGGAAAAAAATATTGTTCAAAATATTAATATCTGCTGGGAAAATGAGTGTTTTATCCTTCATGAATCGCCCTGTGTGTGTATATATATATATACAGGGTGTATATAAGTATGTCCCTATAAATATGTATAAAAAAATTGAGTTTTGATTACTAATTCTTTAAATATGCATTTTTATATTTTGTAGACTTGGGAAAGAATGTCGGGTTGGAGAGTACATCAATCTCGCGTTCAATCAGTTCCTGGGGATCCAGACTATCCAAAAGTATCTGATCGTACTCTGCCCAAACATTATGCTGACAGAAATTTCAGTAACTCTCCAATATAATTGATTAATAGATATTTTATTGCAAATTTTTCTGTAAGAGTTATTAAAATGTAGAATAAAGTATATGAAGTATAAAATATAAAAAAGATGTTGTAAATTATATAAAATAATAAAAGTCTACATATTATGGACTGAAGAAAAATTTATTATATTTGGTATACCATTATGATTGATTTTGTATGCCAAAACCATGATTCTTCGCGCTAAAAACATCCTGCTTAAATAATCCTAAAATATAAATAATATATGTTTTTATACAATTATCTTAATGTCGATTGATAGTTTAAAATTAAACTTGCCTCAATGTTTCCATGAATTATAACCAAATCATATTTTCTTTTCAGTCCATCAATATTTTCGTAAGTAATACCCATATCTTTATGTTTTATATCACATCTAGGATTAACAAAGATGGTCCTACCACATAACAATGCTGGCTCTAATGACAAAAGATTCATTTCCACCTGCAAAATTGTAGTTGATAAATAACGCGTATTCTGTTTATATTATAGTATTATTTGCGTAACATACATCAACGAGACAGTCATTTTTTCTAACATCTAGTAAAATTATTATGAGGTCAGCGTAAATATTAGAGAATGTTGACAATGCTGATTTTACACTATTTGCTTTAAACACTTGTATTTTATTGGAATGATTGTTTTCATGGTAGTCCGTCATTGCGTCAGCCAGTTGCGTGCTCCAATTAGAATTTCCGATAAGCTATCCAATACAATTTTACATGAGTTTTGTTAAGACTTTTACACAATAGAATGATCAAAGACACATACCAATATTGAAAATAATTGTTTGGTTGCTGCTTTGGCATTACATTTAAACACTTTTTGTTCGTCGGTATCGGACCAAATTGATGTGCTGCTCATGTTGATTATATAAAAGTATTAACTAAAATAAACAATATTTTATTCGTTATCAGATGATTCGGTAACGGCATTCGATAGTACTGCTAAAGTGCTAGCTAGAGAAGACAAACAAACTATAGTCATACGCACATGTACTAGGTAGTAGGTATATTTTACTATTTAAATTTTAATTTTTAGTATTTACTTTGTAAATAACCGACGGCCGACAAGTGACAACCGTTTCTATAAGATTTCGCGGGAAATTAATTTAAAGACCCTATCTTATCTTTAACTACTATTCGATTTAAATCACGATTCACAAAGTCCAATCTACCTTGGTTACTCTATGACTGGCATTCGATCATATGTTTTCAAGTGATAACAAGTTACTACTTTGGTTATGACCACGGTTGTAGATAGACTGGGTTGCTACCACAGATATATATAATAAACTAGATTGCTAACTGTACATGCCACCAATAGAGAAGATTGAAGCAGCCACTTTCCGCCATCTTGGTGGGAATTAGAACCTTATCACGTGAGAATAATATATGTTTTAACAATCACAGATATATATATATAATATTGATATAATAATATATACAGATATATATAATATGCATTGATAACACACATAAATTCCAACAGAATGGCGGATCGTCGGCTTCAATTCTTATCGCTAGTTAGCAATCTAGTTTATTATATATATCTGTGGTAGCAACCCAGTCTATCTACAACGGGTTGCTACAGTTACCACGAATGTTGCATGACACGACTTGTAGTTACTCCGACATTGCTTTATCAGTCATTTGCCACGAATATAATCTACTTCGAATATACAATTGCTACGATTAGACGGTTAGTCCGAATTTAACATACTCCGACATCGTAAAGTAATTAAATGAATCATACAACAGTTAACTCGATATTGTGATACCACGAAAGTATTTTATTTCGACTATACATGATAAGAATACTTGACCACCGGGCACCGACTATTCCGTGTAATCTGTGATTGTATAATGAAAATATATTATATATTATTGTCAGTATTTATATGTCTTAGATTTTGAACTCGTTTGGTGTACAAACAGGGAAATTACAAATTACTATTTAAATATAGTTGTCGCTAGTACTGTATTGTGGGCCGAATGAGTTAATTTCTGTAATGGGCCGAACACTGTCCATTCCGCAACTAAATCCAACTCTACACAAAAGTTTTTGACTAACTACTGATAAATTTAAAGACAGAATCGGGTTATTGTACATAATGAATTTAATATATTAAATTCATTAATTACGTTTTATAGTGTATTCTTTATTATCAATTGCACATTTTAGTTTACAGTATATCTTTCTTTTAATTATTGGTTAAAACCCTTTGGCAAGGGCATTGTAAGGGTTATATTTAATTAGTTGACATACATAATTGAATACAGTAGGCTATACATTTGAAATAGAAAAGTTAAACAAAAAAGATAGAAGAATTTTATAAACAATTTTTTTTATGAATAATAAATATAAATCTGATTGTAATATATAATTTAGAATGTAGGTGATTGATTCAAATTAAGTCCCAAGGGTTTCAGATAGATTTTTGAATATATATTGTTGTTAATCCGTTGTGATTGGTATTATAAACAACTTTGAGGTTTTGTATAATTGTATGACACTGAGAGACGAGAGTCACTTAAAATGGACAATAACTTACAATATAAAAGTTGGTTTTTAATCATCATATCATCTGCTAGCGGTGCTTAATTAGACATACTTCCCAATGTTGGATTTTAATATATGTATGCATTTTTCGACAATTTTTCTAGGTTTTTTAGGAAGGCAATTTGCAATTTTCTCTTTTGAAGATCTCCAAAATTATTTTTTTGAAAATTCAATGATAATTTATTCCCGAATTACATTTGAATTTATTTTAGGCATAACATTTTAAATAAAAAATGGGCTTCCTAAGAAACCCAGACAATTTGACAACAAATCCACGCATACTTTAAAAATTAAAATCCAACATCGAGAAGTATGTCTAATTAAGCACCGCTAAAACGCATGAAAACTAGTTGTGCTCCGACCCCTTTAAGGGGTAGATTTACTAAACCCTCACAATGTATAGGGAAACACTTTATCAATGGGGTGGCGTTTTTATTTCTTTGATATTTATACTTAATATTTTTTTATAAAAAACACGCTGCGGTCCCCTTAATGTTATTTTAACTTTGAGTTACTTCTTGCTGAACAATTTTAAACTTGTTTTTACTCAGATGAATACATGCGAAAAAATCTTGGTCATCCCATATGGTTATGTGGTCAAATTTTGTCGACAATAAACAAGGTCTTCGAATTTCGTTGAAATATTGGTTTATAATATAACCTAAAAAGTAAACTTCTGCGTCACTATTATGGTCGCTACTACTGCTACTAATCTAATTATTTCAGTCATCTAGAATTAAATATGCATACAATTTATATCAAACGTGTAGGTAATACAATATTTATAATTTAAGCATCCGTTTTGAATTGAATTGGTAGTTACATTGAAATAACTACCTACAATGTAACTGTTAATTCTATGTTTTGTTACATGCAATCATAAAGTATACCTCATCACAATAATTCGATAAAAAGTTTTAAGTGTGTAAAAGCAAGCAAATAACTAATAATAATATAGGAATATTATATTATAAAACAATAGGTAGTAGATATTTTAGTAAAATTAAATATTACTTGATAATATTGATACTAATCTCAATTCTCAGTTTAAAGTTTTTAACTAACTATAATATGCTAACTAACTGTGATTAATATTCAGCTAAAATTTAACCGAAAGAGTCAAATAGATAAAGTCAATTTTTTAGTTTAACAAAGATTAACATTACATAAAGTTTAAATTATTTTAACAAGCAGTTGATAAAATGACCTTAAGTATACTATATTTGTATCGATAAAGTAACAGAGTGAATAAGTATTACAATTTTACAGTTTATCAATTTATTATTTATAGTTTTATATAAATTAGTTGTTGGGTCATGTCAGTGTAAATGGAATTTAAGGTCCATATAATGTTTATCAATGTAAATGTCCTTTAAAATAGCGAAATCATAACATTAAGATTTTTTGATAAGTCATGTCGATGTAACTGGAATTCGAAGCAATAATTAAAAATGGAACTTCGATGTAACTGTAAATCGTGGCATAAAAAAAATTAACGAAAACATATTTTCGTTGTAAATGTATTCGTGTCAATTGTCGTCGAAGCAATTGTCATTCGTGACAAAAATGTCGGAGTAACATAACATCGTAGCACGCAACATTCGTGGTAACTGTGTTATCCCATCTACAACCATGCCACTGAATATCTAATCAATATATATATATATATGTATTATTTTCTGTGGTACTAGGATTAATTGATGTATTGTTTACCAATACAAATTTAAAAAAAACAATAATTATGATTTTTATAATATTTTATCTTACAAATTAATATTTCTATAACTTTTTGAACTTGATTATGACTTCAGTACTTCAAAAACTATTTGATATTCCGAACGTCTTGTTACATTTATTAGAAATTGACAGTAAAGGTTTGAACTAATATATTTTATATTATAGTTATAAATTCTGTTTTTTTAAATAATATATTTATATTTATTTATTGAATATGATTCGAATAGACTTAAATCGATGTAAGATCTTGGGTCAAGAACAAAACGGCGAGTTTCTTCTTAGTTGGGACCAAAAAGGCAATGGAGGCAGTTATACTGTGGTTGGATTGTTCTTTTACACAATAAGAAAAATACAAGTATTTCCTTGATTTTATGATAATTCTCACATGAATAATTCTTAAAAAAATGACGTATAAACTTATTTGTTTTATAGGTCCTTATAAAGTTAAATAATTCAGTAAACATTATACAAGCTTCTGTTAACTACAAAAATTCTGTATTAGGTATATTATTTATGTTTATATATATTTAATTATTTAAAATATCAGTTTTAAGTGCAATTTTCTTATGAAGTTTAATTTTTGTTTAATATATAGCATATGTATCTAAAGAACCGTTTGAAAATTCTACTGACCATTACCGCGCATTTATAATACATTTAAAACAACCTTTTGCAAATCCAATTGATTTAAATGTTAGCAGTAATCGTCAAACAATGGTACAGTTTTTGTATAGAAAACGAAAACAATCTGATAATGAACGATTTTTATTGTTTGCTCATGAAACATGTAAGACTTTTGTTACTTTTATGTTGTTATTGCCTTATAAATAAATTACCTATAGCATTTTATTTTAAATAATCTGTAGTTATTTGCTAACATTTAAAATTTTTAAGTTACTAACACTATTTTTATTTAGCTATAACACTATATCATTTGGAGGAAAATACTTCCGAAAGTAATGAGGTGTGTTTTCCCATTAACAGCTTGCTTTGATAAATGGTATTTATGGTTAAGTGCTAAATCGGTATTAATAAAAAATTTTATTAACACATTTTATAGAATTCTCTTATTGTGAAAAATCGAGAAATAGTAGTAAATCAATTTTCCTGGGCCCAATGGGAGCCGCAGTATCAAAGTTTATTTTACATCCATTATTCAAATACAGCATATAGTGATGGAACTGATGCTAGCTTATCGGCTTTACAGTTTCATGATGAACCACATCATGAGACAGTGGTATGTATAATTAAATTATTTTTATTATATAGCTTTGTAGCCAACAAAGTAGCATGTTTTAATTCTTTAACTGCAATTTAAATCTAAAGTGTAAGTTTTAATGTTTAGCTAATAAATGTTCAACATAATATAATAATGGTTTTTTTTATAGTTTTAAAAATTATTGATGAAATTCTTTATCTGAACTATAAAGTTTAATGTTCACATTTATTGTTTTTTTTACAGTTCAATGTTCCTTTAAATTTACCAAACAGAAGTAAAACTGCAAGAGATCTTCCTAATGGATATTATGATATTCCTGTACCTTTATGTGTACATGATAGTATGTTGGATATTCGTGTACTTACAGATGCACGAGGATTTGTAGCTGTTTGCCATTATTACTTGTACCAAGTATGATGTTAATGATAAATATAATTAATTATAATTTGTATTTGTATGATATAAATAACAAAATTTACTATTGTGATTATAATATAATTGTGGCTTTCTCCACATAAAGGCCCCATCGCCCAGGTCTTTTTTCAAAAAATTATTTTAAATGATCTGTCATAATAAAATATATCTATGGTAAAATGCCAGCATGTATATTATGTATAATATGTATATTTTAGGATGGTCCTTAAATTTGACATGGCGTTGGATGGTCATCATTCAGCTCCAAATATTGGGAAAATATTTTTCGAATTTCCTTGGTCTTTTTGTTCTCAAATGTATACTGTCACTCAACAACTGTTGGAAATGGTCGGAGCTGACACCGAAATTGATGTGCAAACAGGGAGATCAAAATATATGAAGAAAAAATTAGAGAAATATTTTTTCAATATTTAGAGCCAAATGATGGCAATCCAACGCCATGACAAATTTAAGGACCACCCTAATATATACATTATACATATACATATTATACATAATATACACACTGGCATTTTACCATAAAAATGTTTTATTATGGTGGTTAGGTTGATGATGACTTGACATGTTTGATACTAACTAGTTAATAGAAATTGGTTGCCAAAATCAGTGCAGGCTATCTTTATAAATGTATTTTTTTCTATATTATTTGTTGATTTTTGAACTCTTAGGATTTTCAAAATTTTATTACTATTGATTTTAGGGTGTTAATGCTCCACCAGTGATTGATCATTTGAAAAATGTGTATATGGCATTTTCCGTCACTCTTCTTCATCATGGCAGTGTAGCTCATTGTAATATATCCAGTGTGCCTATTACTCGTGCCTATGAATCACGCCCAATATTTACCATGCAAGGAGGTAGTTTTTTCATTGTTTTGAAAATGCGTGTGTTCTATTTTTAGTTTAAATTCGAAATTAAAAAGGTATTGTTTTTACAATGATGTGTTTTTTTATTTATTTATTTTTATTTGTGTTGCATCCACAATATCTTCTACATTTAAATTGCTAAATCAAATTCTTCATATAGCAAGTCAGAAATTGTACCTTAAAGGTATTTTAATGGGTCAGAAATGTAAACACTTCCCCCGTTCCCCATATCAACTTTTAAAATCACTCAAAAAATTTACCCATTTTTTAAATTAAAACTACTGCTTGCTATAACTTTTTTTTTTAAATAGTCAAATTAGATCCAAATTAAAATGGATTATAATATTCTAAGTTATTTAAATACAGTAGTACTATTGATATTGACTAACCAAAAAATAATTTCCCCCAGAAGGGGTAAAAACTATTCTTTTTTTTTCAAACATATTTTTATGACTTAATGTTTGAAAATGAAACTGAGATAAATCTAGTGGGGCTCAAAACATAAACAATTTTCTTAAAAATCTGTGGTCAAATTTTTTTTTTTTGGAAAACCAAAAAAATGGAAATCACATTTTGTTGTCTATAATTTCCAGGTTTTTTTAATTTATATTATTAAGTAGTTTTTTGAATTATTGTTTTATACAGAGTTATTTTGTTTTATGTAATCTTAAGAGCATGTGGAAGTTTTTGAGTCCACATTATTTATACATTTTTTTTTTTGTTTCAATAATGTAATTCAATTTTTATGTAATTATTTCAGATCAACACTTACTTGTTCATTTTCCAAATATTTGCACATTACTATTGGATGTAGGTCCGGATCATGAACCTGGATGTCATATTGTTATACCCAGTCAAGATGAAAATAAAAATCGATTAGGTAACATCGCTACAACTATAGGATCTGCAGGAACAGTGATAGATTTGACTTCAATGACTTTATATGAAACAAAAATTACCAAACGTCATTTAGTGGAAGCTTTTAAAATATCATATGCCAATTTAGCTAATCAACAGGCTATTTTACATTATTTCATGGTACACAGGAGAGATATGGATATTGTCAATCAAGTAAATAATGTAAAAATATGTAAAATAAGATATCTGGGCTAGGTTAAAAATGATAGGTAATATAGGATAAATAACATTTAATTGAGAACTTAACTTGTTAGTTATGTATTGTTAATAAAACTTAAAGAAGTTATTTTATAAGTTACTAAAATAATAAAGTTAAAAAAAAATGTAACTACCTTGGCATTTAAAACTGTTTAGCTTTTGAATTCAATTGTGGCCAACATATTAAATATTAACTGTTCAAAATTACTTCAAGAAATATTTGTTGGGAATACGTACGCTCAAGTCAAGCGGAATTTATTATCAGATGCTGTCGGTCTTGCTAGATATTTACCGTTAACGACATCTAATCATTCTGTTCCTCTGGATGTGAAGGTATTTGATGGTTGAGTTATTGAAGTCTAATTTATATTTTACTTGAAACAATTTGTTTTATTATTAATTTAAAAAATAGATAAATGGTCATACATTAACATTGTTACAAGAGACTTTAGAAAATCCTAGAGTTATGTTATTGTCACCACGACAAAGATTAATTCCATTTCGTGATGATTTATGGACAAGATTGTGGGAATTGTTGCCTGGTGGTTCAACAGCAGCAGACAATGCTTCTAGTAGACTCGAAATTTCACGATTCTCTAACAAATATGTTGCCAACAAATTAAATATTTCATTAGTTTGTTACCAAGTAAATACATCATGATTCTAAGTACTATACACTTATGTTATATTTTGTTAAAAATAACATTTCAGCCTGAAGTGCTTTCTCGATGCAGTACTCCAATGTCACCCGGAGGCTCCATGCTTGCCAATAGTATGGCAAATATTGCCATATCTGATATATCACATTCATTTCAAATGGCTGCTGTTATATTATTACCATTTATAGAAGTTGATACATCTACTGCTAGCAAACAAGAGCATGTTATTTCTGTTGTATGTTAGATCGATTACTATTATACATTTATTTTTTACTTAAATGTATTATATATTAATGCTTTAGAATCTGCGTGAGTTGAGCATGCATTTATTAAAACAAAGTTCAATGCAATCTAATACACTACGTAGCCGATCAATGCCTGAACCTAATGCAATGCACGTACATGCAGTGGCTACAAAATATGCATCGTCACAATTAGAAATCTCTCGGTCCTTATGTGCTCACTTAACATTAGCCGCTGGTGTGGATGCCAGACAACAGAAACTAACTGGTTTTCAATTAATGTATGGAAAACAACAACATAAATGATATTCATGTTTCTAATCTTTGTACTAATTAACTGATATTATTTTAGTGATTACATTGAAGAAGAGCAACGCAGATCATTGTTTACAGTATTACAGCGATACGCCCATGCTGCTGATACATTAGCTTTTCCATTACCCCAAGGATTTTCATCATTTATTACATATCTTGGATATAAAGTTTTATCAAACTCTATATTTAACCAGCATATTCGTTGTAACAGTTTTTTACTGAATGTAGATGTTATGAAAAAAATTCTAACTGGTATGTACCTAATTAATTTTGTGCTTATGAGAACGCTATCCACTCGTAATTTGTAGTGTAAAAGGGGGTTTATACCATACAATACTAGTACTAGTATACCAGTACTAATACTAGTGATAGTACTAGAGCTCCCAAATTTGTATTGATAAATAGAGGAGAATATTATCTGTGCTCAAGCGGCAATTTTTTGATGGATAAAATAATTTTTTTTTTACTGTGAATATTTAAAGCTTAGGGTTTCCTCTTGTTACTGAACAAATTTAGTGATTTTACAACAATTCCAAGACTCTTTCGATTTGATTCGTGAAAATAATTACAATTTTGTCTAAACAATAAAGGTTCTTATTACTGTATTAATATGTATTGTACTGTTACTTTTATTAAATGCTACCTATATTGTACTCAATGTCTAGATATTGTTGATAATAAAGACGGAGTGATGAAGAAATTGGATCTTATACAAAATCTACCACATTCTCGTGCTAAAAGGTTAATGAATCAATGGTCACACCCGATATCAATAATGTTAAGGGCTAGAGAACATGCGTCTGAAATATTAGGTGGAATGACTACTAGATTATCTCATAATCGCCGAAACATTAAATATCGACAAAATTTAAGCAAGTTTCAATTTTATTTTTATTTAGGAATGGCTATATTATTATGTAATGCTTTTTAGGTGCAACTTCAGCTTTTCCATCACAACATCGAATGTCGCCTTTGGAAACATTTCTTGAACTTCTTACAGCTAAAGGTTAATTCTTTTTAGTTAAATAGTAGTAGTAAACAATTGATGTTTTTAATACTATTCGTTTTCAGCTGTGCTAGCTGATATAGATTATAACTTGCTGGTCGATGCTACAGTTTCATCTACAAAAGATATTTTAAACTAAATACTATCAAGAAATGTAACACAATATCATAGTACATAAGTCTTTTATTATCGTTGTAATATTAATGTTTCACATTACATACAAATATTTGGTAAATATAAATTAAATCAATTATGCATACATTAAAAAAAAAACATCTTAATACAAAATTATATAGAGAGGAAAAAAAAGACATTTTAATAAATTGTAAAACGATAGAAAAACACGGTTGTTTCTAAATGTATTAGAGAACTTAAATTTTTTATTTTTTTATTGTTTTAAAGAGTGTACGATTTATAAGAAGAACTCCAATCGGTTGTTGTTGTCCATTGAGGAAGTTGTTTGAGAAATTTCTGTAATTGAGTAGTAGTTTTATGTGATCCATGCATGCGGTGGCCAGATAATCCAACTTCAATTTGCGGCCCAGTATGACCTTTTGGTACCTGAATTAATATTATTAGACAGAAAATTTAAATTTCTGATTGAAATGAAAGCTGAAAATACAATTAAAGTTTAAATTAAATTACCTCGAGATCAACCCAAAAATCCCACGGTACAATATCATTAGCGCAAGAGTAGTAAATAAAATAAGTAGGCCGACCATTCCATCGAGGCCCTTCAAATGGTTTACTATTACTCACACTCCAGTCTTTTAGTTTAACGTCATTGTATGGTGATATCACCATGGTAATGTGGTCAGGACCTATATAAAATTATAGTTGCATACTTAGTTCCAATATGCAAATATTATTAAATACAGATTTTAGTCAGTAGAAATATTAGTGACAGGCATTTAACTTGGAATGCCTATTTTAAAGATAAACAAGAAAACCACAACGGTCGTCTCTATTTCATAAGTCTTCTGCTATGCTCAAACATGAACAAACAAAATCATCTTTTACTCAATAAAACCTTGTTACCTTGCCTATGTGGACATATGGTATTATTTTATGGGGTACAGCCAAGCCATATAACAAACTTACTATACAGTCCTTTCTAATCAATTTGCTGCGTAACATCTCTCAAGCTCAGTAGTGTATACGGCATATACTCTTTTTCTATTTTTGATTATTGCGTTTGTTTAAAAAAATTATGTGATACAATGTATACGGTTTACTCTCTACAAAATTATTGTTAAAAATTATAATATATGAGCTGGTGAAAATGAAAGTGGCGTAAGTCACATTAGGTTGTTTTGAGAAATAGAAGGGTTTGTGTTTTGTATTTCACACAAACACGGTATCTTACCGAGGTAACTTATGAAACTTTAGGTAGCGCTCTCTTGCGGACAAAGGCTCAACTTGACTTACAGTTACTCCACTGACTAAATGACTCTTTTAGAGTATACTAATATGCTCTAGCGATATTGCAGATTTTTTTAAAAATTTTGACTTGCGTCACTTTCATTCTCAACAGCTCATATACTATTATGTATTGATCAGTTACCAGGTTGTTGAGTATAGGTTTTAAATTTAAAAAATATTTAACGGTACCTGAACCTGATGTTTTAAAAATTATTTTTATTTTCCTTAAGTGATTAAATTAATTGTCAGAGCAAGAACACTCTTTTTAGTAGATATAATTTTAAATTGAATTTATTATCAATACACCGCTGCTAAAGTTTCTTGTTGGTATGTCACAAATAAATAACTCCACGGTAATCTCAACATAATAACCATTCACGACACTGCAGCATTATTCTAAAACTGTTTTCATAGCTAACTTCAAGGACATCCAAACAAACTTATCAAAGAACTAGGGTCCAAAATGCTTCCAGATAATTCTAAACGTTAGCTTAACAGAAGAAGATGTAGAGAATTATTGTACAATACTTAATAAATTTATAATGTAATCATATGTAAGGTGGCTCTAATAAGAACCTTTCTTCTTCTCATTCTAATTCATGCGTGTATATATTTTTCAAAAAATGTGTACAATAATTACTTATTATTTATAGCATGTATAGATTGTAATTATTTTTAATATTGTGTTTTAAAAAAAAATATTAGTCTATTTATCTATTATAATTATAGTCTGGCATGTTTTTTAACACATTTACTGAGGATGATTCCAAAAGACAAAATATATCGATTCCTATTTTTGAGAAAATGTTTTGTATAATTTATCTAATCTATTGGAGGAAGTTGAATACTGTTATTTTATTGAAATTTATTATTTTTAATTAATAATAGTTTTTTTTTGGTAACATATAATATATTTTAGTTGTAACACCGTTTAGCGTCAATAAAAAATAAGGCCTTCATTTTTTCCCGCATATGTGAGTATATATTCTAATATAATCTACAGTAAACATGTCAAGCCGGTTCTCCTGGCTTGACATATATATATATATATATATAAATTCTATATCTAAGATTAAATAAATACTATTATTTAATCTGTGATGACATCCAAATCTAATTTTAAATAATACTGACCGTTAACTGTTAATGACAGCCTTTGAATATTGTTTAATCTTTGATCTCTATACATTAATTTAAGATTTAATGGAATTTTGACATCTAATGGTTCAGAGTCTATCCAGTGGGTTTGCCTGATATACAGATAATATTGTAAATTAATTGTATACACTAAATTAAGTGGATTAACACAAACCATATAAATGTAATAACGGGCAAAAAATAAGGAAGTCCACAATAGAGTTCTTTGCTACACTCTTTGTGACTTATTTGCCGTGCATTAGCTAATTCAGGTACATAGTTTTTTATTGAATGTGGACTGTTTACATCCAAGTCTACAATCCATAACCCATTCTGAGTATCACGCAATGAACCATTATGATAATAGAAACTTCGTTCGACATGCTAAAACATTGTTTGTCTTAAATTTATTACAAAACAAGAACCAATTACGCTCCTTACAAAAACTAGCACGTTTCAAATGCTGAATGAAAAAAAAACTTCAGCACTGTTTTTAAGCAAGCTGAAGTGTTGTTTTTAGGTGCTAATTTTTGTATGGTGCGTCAATATAGATAAAAACACTCACCGACACCATGTACCTTTGTGGTGCTAAGTTATTAGAATCACCTGAGTAAGGGAAACCAAAAGGTGTAAAGACTAGAACTAACAATGACGTTAATAATATTAGTGTCAGTGAAATGAACACTGTATTTACTTTGCGAATCAAAAACACCAGAGGACTCTGAAATATTTAAATAAGTTCATTAAAACAATAGATTTTTAGTGTCATAAATGTTAGTTTTTCAAACTTACGTAAAAGCTATATACTAAAGTGAACATTGCAGATGTTATGAGGGACATTACTGTTTCTGCATGATTTCCAGAACCTGAACGACCCATTATGGGAACAACTAAAAGAAGTGCTGCATTTATCATATAGGCAGACAAAATAAATGGAATAAGCATACACCCAAAATGAAGCCACAACACAGTATGTCCTAAATAATAAACAAAATTGAATAAAAGTAAGAATAATATAATTGTATTTAAAAAAAAATGTCTTACCATAGTTTTTCTTTAGCAATACATTTTGTAACAATGTACTTATCATGTTACATACAACAAAAAGCGCAATTACAAAACCAGACCTAATATGTAACAATACGCATAATAGAAGAATTGTTATAAATAAAAGTTGATTTCCATCTCGTGAAATGCAGTACAACAAGGACTTTGGACATTGAATATTTTGTTGACCCTAAATATAAATACATTCTACATCCTCAATACATCCATTAATTTAAGTATTTTTATACATATAAATAATTATTTACTAATTTACCGATAAACATTTTTGGCCAAATAATACATAAACAAGTAATGGTACCAACATTGTAGGGATTATGTACAAAAAAAACAGCCAGGCTGGCTGAGAAAACCAACTGAGACAACAACCAAACAGCACAATACATAAGGACAACAATGCAATAGTCCCTAATGTCACCAGCCATATTAATAATGATAGGCCTGAGCATTTTAATAACGATTTAAAGTAGTCTTTGGCAGTATAACCTTTAAACATTAAATTCATAGAAACATACTTAAACAATATTTTATTTATCTAAGTAATAATTGAATACCTGTAACGTAATTGTGATTTGCATTATGTAAAATAACAAAAAAAGAAATAATAATGACACAAATATTAATTATATCTGATAAGTCTTCACTCCAATGAATAATAAATAATCCTAAAAAATCAAAAAATACCTAAAAAAAATTTAACTTACTTGAACAATGAAACATAAATTTAATTGATAAAAAACTAAAATGCATACCAAATTTCCATTACTATATTTTTCTATGTTTGAAATTTTGTTTGAATTGACTAGTTTTAAAATTAATGGCAACATGTTATCGCCAGTTCTCTGAAATGTGCCAAGAGGAATTTTGTCTACTGTGTCTAACTTTGTATGGTAAACATAACCATTTGCTGACCAGGCAAAATCAAGTCCTTAAACAAAGAATTTATTTATAACTTATTATAATTTTGTTGAAATTTTAACAATTAGACTTACCGGATACACGCCCAAAATCACGAAATATTCTATAATCTGTATCACCAGGAATAATTCCACTCTGGAATATTTCTTGGGCCATTGATGATGCCAATGGATATGGAACAGTATCAGAATACGCCTGAAATAAAAATAAAAATGTATATGTTTAAATCATTAAATAAATAAATTAATAAAAATGTACTCACTTCTAACAACCATGGATGATTTGGTCCAACTTGAAATAATAATTCTTTACCACCAGATCCACAAGCTTCCATATTAATAAATGCTCTTATACTAGAAGCCCACTTGTGTTGGGTAATAAATCCATGTGAAGCTTGCATCATATTTTCTTCAGCTCCATTGAAAAGAAAAATTATATTATTTTTCAAAGGCTTGTTGAGACGAGATATAACTCTTAATAGTTCTAACATTATTGCACAGCTAGCACCATCATCACTTGCACCTACGATACATTCTTAATTTGATAAGCACATAGTTTTTTCTTTATTTATACAGGTTTATTTACCTGGACTATCCATGACTGAATCAAAGTGACAATTAATGAGTAAACTATGACGTGAAGTATCTACGGGTCCAATTTTAACTATTACATTTTGAACATTTCTGTATACATTTGTCATGCCATCAAGAAAGTCTAAAGAAAAAGATCCACTAACTCTTTGTAGATCCCACTCTATTTTGTGCGATGAATGAGTTTGATAAATAATTGTTTTAACTTCGTCCAGCAACATCTGGATTGCAAATATTTCATTTGCTTCACTCCCAACTGGTCTAGGTCCTTTAGATGTCAAATTGACCAAGTAATTCTTAGCTCTTTCCGCAATAAAACGGTCAACATATTTGTGTTCGTTAGAAATAGTAATAGGATCTGGCAGATTCTTTTCTAACGTAGCAATCAAAGCATACACAGATACTGAAAGAGCGATACATAAAAGAAAATGGTAGGGACCACTTGGTAGTACCCTTATTTTTTTAGAATTATTCCACTGTTGATACTCTATATCTTTTACATGTTTGGGTAATAAGTCATGATTTTTGGTCGTTTTTGTTCGTAAGCGAAGTCTCGGGGTGCCCTTTGAATATGGATCATTCTAAAATATTTTTTATCAAATTTATAGTTTTATAGGAATATATAAATTGTATTTCTCGATTGTTAATACCTTAATATGAAGCATGATCAGTAAATCCTGTTTCGATTTTTTTTTTGTAAACTGGTATATTATTTTATTTAAACAAAAAAAGATGGCTAACTACACCAAAGTGTTTTTTTTGGTGTAATGGTAAGGTTTTGTAGGTGATATTTCCAAATGATCATCCTAATATACACTATAGGAAAAACAAAATAGAAAGTAATATAATTAAAAAATTTAATAATTTGTAAGTGCTTTCATAATCAGTTATGTAAAATACTTAGAAGGTGGTTTTCTAACGAATCAATACTAAATTAGGAAGTTTTATAAACATGGGTTCAACACAATGTGTACACTTGGTGGTCCTTATATCAGTTTTTTGTGAAATTCCACATTGGGTACCTATCAACTGGCTCCGAAAAAAAAAAAAATTTCCCTAATTATTCAGTCCCTAAGTCTCATTGTTTACACATCAAATTTATAATTATACAGAAAAATATATAAATTTTTCACTAGCTCTAAAATAAAGTTAAATATTTCTACTACATGATACCAAACCCTATAGCCCTAAGGGTTTGGCGAACCCGGAGCCCCAAGCTCTGAGATGACTAATAGGTTAGCTCAGTCTGGTTTTCCAGGTTGAGAGTCAAGCGCAGGGCTAACAACCCTGCTTTGTAAAAAAAAAACGCTAAGTAGTAAGTAAGTAGATAAGGAAAAATTATGAATTAGAAACACTCTTCCACTGAGTATGCTGGAAATGATAAGGAACAAAAAATTACAATGGGCTGGACATGCTTGGCGTAGTCAAAATCCACTCATACTCATAGTACTAGAACAAAACCCTAATGACAAAAAATCGTTGGGAAGACCACAATTGAGCTGGGAGGACGTAGTAAGGAAAGATGTAGAAGTATTAGGAAGAGGTTCAGACTGGAGTATATAAGCATTGGATAGGGAAAACTGGAGGCAAGGCTGTATATCGGGATAGTCCCAATGGCAGATTTACATAAGAAGACCAAAAGTATTTTAAAAAACTAAAATTTAATAATTTGTGTTATTGGGAGGAAAATTTTGGTAGAAACAAAAATACACATAGCACACACAGATAAAAGAGAGCAAGTACAGAGTACAAATTATAACTCGTTAAGGTAAATAAAATTAATTATTTTCATTAAAGGTGTGGTATTGGAAGTCTAGCAACATGTTTTTATTTAATTCTAAAAAATTTAGGACCTACTTTCAAGTAGATAGCGTACAAATGTCTTGTTTATACTTCAATACTTACTATAAAAATTCATTTTTTTACAATTGTTTATGCAAAACCCCTAAATGAATGCAGGTGAGATGTCATCTTAAGGATTATAATATATTGTAATCGTTTTATGTATAATTATAATGTTATAAAATACTGTAATTAATTAAATTATACATACCTGACACCTTAATCACAGTACTTATCTAAAATGTAAGTAACTACTAAAATTACAATTGAGGACAGCTTTATAGAAGGTTAATATTTAATAATATTACAATTATGCATAAAACGAAATTGAGTTCCGCATATTAGAATAATTACCCATTAAATATTCATTTTCCTTATAGAAATAAAAATTGTATTTAATATAAGCCCAGAATATATTCTATCCCATGATGTACCTACCTAACAAGGTGGATTTCATAAATTATAATCCACCTTGGGTATGTCAGCCGCTTATCATACAATACAAATACGAGTTTTTATCCCAGTCATACGCCAATAGATAAGTATATAAAAGACCTTATACTATTATAACGAATGTAATTTTAGCGAGCCGACGTGACTGCGCTGTCGGCGGGCTTTAATGACGTCACTAGGGTACGTGCATTCGAGTTCTCAGTATGGTCATATTAATTAAATACACATGAGCTATCTATGTATACTTAATCAATGGTATGGTAATATATCTGAATATGGTATCTAAATATAGTTGCATAACGAACTATAAAAAAGTGAGATACTGCTAGCGCTCCTCGTGGGCAAACTTATTATTTTTCACTTATGACCCTTGTTATATTCAGTCGCGTTAATGATAACAGCCGGGTTATCAGTGCTGACCATAGACGTCTATGGTGCTAACACAGAATAGAGAATATCTCTCTATTGTGGACTCTCTCGTTTGTGTTATAAATTACTCATTAAATAAGAAACTTCCCAAATGTTTTTAAAATATTACTTTTAAGAGACAAATTACGTTTTATGCTTCAAATTATAGTTTATTATAATTTTTTGAATATTTCTCTTACAGTAAATATAGGTTTTTTTTTCATAGATTATATATAATTTATTATATGATTTTAAATACTTACTGTAAAAATTTAAAATTGCTTCGTACAATTATTATATTTTCTTAAAAGTGGATTAAAAATAACTGGCTGAACTAGATCAAATAGGAAAATCTAAAACATTTAAGATGGATGATAAATAGTAAGTTATCAAAAAAAAAAAATGTCGTTTAAATATTATGTAAATTATAATTATAATTATAATGTAGTTAGGCAATGCGTAGATTAAATATAAAAAGATAATTCATGGGCACATACAATATAGCAACTGTTATGTGTTATAGGATGATCATGTCATCAATATAACGTAGTAGTATTTTTTAATTAGAATAATTAAGTAAAATAAATAATGAAATTCAATAGTTCAATTAAACCGTTGCGGTCGAGCAGCCTGTGTGTAGTCAATTTCAAAGATTGCATTAAAATTTTAATGTCGCGATTGATAGGGTGGTTGGGCTGCATATGGTCTCACTGCAATATTTATGCGGTCTAACAGCGTATAGTGCAGTTGCGTTGTCAACGGTTGCATTAAAATGTGTATCATTTTCATTTTTTATTCAACCGCAATGTGCGGTCCCAGCCTAAGTGAAAAAGTCAAATCAACCCATTAAGTCCGAAGTTATTTTTTTTTTAATTTAAAAATTTTTTTTTTACAGTTTTGATTAACCCATTAACGCCGAAGTTTTTTTTTAAATAATTGGTGGGTTGGGTGCTTGTTTCTTATTATTTTTTGAATTAAAAAAAAAAAAAAAAAAAATTGTGTACTTAAAAATTTGAAAAAATTGGATGTTGCCATATGGCAACGCTAGGCACTAATGGGTTAATACAAAAAACATAAAATTTCAATATGTTTGGTCAGTCGACTTCAGTACATTACTTGTCGTCAGTTAAGTTCAAGTGTTTGTTTGTTCAACACCTTGTACCTATCTTATCTCCATTTAAATTCACTGTCACTCACTCTTGCGCTCGCCCATTTGTCGTTGTCAGGACTCAGGGAACAGGATCCATCAGTCGTTTGTGGTCGTAGGCGATCCCTCTGGGATGAACCACAAAAGCCAGGAACACCTGTAACTCTTCAACATCCACGTAGAAACTGGACGGCTAGTCGTAACACAGTCAGTAACCCATTCTAGAGCCTTCACACTATCCTTATGACATGATAATGAAATGAATGCAGCAGCTACATGGTTAATATAAGTTTCCAAAAATTAAAAATTGGTTGTCAAAAATGTATATGTCATGTTCTATGTATGGCTAACGTTTAAAACATTTTCAATCCAAATTTTTAATAATAATCTATATTATTTAATGTGTGAAAGGATATTAAGGTGTGTTTAACAAAATCACTTCTATTTTTTTCGTATTTAGCTAATTATAACTTGATGTAATTGATAAAGAGCAAAACATTTTTTAAATATACAAATATTAGTCTAATTTCTAAAATTCTCTTACAGATATTAAATAGACAAGTTTAAATTATCATACTTATAAGTTATAAATAATAATTTTGTATTTTATGGTAGTTTTAGAAATGAAGAAAGAAATATTTATGATTTTGAAGGAATTTTATTAGAAAATGGAAAGGATTTATGCGATTGCAACTCTGAGACATGTCCTGGATGCTTTTATCCTTGTGAAAATTGTAGTTCTACCAAATGCGGTCATCAATGTCGGTTAGTCCAACTCAAAATTTATGTGCTATTTTGAATATAAAAGAATTAAATTTTACAGTGTGAATCGGGAATGGAGGTATGAAAAATGGACTACTATTAAAGACGCTAAAAAATAATAAACTATTCAATGTACCTATTTAATTAATAATCAATACCTATTACCTAGTTTTTTCAATAATTTAAAATAAAAACAATTTCAATTTGTTTTAAGAAGCCTTATCATTTTTAATTTAAAATTCAGTTAAAAACTTGTAATAAGTTCTGATATAAATGTAGGCATTCGTTTAAGAGGTGGCCTATACACACTTTCTAAGTTTTATTATGTGACCTACTTGGTTTTTGTTCAATTTTAGGTATAAAGATTAATAAGTATTAAAAGTATCGATGAGAGTCATTTTATAGTATACATTTCTGTTTTCTTATCAGCTTTTAACTAAGAAGTAAACCAGTATATATGCTATGCAACACTGTTATAAGTGATATATTTTATAATAACACAATTTTGGCTGTTAAATTTCATAATATTATTCAGAAGAAAGTATGTTTCAGTTTCTACTAAGTTATGGTATTTTGCCAACATGGTATGTTACTAAAAAAAAAAATAATTTTATCATTTTTAGCAGACATCAGAAAGAAAAGTTTACTTAAGTAAATTGTAATAAATGACTGATTATAAATTATTAAATATGTATTATTGAGAAAAATTACACAATTTATAAATGTTTTAATCATCTAAAAATGAATGACATCTTGTTGTATATAATAATATGTAATAATTATTAAAATTTAGTAGATGTAATAAGTTACACCGTTAAAATATTGGTAGGCACTAGGCATCACTTTGTCTGGTCCAAATTTTTTGTTATAATTATTTGTGTATGTTAACATACTTTCTATTAAATGTTTGGTTTTTATTCTTCATATTTAATAATTAAGTAATTATATTGTATTGATGCAGTAAATTCTGCAAGTAACTAGTCGTAACTGACTTAACTGCCATCAGGGCCAACGACAAAAAGAACTCGCACAGAAACCAGTCAAGGTGCCTACAATTATAATAAAGTGAATAGTACAAAAGTTAACTTATTCTAAAAGTGGAGCCTAACAAGTATTTAAGAGGGGTATAAATAAGTACATCTCTTTTCTACATTTATCTCACTTGAATGCAAAATAGCCGATGTTAATTTACTGGATTATTAGAGGATTAAAAGCATTAAATAACCTCAAAAACTTAGAAAATAGGAAGCTAAAATTATTTTCCCTGTACAAATGTAAATTTTTATTTTATAAGTACACACATAATTGTAGTAAAAACAATTTTAATTTGTGAAAATCAGAGAAATATAATTATTATAATTGGTTTTATCTAATATTATTTTTTAAAGGTTTGTACCATCTACATATTTAGCCCACTCAGAGTTGCAAGGTGCTGATGGCACAATCCAACCTACTGGTATACAGCTACCATCGTTGTTTTGTGTTTTTGAATCATCAGTAACATATTTATCCCAGCCTCTCCTGAAAAAAATGTATCTAGGTTATTTGTTACTCGTATATTTAATTTAAGTGTATATTTTTTCCTACTTTTTATTCATTAATAATTATAATAAGTTTGATAAGTATAAATTTGTTTTTAAATTTCAATTTGGGTGTTTTATAAATACATGTTTCTTACTAACCGAATATTTAGGAATGTTTGTAAATTATTGAATATAACTTCATGAGATCCCATATTTGACCCAAAAAACATTTGGTCCCATTCTTTTAATTTATCTTGGCCTTCTATTTCCCATTTAACATTTTTCTCTGCCTCAGATTTAGTAAGCATATCTTTTAACTGTAGCTCTTCTTTATGGTACTCTGACAGTTTTTGATGCCACACATTCTTCAATTTATCTAACATTTTTAAAAACAATATTCAGATTATAAATGTATTAATAAACTTGGGTTGAATAATTAAAAATATAATTTTACTGAGAGATTCTTCCAGTATAATATTCTTTCTTTGATCTGCACAATTTTGGAGTCTAGATTTTCTTAATTTTTCTAACATATCAAACAATGACAAATGATTTTTTGCATCATCTATTTTTCCTTTAACGCCTTTGAACACAATATTAGCTTCAGTTTTCATCTCAATTGCCTATATTAAAAGTAAGCTTTATTTATTTAGACTTTTAAAATAATCAAATTTTCGTAGGCTTAAATAAAAGTTTTGGTACATGACAAAAAGCATGACATTTTTTACCTAACCTTCCCACCAATATTAATTGTATAACCAAATTTACCCTTTTCTTTTTTAAAATATCATCGTGTAAGGCATTTTGCCAAACTTCAATCTTTTTATTAACTTCTTCAGCTTTATCTTGTTGTTGCAATTTAATAGTTTTTATGTTTTCTTTAAACTTTTTCAACCTATTTCTCTTCCTCTTTCGTTTGGATAGTTTGAACTGTATTATTGATATAGCATGTTCATCCAATTTTAAAGTATTGAGTATTGTATCCAAATGATCCTAAAAATATAAAAATTTAACTATGTAAATATCATTATAGCAGATCAAGTATACACATCATTTTAAAAAAGTTTACTTTATATGATTTCCAAGTAAAACATTTTTGCTGCCATTCATTTTCAGTCATAGTTAAAATATTGTGATCCAATATTTGTTGGAAACATTTCATTTTGTCATACAGCTCTTTACATTTCTTTATTTTGTTGCTTATGTCTTTAACCTAAATATTTTTAGTATTATAACATATTTTTAAAATATACATAAAAGAACATATTATGACAGATGTGCAGAATTAGACACGTCTGGCCAAATTAATTAAAATTAGTAAACTGTATACCTTAATGTCATACATTGATTTAACATCATTATGGGCAGGTTCTTTGTTGAATTTATCAATTGACCATTTTTTAATCCACAATGAAATTTCATCTTTAGGTTTTTCTTGAACAGGACATATGTTTTTAAGAACATACTCTTCATTAATATTATCCGGAAAAGGTGGAAATGTACTTGTATCAATAATTGAGTTGCTGTCACCAGGTTGATTAAATGCATTTTGAAAATAATTATCAAGATTAGGAGGTAACGGCATCATATTCTGATAAGCCATTTGCGAGATTTGACTTTTGGGTACTGGCATATTTGGTGGTGGAAATGGTATTCCAAAAGCTGCATTGTAAGGTGGTATCAAAGGCAGCAATGGTGTAGCAGGAGATGGATTACTTAACCACATGTGACTATTGGGATTAGTCATTTTAAAATATAAGTAGGTATAAAATAAAGTACTATAAATAGTTTTATGAAAAAAAAAGTTAAAATATAAGAATTAGGGGTTATAAATTATTAATTATATTAAGATGATTGCTGATAAAAATTATTAAATTTCTTTTTCAGCATCTGCTAAGAACTTTATAGCATTCAAAAAATCTTCTTCTTTATTGAGCTCTTCACAATCTGCTATAATACTTTTTAAATCTTCATATGCTGCTTTGAGCCTTCGTTGGGTATCTGGTATCATCATCTGTGATTCCCTAAGCACTTCTTCTTGCTTTTTTATGGTACTTTCATCAATTCCTAAACATTACACCAAAAAAGAATAAGTATATTAATTATTTTTTTCAAAAAATTTCAATGAAGTAAATAAATAAATAGTAACTTAGGAGGGATTTCACACAAGAACACTTTTAGACTACGTTTAATGGCAAATACAACCATCTAAATATATCTCTATGGCTTTTTCCATCAGCAGCGCTACCGAGTGGCTTTGTGTGAAAGAGCCCTATAATAGTATACATTTTTGTTTCAACACAAAGCTGAGATAATTAGTTTTACAATTTTTGTATCTAATCTCAAGCGGTAATTTTTAAATTAATGAACCAGTTTATTCTTACGTGGTTAAAGGTCACTTAAAAGTATGCTATAAAACAACAAAATTAAAGAGATTCTCTTAAAAATTAAGTACAATGTACTATTCTGTACTCGTAACTAAGAAAATATAATAAACCTTATCCTCCTGTAAATTGTATCACTTTTTTTAAAAGTATTTTTGGATTGAAAGGTCTGAAAATCCGATTGAAGGTAATTATCCTATATTTATAAAATGTTAATATTTTTTCAATCTTAAAAAAATTGAATTGTAAATATTCTTAAACCTATTGTCTAACTCTTTTTATTTCAAAAAAACAAATAAAAAACTTAACAGAATTGTGGCTTTTATCGATATTTTATTTTTTTAAAACCTACAGATTTGCATCAAAGCGTTTTTGGGAGTGTAATTTTATTACTTTTATTAGATGTAATATTTATAAACTTCTATGGACTATCGACGATACTTTGCCTGCTTTATATTATTATTAACCATAGGTTTCATGAATTAAATATAATTTGTATACTTAATTTCAATCGTTTACATCAAGTGTCACCTCTACAATACAAGGAGTTATTCTTGCAATGTGTGATGAGGTAACATTGATTCTTTTAAAATTAAATAGAATTATCTACATAGTGTTAAAGAAATTAAAAATGAAATATTTAAATAAACCTGTAACCAGAAAAATAATGTTCTATAGCCTATAAGTATTTCAATGTTAATAAGATTAGTCATACATTGAACAGGTTTTCTAAAATGGGTTTACATGACATGGATTAAAATCATTATTTTATTGTTTAAATTTTGAAGATTATAACATATGGTGGTATTTGGTACATAAAATATAGGTATCATTATCATCATGTAGCTAAACATGCCATGAAGGACCAATGCTGCTATCGTGATATTGTTTTTTGATTCACTATCTATACTTTGGCCACTTTAAGAAGGTACCTCATCATGTCAGCAGCAACCGGTTTCCACCCCGCAACATTGTCATAGTTCGGCACTGCATACTGTACATACAGATACAACATAGGCGGTGACTAACGAGTTTTGGTTTGCCGCATAAGTACCTTCTTAAAGTGTCCGGAGTATAGGATGAATTGTCAATCCATATAGACGTTAACTATGTATGATAAATTACTCAACACATTAATACTGTAAATAAAATGTATGTTTTATGTAAGTTCCGAATAACAAACAAATAAGTTGAGTTTGATAGACAAGTAATCAAAATAATTAATAGGTAGCTAAAACTAAAGGAAGTTCATATAAAATTTGAAGAATATGTTTTTGCAATAGATCCTACTATGACTAATACTATGAGTCAGTTTGGGAATAACTTGTATTTTATAATTATTTATTATAATGTAATGTATAAATGATTATTAATTTTTATTTATTTCTTAAAAAAAAAAACTTAAAATATGTATTATGTAAAACAAAAACCTATTTCAAATGTGCTTATGCCATGTAATTCCCCTCATTTTTTTTAACTTCTCAGTTCTAAGGCACTATACAGAGTTTTCTATGTGCATATTACATAGAGAACATCTAACTTAATAGGCATTTTCTTGAAGTATTATTAATACTTCATATATTTTTACATGAATTATACTATATTTTTAAAACTGTACTTAATTAAATAATTTTAGTACAAAAATATGTTTTCAGTTTTCTTAAATTATATATTGGAAATAGTCACATTTATACAAACAATTTACTAATCCATCACGGATTTTAATAATGAGAACTAGATTAATGGACAGAGAACAATGCACAACTTGTTTCAGCAAAACAATTTATTACAAATACAATTTATACGAAATGATAATACACCTAATTATTTAAAAAAAAGAAAGTATTGTAGTATTGTTTAATAAATAATAGTAATAAAGAATCACATTTTTAGATTTTTCTTTTTAAAAATTAAGTAATTATCACTTTAACTAAGTATTCTTTAAAATACACTAATTATTTATTCTATTTTATTATATGTTTAAAATTTGTTTCATTTTATTGCAATATGATAATAAAAACAATTCATACCAAAATGTATACAATACAAATTTGATGTGGTTACATAGTGATATTAAAGTAAAGTAATAGTCCAATTTTGAGCTATTCCAACGGCTGGTTTTCGTATTGTCAAAACTTGATTGCTAGCACTGTATAACACAGATAACTCTGTACTACCTTCAACTGTGTGAATGCTGGCTTTTGTAAACACTGAAGGAATACCAACAACCATCACTTTCTCCAACCATGAATTTGTATTAAATGTGTTACAATGTATACATTTAGAAATCAACTGATTATTAATAAATTCATATTCGATGTAAACAAACTTTCCATCACGATATTCAAAACTTTCTTCATCGTCAACATATAGGTTACCTTTAGCTGTACCTTTTAAGCCAATGGCAACAACCAAAGTGTATGGGTCATCTCTCATAACAACTGAAGAACGACGCACACGTTGCTTAGTAGGTATTATTGTTCCACCTCGTTGATATACCGGAACCTTGTTTATAGGAACTTGTATTTTTATTGGTCCATTAGTTTTAATAGGTTGATGGGAATCTCGATCGTACCAGACTTCATCATTACCAGGGAAATAAACGGATATTTCTTGGACATTAGGTTTTGTAACAGGGCAAACCAGTAGACTATTTCCAACCATAAACTCGTAATCAATCCCAAAAACATTTTCTTCTGATGGAAACTCAAAAAACAATGGACGTATTACAGGAGCTCCAGTTAATTCATGAGTTTTGAACAATGTATACCACAGTGGCAATAAGGTGTATCTAGTTCTTATAGTATCTCGTACTAAACTGGTAGTTTGTTTATCAAATAACCATGGCTCTCGACGCTTAGTATCTATGTGTGAATGTCCTCGGAAAAATGGTAAGTATGTTCCTGCTTGATACCATCGTATAAATAATTCTTTATCGGGGTTGTTGAAGAATCCACCAACATCAGCTCCACAAAATGATATACCAGAAATAGCCAATGACAAACACATAGGCAATGATATCTTTAAATGTTGCCAATCAGCAATGTTATCTCCAGTCCAAACGGCAGCAAAACGTTGAGTACCGGCAAAATGAGATCTAGTTAAAATGAATGGTCGTTTTTTGCCACTAGTTCTTTTCAAAAGACCTTCATATGTACTCATAACTTGTAATAACCCATAAATGTTATGTATATCACGATGTTCATAATCACCATGATGAACACAATCCTTAGGCATTGTAACTTCTGGCCCATTAAAGACTGAAGGCTCATTCATATCATTCCATATATAAAGGTCTTCAGTTGAACCAAGATAATTATTAAAAGCAAAACGTGATATATAATATTCTTGAACTTTGGGATTCAAAAAATCCAAATAACTGGAAGACCCCGGCCAACACCAACCTTCATATACACTTCCATCTTTATTTTTGACATACAAATCATTACTAATAGCATCATTATGCAGAAAATAATTTGAATCACGTTTTATATGAGGATCAACTATGGTAACCAATTTTCTTCCTTTGCTAGTTAAATTATTTATCATTTCTACGGGATTAGAAAACTTAATTGGATCCCAAGTAAAATATTTTTTACTGTCTGTATGTTCAATATCAAGCCACATGACATCCATAGGTATATCATACACATCAAAATTTGTTTCAACATTATGCACGTCTTTTTGATCATTATAATTCCATCGACATTGATGATAAGCTAACGAAAATAAAGGAGGTAATGGAGCAGTTCCAGTCAATGAAGAGTACTGTCTTGTCACGTCTAAAGGTTTTGGACCAAGCACAATGAAAAAATCAATAATACCACTTTCTGACATAAAGTGAGCTTGGGGTACCTCTTTATCTACTGAAGATCCAGAAACTAAATTTACAATAGATTCTACAACTGAAGTACGATCAGCATCACTTTTGACTCCCGAAATATCAACCCATGTTTCAGCAGCGTTTAACCAAAATATTCCTATGCTGTTCTTTTTTCCGTGTCCCATTAAAAAAGGAACAGCACCATAAAGGGCCATGCCATTATACAATTCATACTCAAAAACATCTAAATTATAAAAACGATATGGGTCATTTCCACTTGTTCCTTTCAGAGAAAAAGAATCTGCATGTTCTGGTAATCCATAAAGATTTGAAGATGAGTATAATGTGAAATCCATGGCAACTGCTGATGGTCCACGAGGTTTAGAATCCTGATGTTCTTTGAAAAATTCTTCCCACGAGCCAACTTCATTATCTGGAATGGATTCTGGTTTGGGACGATAATGTTCAAATTGCATTAAATTATTACTATTGACTAGCATAGCGAGTTCATCATTGACATAAACAATTAATTTAAATGGGGCAATTGTAATATAAACTTTTATTGTACTTTGTTCTAGTTCTAATTCTATGGTTGTTTCATTTCGAGCCATAGTCATTGATTGAGGTATGGGCTCTGAGGCTAATGCATGAACAGGTTGAAATCTATTGTACAATTGTTTACCATCTTCATTAATACGTACTCTAAGTGTGCTATCTCTAAGGCCATCCAGCCGCATACGTAGATATACACCTTCATACTTAGTATTTGTTATAACAGCTTCTAGATATTTATCAGTTAATGATACACTATCAGGAACCAACTGGAATGGTGAAATTTGATTTTTACTCATAGACCGACATCGCTTACAAAAATTACTTTGATCACATGTTTTAAAATTATGGCGATCAACTGAATCCACACTGTTACTGACGAAAATAACCAGATAGATAATAGCTAGTAAAAACCGACCAATTATCTTCATAATGTAAATTTTGTTTGTTTGTAGGTATGAAAAAACCGAACTTACATATTCATAATGTTACACACAATCTTTAATCACAAAATTTCTAAACAATGAGTAAGTATCAAGCATTATTAGAAATATAAAGTTACACTTCAAAAACTCCAATATATTATGCAAATTATTAACAGTTAATACACTAGGTTCACAAATTACTGCCGAACGCCGATGTTCAAAAATTAAAAGACACTAAGAATAAGCATCATAATTCATAACCTATTGGCTATTAACAATGATGAGTTGCATACCCCTTCCTTCATATTATGATTGTATTATAAAAAGGTGTGATAAGCGGAATTGATTCACAGTTTGACCAACCTACAAATAATAACAATCTCAATTTCCAAGTAATATTAAATAGGTGGTCAATGAATAAATTATTTTGTAAAAAATAATTATTTAAATCTTTAATTACATGATAAATTAAGTAATGTTAATAATACAAATTCACAACACTGAAACGAATATGATAGTATTTGACTTCGTAAATAAATGTTTTTATTTATTTAAAGGTAACCACAAGTGTAAACAAGATAAAAAAAAGCTCCCTTTTTATATTAAAAATAATATTTTTTTTTTTATATTATACTTTCTCATAATTCTTTATAAACTAAATAAAAAATATGTATTCTAATTGTTTTTACCAACAAACATTGGATTACCATGTGTAGATAAAAAAAAAGACCAATAAAAAACTATACATATATATATATAGTATACCTATTTTATTAAAATCATTTTAACAAAAATGTAACATAATTCGGACAAATTTCATTATTTGCAAAATAATTTAGCTAGATAGATTCAGGGAACACCAAAATCATTTAGTGCAATTTCTGCTAAGTAAATACATACCCTACAAATAAATACATATTTGAGGTATGAAATACATTTATTTTTTTAAACTAACAATAGTTATTATTTGCACAATCTGAGTTTTTATATATCAGAAAAATTTGAATTGACTAATGTCTTTGTTAAAATTGTATAAAATCGCATAAAAACATTTTTTTTTTTAATTACTTGTCATTCATAATATCACAAGAAAAAAAGAGCTGTTTATATTTTTATTATGTTATTGTAAAGCTATATACTGTTAACAAAGACCTTAGAAAATACCAAGTAGCATGTTTATCTCTTTAAGCTTCAATGGAGCTTAAAAGGTTGTTTTTACAATAATGAATTTTTACTTTTTTATTTTCGATGTTGGTGTCAGGGTGAATAAAATTTCCAAAATTGCTGAACTGATATACTCGTATAGTAACACTATAGATCAGAAATCGTACCTGAAAGGTATATAATTGACCAAAAATTTAAAAATATTCAACCCCCTTCCACAAAAAACCCCCAAATAATTTACATATTTTTCAACTTAAAATTACAGTACTCTACAACTTTTTTTAAAATAGTCGAATTAGCTCTAAATTTGTGTTAAATATTCTTTAGACATAGTAAACATTGTCGATAAACATTGACAAATCAAACAAGTATTCAAAACCTTTTCGCTTAGAAAGGGTTGACATTTTTTCTTTATTTTACTTTTTGAGATAAAGTTTTGGGATTCAGTTCTGAAAATTGGACTGAAGGTATGTCTAGAATGACTCTACAACATATACAATTCTCTCAAAAATCTGTTGTTAAACTATTTTTTATATTAAGAAAAAAATTCCAAAAAAGAAGAAAAAACCACTCGTATTATATTAAATTCATTTGAAATTCCAGGTTACTATCTGGCAATGAATCAACAGTCAAATTGGTATATATCTGACAATGGATATTTCATTATATTGTTAAGATAATCAGTCTATTACCTTAATTGTAATTACTTTAATACAAAAAATACAATATAGAGCACATTATTTTCTAGCTAACAATCTTTATCAATATTTATATAATTATACCATATATACAGATTCACGCCAAAGCGTATTTTTTGAGTGATTTCATCACTCTAAATTTTACTAATTTTTATTGACCTTACTTTGCTTTGTCTCTACTATGCCTTGATCCTACTGTAGTGGCTTTTTTTTTTTAATTACAATAACTCCTTCATAACAATAATGATAATATTATCATTTTATTCTTCTTAGAGAAAAAAACCTACTGCCATTGGCCAGCTAGTCGTTAAAAAGGAATTAACTAAATTAAGGAAGCTGAGGAGTGAAATTAAAACTGGAAAATTGTTTCTCCAATAGCTTATATGCGCCTCATCCCTTCATATGTAAACCTAAAAAATGCTTTTATAGTTTTTTATTTCTTTTTTGACAAGTCATATATTATATTAGTTGGCTGTTTGGGACCCTTAGAGAGAGTGTGTCGTTAGCTAGTGCTGAGATAGTTTCTCTAATATGCAGCTAATGAAGCTTTATTTGATGGCTACAATACAAATTACAAGAGTTTAATTATATTTAGATAAGACACACTCTTAAAAGTGAACAATATAAGACTACAATTTCAGATTTAGTATTAGATCCTATTCATTATTCATATATTTTTTTGTAATAAAAAATAAGTTTCACAATATTCATTATTCCTAAATAAAGGAAATTATATTTTACCTAAATAATAAAGAAAATCTATATATTTTTAATTTTTTTGGTAAATATTTTCTAATAGAATTTTACTATGACATGCTTAATGGAGGTAAAATTATATGTTATTTATTTTTATTTTCTTAAGAAATTTTATGACAACATAAATAACAAATCAATAAATTAAATTATTGATTGTAAGTAAAAAAAATTTAAGTAATATTCTGATTTGGTTTATCACTGCCTAGAATTTTTTTTAAATTTAATTGATTGATATTTATGTTTAAAAAATTACTACATATTAATAAATTGTGTTAGCTACTTGTTCATGAAATGTATTAATAAGCCAAGTCATAATGTTCTGTAATTAGTGATAGTAAGTATTCCTATAGTACTAAAATAGTTAATTCAAAAATATGGTTTATATATTAAGATGTTTAGGAAGTAATTTTGCACTATTAATCACCCTCACCAGATGTTTTAAGTTTTTCGACTTTTTCACGTTGTTGTTCCGTTTCTTTGATATACATAAGTTTCTCCTTGGTCAATCTTTTCACCACACCAGTCTTGATTTTCAACGTTTTAATACGAGGATCTGCCATCACTTACCCCAACACGAGAAGAAATCCTTCCTATATTCAACGCAGCAGCTGCAGACGTGGGTAGAATTGAAATGAAACAGAAAGGAAATCGTTACTATGGCTTAGGTTGAATTTAAAGTTATTAAATCAATAAGAGAATGAATGGCAATTGTTCTTTTCGTGAATGTAAGTAGAGCAACCAGACTTCCAAGAAATGTAATAGAAAATTTAGAAATTAAAATAACTTTATGCTACAAGCATAGGTAAGAGAAGGCTAACAAAACTTTTGAACCATTTTATCTAACCTAAAATATCAACGTAAAATTTCGTGACTTCTTGAGAGTGCTGGTAGATAGCAGCACGTTAAATAATTAACTAATTATTAAATTTAATAATTGAATAACGAATATAACAGCTTTCGGATATTGTATCCAATATCCATACTATTGTTTAATGTTTATGTGCTAACTACTAAAGTTTTACACCTACGTTCAGAAAGTTAATAGATTAATACTTTTAACCTTGAAAATTTCGGTGCATACTAGTTGCATCTCAATGCCAAGTAGGATCAAATTTTAACAAATACATTCAGTCATTCAAGTAGTTAGTATCCAGAGAGGTCAATCCATTACCTTTTACCCATTGGCCATTACCTATAAAAAAATAGAACACTTCAAGCCTTTATGCTACAGACAACGTTATATGGAATGATATTTAAATATTTAATTATAGCTGTGATAATAGCACTAGGCCCCGGACCAAGGTTATTAGATAATACTAGTAAGATAACGCAAGACATGCCTGCCGTCTGCGTGGGCTAGTGATTTATTTATGTTTATCCATGAGTTAATTAATATTTATTATGTTAATTAGTGATGGAAATAAACGAATGATTTTAATAATAATCAAATGATAAGTAATCGATATAAAATATAAGAATATACAAGAAGAAGGCGCGCACCCGGGCTATAAGGCGTCCGGCAGTTAAGGATTTTCGTTCCGGTCAAGTAACTTGAACTCGCTTATTCTTCCCATAGACCTTATATTATTTAGTATAAGGTCTATGGACGTAGAGAAGATACATCTCGACATCGTGCACAATCTGCACATAATACTAAATAGTAAATAGGCATTTACAAAATGGTCGTCACTTTTTTTGTTTACATTGAAAGTGACCCTTCTGCTTTTATCTATTCTGTAGTATTAATTTGATTGCGTTATCACATAAAACAACTTAATGATAATGAGATAATATTTGATTAGTGATTACTGATTACTGAAAGACTATGGTTTACGGGCAGGACTAGGCGTAGCACGTAAGATTTGGCTATGTAGCATTTTTATTTTTAAATTAAAAATAATTTATAATGAAATCATTATTAAATAACATGTAACATGTTTACCTATGGTATATAATATGAGTGGCGAAGTAAAAATTGTTTAGTGAGGGAGAAACTGTTTAAATTAACACACTGGTGTTGGATTTATTTAAATCATGGAAGTAGAAGATAATTTTCCAGCTGCATTACGTATTGTCACGGAAATTCAAAATGTAATTAATAAAGATCCGAAATTGTAAGTTGTTGAATTGTATATTTATAGGCCAATTTGTTCTTTTATGATACATAATAAATTATTTTGTTACAGAAAAGAATTTGATCTAGTCATCCAACCAGAAAGTCAAAACAAGTCGCCAGTCATACATGTTGAGAATTGCCTAGGTCTTGAAACATGGTGTGTACGCCATGTATACGAATATGTACACAGAAAATTAATTGCTCACAGAAAACGATTGAAAAGACAAGGTATTAATCTAGTAGATAGAAAGTTTCACTTTTTTGTGATGATTGCATGTACTTTGAAACTAAATTTGTAAAGTTTGTTAAATGCTAAATAACTGCTATTTGTCTATTCATTTGCACCTCATTTAATAATATACTACAAACATTTTCAGCTCCATGTGACCTAATACCATTGCTCACATCAGCATTGTTGATAAATCCAGAGGTAATCACCTTTTGGAATATAAGAAAAGAGTTATTAATGAGTGGATATTTACACCTTATGGAAGAGTTACAATATTCTGCTGTTGTATTATCATTCAAACCGAAATGTGCGGAAATATTTAACTATAGAAAATGGATTTATTCCAACATGTTAAATGGTACCTAAGCATTTAACATATTATACATATGATAATTACTTAAAAACATCTGTCTTAAAATTTTTCACAATTATTGTTATAGATTTCAATACTACCAATATTGTGTTCAATGAGTTCTTGGTAACATTGTCTGCTGCTGCTGCATACCCTAGCAATTATAATGCTTGGAATCATAGTTTTTGGTTTGTTGAAAAATCACTTCAATGTGAAAACTTTGGTATTGTCGCTCAGCAATTAGCAATGACAAAGACATGGTGTCGTGAGCATGTTTCTGACCACAGCTGTATGCAATACCGACAGCGATTACTCAAATGTTTGGTTGCTGATAAAAGATGTTTACGGCATTTAGAATTCTGTACGTCAAAATCACTTTTAAGATTTTTCAACTCTGATGAGAGGCATAAATTAATGCGACCATCAGAAGACTATTTTGGCGAGGCTCTTGGAGTGACATTAGATGAACTTTATTTCAATGAAGATCTGATTGCAATGTATCAGAATCACGAGGCTCTTTGGAATCACCGAAGATTTTTGTGTCATTTATTGATAAATATATGCAACACTGATTCAGTTAAAGAAGTTTTAATGAATAATGAAAAAAGAATATGTACCTCTTTTTTTAAAGGCAATGAAACATTTATAAAAAAACATGTGGTATGGCTTCAAAGAACTTTATGTATTCCTATTAAATTATTGTAATTTTATTTGATTCAATTGTTACCATTCATTCATAAAATAAAAATCCTAAACTTATGTTTTCTATAATTATTATAAATTATATTAATGTTTTATTAATTTTACCAATTTTATCAATATATAACCACAATATTTTGTGTACAATTATTACATTAATAGTATAACTACAAGTATTGATAAAAGCATTGTAATGACAATATGTGCTAAAAAATGTATTTTTAGTATAAGGAAGGATTAAGGTCATTGTCTCTAATAATTTATTGTAATTGTTACACACACTTCTTGATTAATAAGATAATGAAAATGGCAATCTAAAAATTTATTACAGCCAAATTGTAAATTTTTCCTTTTTTTAGTATTTCTTTATTAAAAATAAATCTTTGACTACAGATTTTTAAGAAATTTGTGTGTTATAGTCCAATTCTAGACCTACCTTAGGTCTAATTTTCATACCAGAGTCCCTAAAACTTCCCCATAAGGATTTTTGATATTTGTATGATTTTTCAATGTCTATAGAATATTCCATACAAAATTAGAACTAATTTGAGTTTTGACACCTTTGAAAAAAGTTAAGTCGAAAAATACGTAAAATTTTCACAATTTCGAAGAGGAGGGGGTTGAATGTTTTTTTAATTGTTGACTAGTAAAGTACCTTTCATATATAGTGTAGCTAGGTACACGAGTTGATCGGTTCAGCAGTTTAGGAAATTTTATTCACTTTGATACCAAAATAGAAAATAAAAAAGTAAAAATTCATTATTGTATGTAGGCACAAAAAAAAATATATATTATAAAATCAATACCTTCTCAGCTCTGCATCAAAGCAAATTTAATTAATTATATATAAATTTAATAGTGATTATCAATATTTATTACTTATGGTAATACATTTTTTGATGAATAGGTTTTATACATTAAAAAAATGAATTATCATCCCCACTTCTTGTAAGGGTTACACATCATTAAAATGGGTTATGTTTTTCAACAAAAATAAAGTTTTATTGAAGAAAAAATATATCTTGCTGTAAAAATAACATTTATTAGTTATGACATGATAATATTTAAAAACTTAAATTAACAGTGCATTAACAAATATTATAGTATTGTATTAAATTGTAATTTAAAAATTATCTATTTTATTTTTTAACATTAGTGCAGAATAATATGCAAATTAGTTTTTAAATCAAAAGTTAAGTATTGGTTATTGGAATAAACAAATGGTTTTTATTATTATAACTATTTTGGTAAAAAATTATGAATCTCCAGTTTCATCCAAATGAATCATAACTTTGATGGCCCCTCCAGCCCCAGTTTCTGCTGTCTCAAAAGCTTTTAATGAATCTTCAATTTTAAAATGATGAGTAATCAATGGTTTTAAATTGACTTGTTTTGAAGCTATCATTGCCAAAGCATTTGGATAGCTAATAATAAAATACAAAATTATAAACACTTTTCGATGTTACTTAAGAACATTTTTTATTTTATACTCATTAGCATAGCGAAAAACTCCTTTGATATCCACTTCGCGAGATAATGCATTAAATAATGGTAACTGAACCACACCTGATGCTCCCATTCCTACAATGACCAACACTCCTCCAGATTTTGTTATCTAAAAAAAAAATATATATATATATAATATATTTGTTATTTAAATATATTTAGATATTTAATAAAAGTAACTAGTAAGACAAAAGAAATATCTATAAATGCCACACTCAAAAGACCATATAATAGACAATGTAGACCATATGAACTAATAGGGAGTGGCCCACGCCACTCAATAATCTCAATAATAACTTAACCAACAAAAAATGGGGCATCTACAAAGTTCATATTCATGCATGATTTTGTTTGCTAGAATGAACGAGAAGTAGTGCAAGATAAGATGTGATGTCTATGAAAAGCTGATTAGATATAGTTAATGTATTGCGCCATCCTTCTAATAAATTACATACAATGTTTAATTTCTACTTAAAATATAATTTACAATGCCATACCTCTATTCCCATTTTTATTGTCTGTTGAAAACCAGTACAATCTAAAGTGACATCGGGTAATTCATTACCCATTTCATTTCTAACGTAATTTAAAGCTTCTTCATCTGAGTCATTTTTTTTAATTTGAATTGTTTTGGTAGCCCCCATATCTTTAGCCAAATTTAATCTATATTCAGTGAGGTCAGTAATATAGATTTGCGATGCTCCCATAGCTTTTGCTGTAGCCAGTGTGGCTAAACCAATTGGTCCAGCACCTAAAATAAGTACTGAAGAGCCAACTGTAATATTAGCTTTTTTACAAGCGTGGACTCCTACTGAAAGGGGTTCCAATAATGCTCCCTCTTCTAATGTCATATGATCCGGTAATCTAAAATAAGTAAAAGTAAGTTCTCAATAAATTACATAATGCTAGTATAATAATTGCTCTAAATAATATACTTTACTTGTAACAAAAATCAGCTGCATGTATAAAATAGCGGGTTAAATTTCCATCTACAGGTGGAGTTGCGCAAAATTTCATACTCGGGCACAGATTGTACTTGCCAATTTTGCAAAACTGACATTTGCGACATGAAACACCTGGTTCAATAGCTACTCTATCACCTAAATAAAAATGCTTATTATATATATATACACATATTGTAATGAATCGTACTTACCAACACTTAGGTCTGTGACACCTGTGCCAGTTTTAACAACAATCCCACTGGCTTCATGACCAATAACCATTGGTGATTTTACAATATAATTGCCAATATTTCCATGAACCACATAATGGACATCCGAACCACAAATTCCAACACACTGAATTTTTAATAACACTTCTGTAGTTTATAATATTAAGTTTTACTATAGATTTTTTAAAAATATTATAATATAAAATTGTTAATTAATTTTACCATTTTCACCGGGTTCTGGAATAGGGCGTTGTTCCTATATAAATTATAAAACAATTACCTCAAGTTTAAACAAACAGGTATACAAAAAGATTAAAATATTTAATACTTACAAGTCGAAGATCTCTAACACCATAAAGAACACATGTCAAATTATCCTCCTCAGCATTAGTATTTGGAGCCATGTTGTGACAAATTAATTATGGGTTTTGTCACTGTTAGCTAACTTATACAGTAATAAAAAAGTTATAATTGTGTAAGAACAAAATTTGATGATAAAACGACTGTTATAAATAAAAGAATATAAGGTGTAATCGATTATTATTGTTAATTTAGATAGTGAAAAATATTAACGTCACACCTAGAATTTAAAATAAACTGATTACCACTAACCGCTAATCCGTTAGGTCAAATTTACTTTTTTCTTATAGTTAATTACAGAACATGTATACTTAATATTTATTATTTAGGTGGGAATGGGTTATCACACAGCAAGTAACATAATATTGACAGCAGTCTGATTAAGTAGAATAATAATAATAATAATTTGTTTGATAAATGTTGATGTTATTACCTCAAATGATTAAAAGATTAGACTACTAATTAAATTCATAGTTCAAGAACTTTCAAGGACAAAGATTAACACATTCGTAATATAACATGTGAATTATACGCTTATAATTTGTTTATTAGATATAGAATTATTATTATATAGCATAGATGATGAACAAAATAAGTATCTATTCATTAAAATTGGTTTCGTTGAATACTTGAATGATAAATAGTAACTTAAAAGTACTAATATTGGGTACACCCTTATATGTAAAAAAACATCATTAATACCAATACTTATATTCTCAGCTACATATCATAGCTCAAAGAGGGAAAAAATGAAATATTCTGTAAACCATTGTATTTATTATTATAAGTACTTCTGACAACTAACAAGTTACTTTTTATAATATATCTATCTTTTTTCAAAATATATTTATTCAAGAAAATAAATAATGGTTCAACAATTAATCATTAGAAATATAGTACCATTTAGAAAATAAATCAATAACATACAATACAACAAAAACACAATAGTACACTTTGTAACTGGTACTAATTATTAGTATGAGTACCTAATAAATAAAAATTATAATAGTATTTTGTTACCATTCGACACTAGATATATTAGTTCGTTAACCTTTTAATAATGAAAAACAAAAGTATAAGTGTTTTAAATTAATATAATGTAAATTAGATATATGTGTTTAATATTATAAATAATAATAATAAAGAAGTAATTGACAGCTAACTCTGTAATGATGTATTAAACATATAAATTAAAACAATATACTGATAAAGGGTTTGTTTAATATATATACATCTATATGTCAACAAGGAAAATAACAAAATAAAATAGTTAACACTTACAATTTATTACTTAGTTTTGATATAATACAGAATGTGAACACTATATTTTGTCTATAAATTTAGACGTTACAACAATAGGTACTGGAATTTACTTTGGTGTTACTGGGTAAATCTTCAGAATCGACTTCAAGTTTTAAATTTGTGGGTGGCCTTTCACTTTCTATCATATGTATCAGGTTTTTCCCAACATTTGTAAATAAATCTAGAATACCTAAAATGCATTAGAATAATAAATATATGTTACTAGTTGCTATTGTTTTAGGAATAACAAACTAAAAAAAATATTTTAGATTTAGGTAAAATTTACAATTAAAACAAAAATATGTACAAGTTTCTAGTGTACGCTAAATACTCTTATTCAGGGTGGCGATTATACTATATGGATCCATATTCCATAACTTTATAATTAATCCATTTGTAAGTGGGCATAAATTCACTTCACCAGACACCATTAAGTTTGTTGGCAACACTAGGATAAGTTAGGTTTCAACTCATAAGGTCGCTGATGCTTCCGGAGTGGTAGGTTAGGTTAGTTTACTCCTTTAGGCAAGCTTTTTTTCCTCTGGGGGTTTGAGGGCGTGAGCCCCCATCCAACCAAGAGTCTCAAAGGGGGCTAGAGTTATGTCACGAAGCTGGCAGGCGTAAGAGTTGTTTTTTATAGTTAAAAATGTACTAACTTAATTAAAAAAGTGATATTGTTGTTCAATACAATATTGTTATTACATCATTGATAATATTATAATAATAGTATAATAATCAATAGTGAAAATAAATAATTAACTAATAATATTGTAGTAGCGCACACTCGCATGGCCAAAAAATGTATGGTGCAGCGCCAATTTACGCCTAATGTTAAACACGCGGAAATATGCAAATTTCAAGTAACTATAATTTTTGAACTAAAAGAGTCCGCCAAATTCTGACTTTAGATTCGTAGTCAGCATAAAAAACAATATAATATGGCAAAAGAAGGGTGTCCGGTAAAATGAATTTGTTCTTACCATTTGACAACTTAACACAGACATTTTGTGTAGGATGGAAGACATACATGGGTATATTGTTTCTTAAAAAAACGTATTTATTATAAAACTTCATTGAAAAATTAAGTCGAAACATAAAGAATAATATTTTTGAATGTGGACAAATAAATTAATATTGTGACCAAGTATTACATACCAGTATTGGCACAAGCACTTGTTTCCCAATAATGGGCATTGACGTAATTAGCAAACTCTTTAGCTTCATCATATGTGACCTTTCTAGAACTAACTAAATCAGTTTTATTGCCAACAACATAATATACCACTGGTGTATCAGTATTTTTTCTGACTTCTGAAATGCACCAATAAGACAATAATCAATTTTGTAAATTATATATATATATGTATAATCGAGTTAAAATCGAGTCTTTTATTTCTACAAAATGTATATAATTTGTTGTAAATATATACAGTTATTTTTAGACGTAGTTACCAATTCGTTTTTTACATTTTTGATACCCAAACATCCGCTTATGATTCCTCTACTTGAAGGTCTTTCACTATATCTGTTCTCCAATTCCAAACAGCTTCTTTGATATTTTTGATAAATTAAAGTGATTCAAAAGAATGTAAATGGAAGGCATTTGCTTCGCTAAGACAACGCTCATTCGCACACTTCCCGGCTCTCAACTGACTTGACACCTTCTGACTTTCACTTTTTCTCCGAATTGAAAAATGCTTTAGCCAGAGAACATATCACAACTGATGAAGAGGTCAAAGAAGCTGTTTGAAATTAGGAAAGGCAGCTAGCGGAAGAGACCTTCAAAGAGAAAAGCTGATCTCGAGGTATTGAAAAATTTGGGGACTATGTCTTATAATAGTTGTACATATTTACAATGAATTATATACATTAAGTAGAAAAAAAATAAACACTACTTTTTTAACAACTCTCATAAATAAATAAATAAGTTAACATTTACATTTCACTCAAAGTAATAGTAATTTACAATTCACTTAATGTAAAAGATAAAATAGTATATTTTACAATAATTAACATGACATTCTAGTAAAGTGTTCTTCACAAACTTTGTACCTAGTAAGCAGAGTCGTCTTAAGGCATGGGCCCAGGTCTTCGAAATGTTAAGGGCCCCAAATTCACATAAATTACATTATTTACTAAATATCATAATTTTATATTTTTTTTCTTAAAATGTTTTTAATATAAATCTCGAACGAAAAAATATTAAAATTAGCTTTGTATACCCAAACATAACAACTACTAATAATACAATTACTAATAATAATACAATTTGATCAATTTGTACACACATACATTATTTTAACGTCCGGACGTGAGGTACCGCTAAAACATTTGCGGAATATTATCATGCAGACATTAATGAAAATGAATTAATTTTAGAATGTACACACTTCAAAGCGTATCTATCAGAACTTGAAATTTCTGAATTCAATATTTCTAGTACATACAAATGTTTAAAATCAAGTAGACTAGAAGAAACATTTCCAAACATAATAATATCTTAATATCTAATATCTTTCAGAATTTTTTTATCAATAATGATTACCAACTGTAGTGGGGAGCGTTAATTTTCTAAGTTAAATTTAATTAAAGAAGAGCTTAGAAGTACCATGAGCCATGAACGGTTAAACTCCTTTCCTTTTTTTAATGAGTATTGAACATGAACTACTATCAAGTATAGATTATGAAAATGTTATAGAAGAGTTTGCGAATGAAAAAGCTAGCAAAAAACCATTAAAAAGTATTTAATAATTGACAAATTTATATCAATACAGTTTTTATGACAATAATTTTAGTTTTTGTTTAATGAATTACATTTATTTTTTAACTCTAAAACATATTAATTTATGTATTTTTTGAAATTATAATTAACAATAAGTAACTGAAATTCAAACAAAAATGCACTTTTTACTGAAAAATATAATATTTAATAAATAAATAATAATAATATATTATGTGTTAAAAAATGTATTTATCATAATTAAGTATTAGAAGACCCCCGAAATATGTTGGGCCCATATTAGGGGCCCCTTAAAACCTTAAGACGGTTTTGGTAGTATGAACAATGTGCAGGTAATTTAATTCTTAAAACATATACTATGTAGTTAAATGACACAAAAATCATCTTTGTATCATTCCCAGTCTCAGATTTAAATGCACATATTCAATATAACACCTGAACCTACCTAATATTTATTTAGATTGATTGTTATACATTTAACACAACTATATTATACCATTTATCCAATATTTGACCTGATCATATGATTCTCTATCTGACACATCAAATATAATGGCAACAGCATCTGCATTTCTATAGTACATTGGAACTAAACTTCGAAAACGTTCTTGTCCAGCTGTGTCCCATACCTAAATCACCCAAATATTATTATAAAAATCTACTATAAGTTGAATATTTTTTTTTTACTTTTAGTGTTATCTGATAATCTTGGATCATTACTTTAGCATACATAAATGAAGCACCAATTGTTGCTTCACAGTCCATTTTATAGTCACCTTTAATATATCTTGTGATAATGCTTGATTTACCAACACCTAAAATAAATGCACGTCAATTAATGAAAGGCAAATTACTTATATTGTTTAAAAAATATTAATTCTTGAGGTTTAAGATATTGAAAACCGAGGAACAGTTATAGAGATAGAACAGACTTCCAGGAGTGACTTTTATTGAAAAATAAAAAAGAATAGAAATGTACAAATACTGTTTTATTTTTTATTGAAGTCTTTTTTATTAAATTAACTATTATTTTCATTTTAAGAATTACAACTAGGACACAATCTTTCAATTGAAATCAAAATCATCAATTACCATATAATATTATTTTATTTAAAAATAAGTTATCCGGAATATTAAAAAACATTATTTAAAAAATAACATGCTAGATGATTTTGTAAATTAACGTGGCAGGATAAAAGTAGCATAAAACAAAATGTATATGTTCATCTCAACTACATAAGTGATTTACACAAAAACTAGACATGTCAAACATAAACTAAAAATACAATAAATTGTCAACATACCTTGAGAGCCCATGAACACTAATTTTGCAGTCAGTCTTTTCATATTTGTCAATTATTTTAATTCAATATTTATTAAAAAATTCCTTTTTATATTAGCTCATTTAAGATAAATTTGTTAATTGCTTTATTATTTAAGAAAAACGTTTGAATATTAGAACAATAATTAAACATACGTTTATGCAAAGTGGGTTGTTTATATAAAAACCAATAGATAAAGATCAATCTTAAGAGTTGTATTTAAGTTTTCTAATAACAAATACTAAATAGCAATACATTTTATAATAGGTTAATTATGCATTATATATATAATATATATATATCATATTAAGAATTTATAAGCATTATAGTATTACATAATCCGGTAATACTGAATGAAATTTTTCATATTTTATTTTATCAATAATATCATAATGCGGTGATTTCATTGGCTGCCCAAGCATCAAAACCACGAATTAGGATATCTTAATTCGTGCTCTTCAGTCTACACATTAATAGGTACCGATAATAATATTATCAAAAATAATTATTTATTAGTGCCGTTGGATTCCTTACGGCCATACCTTCGACCTTTATAGATGGTCATGTAATATATTGTATTATGTAATAATATTTTAACATTTAAGGATGACGGATACCGTCAATATTTTTTACAAATAAAGGCTAAAACGCGGAGTAACTAATCATTCGCCAATTTAGTTTCATTAATCATTAGATTTTTTTTTTCTTTAATTTAGATTAATTAATTAGATTATTTTTTAATAAAACTTATCAATAAAGATAGTTAAAGAACAACGGTATTTTATGTGCGTTATCATATACTAAATCTCCGAGTCTTTTTTGAATTCTGAAACTTTAAAAATGCAATACTGAAAACTTTGGGTATATTGACTATGATTGTTTTCCCCGTAGCCCTTCATACTAATATACTGTGTATTTTTTATATTTATTTATAATACATTTGCCAAAGGTCCTATCAGACGGAAGCCTAGAGGTCGGACCAAAATTTCATAGAACCAGTTTGAATGAAGTACAGATTTTGTTTAAAATTTAAATGTTATAGATTATAATAACCAAATCAAACTATCAAAAATGGTCAATAGACAATTATGTAGTTATCAGTTTTGCGCACTGATAAGGTGTACTAGTATTATTAGGCAAGCTGTCATAGGTTCAGACTTCAGAGCACTAAACTCAATTAGAATTCGGTCATCAAGTAATATATCCAGTATTGAGTATCCACTAAACTCAGTCATTTATTAATTATTAAGCATACTTAATCAATGGTTCAGTGATTTATATCTGTGGTTTAAAAAAGTTGATCATGGTTTGTAATTTTTAAACAAAACCGTGGTCAGGAACTTGATAACGTTTTCCCGCCATAACTGAAAAAAAAATCATAAATGCGAGCTTTGTATTATCATTTATCATTCATTGTTGAAAAATGACAACATTTTGTAGATTGTAATTTTACTAAATACTATTATTTTGTCATTTTTATTATTAGTTTCTTTTATTATTTGTATAGGTTTAATAAATATTTTTGTATTAATTTTACGGACCGCCACTGCCTCAAATATGGCTTTTTTAGACCCAGATGAGGAGTTTGAAATGATGCATGCCGAGGAACTGGAAATGATGAACCAAATGGAGGAATTTCACAATGAGGGTAGCCAACCATATTTAGTACAAGATATCTTACTGTTTATTTCCATGCATAAAATACTTTTATATAGAAAAAACTTAAGCAATTGATGGTTATATATGTATATATATATAGTAAAGAAATGAATAATTAAAACCTTTAACCATAAAAATATTACACTCTATGCGTATACATATTTCAGCAACAATGTTGTCATCTTCAGCACTTTAATGACAGACATCTGTTGTTAGTGCTGAAGATGACCAATTGCTGCTGAAACACGTTTACGCATAGAGTGTATTATTTTTATGGTTAAAGGTTTTAAATAATCATTACTTTGCTACTTTTACATACTTTACAATATACTTTTATTTTAACAGTTCCCAAGAGACATTCACCAAAAGAATCAAAACGAAGCTTGAATTTTCGTACAGAAAATAGTATTTCAGAGACTACAGAAAAATTGAATTTTTCCTCAGACCTTAATGGAGTGTTTCCTTTATCACAGTCATCAGTCGTTTCATTTGGCTTGGATGAAAATAACGAAAATGATGTATGTATAATTAATATCAAAAATCTTATATTTTTTTATTTTTGATAGTAATTAATTAACTGGTTATTATTACTATAGTGTATTCAAATACCCCAAGAATCAGTTATAGATTCAATTAATGGTAAAAGAAGAGAATTGGAAGATCATGACTTGTTTGGCGATATAGATGATATTGATTTTGAAGATAACTGTAAGTATTTAATTAACCATGCTCACGACATTAAAGTTTGATTACACCGTATATAGCAATTAAATGTTCTAAATAATTTGAATTGTACTACCTAGCTTTTGTTAATAACTAATCTTCTTAAAATACTAGCATCCAATTTCAATTATTTTTTCTTAAGGAGCCTCTACAATAGCGTTTATTATGCCATATTGAATAGGTAATAAAACCTAAGCAGCTTTTCGCTTCACAATATCGCTTCACGATACAACTGTATCGTTTTATAATTTTACTCGTATACCAAAATAAAAACTAAATTTTACCAATACAAATTGTTTTGCTTTTTTTTTTACTACAAGAAACCATTATTAAAATTCAATTATAGATTTTTTTTTTTTTAATTTAAACAATTTCAACAAAATTTCTAATAATTATTATACTTATTTTATTTTTGATGAAAACATTTATTATGATTGTCTATCTAAGGGGCAAACATTTGGAAAGTTTACTCTTCCATTTCAATATCAAAAAAAAAACACCCAGAATATGTACATATGTTTCGACTTAAAACTACGGCGCTCTATAACTTATTTAAAAATAGTCTAATTAGTTACGATGGAATACTAAATTCTAACATAAAAAAAAAAAAATATTAAAATTGTACTATAACAAAATGTTAACTGTAATAATTTTAAGAGGGGGGTTAGCTAGTTAAAAGTTAAATGGTGTTTTAAAATGGGAGTATGACCTGACCTAACCTAACCTAAACCATCAACGACAAAAAAAAACTGTTTTAGAAGTTTTAGGAGTATAGTTGTATGTTAGAACTAGAGCCGACGATTCTACACGTGCATTTTAAATACTTGTGTAAGACAAGTTAGTGTAGTTCAAATTCGCGTGTAGAAGTTTGTGTAATTATAAATACACGTGTAGGACAAGTTCATGTAGTTCGAATTCACGCGTAGAAGTTCGTGTAATTATAAACACACGTGTAGAATCCGAGATTCCACTAACTTTCCCAATTGTTATAATACTTTATCTTAGTGAACAGCATTAATTAAAGAAGAGTATCACGTCAAATTACAGGGCTTATTAAATCTTACAGTTGTAAGAATACCGAATACGTGTAGTTGCAAGTACACATGTACTTATAACTAAAGAAACTTTTACTACACGTGTATTTATAATTACACAAACTTATACACATGTATGTGAAGTACAGTCTACACGTGTTACACGTGTATTTACTTACACGTGTTATCGGCAGCTCTAGTTAGAACTGAAGGAATTTAATGCTTTTAGCTTAAATTTTAAGTATTGAAATAAGAACTATTTTCAACTGATACCTTTTTTCGATTATAGTACTGCAAAGTTATGTTAACTAATTTGTATTACAGCGGAGCCTGCATTAAAACGAAAAAAAATAAATGAAGAAATATCTGAAGAACTTTCCGATAAAGAACTAAAACAATTTGATTTGATAAAAAAAATTATTGATGAACGCCAAAAGCATAAGATTGGAAAAAGAACAAACTTTTTGTCTGGGTCTACTTACAACAGCTTCAAGTAAAAATTATATTATGCATATTTTTTAAACATTTCTAATGCCACTCCTAAACCAGATATTTTATAAATTGATAAAAAATAATTATGAAAAAGTAGTTATACCTTAAAAAAAATATATACTGCTTATTTAATAATGAGTAAATACTAGTGCCTACGATTTCAAACATGTAATTTAAATACACGTATAATTTTAAATATACGTGTATTTAAAAAAAATTCATTGTTTTTTATAAATTTGAGTTTGAGTTAACGTATTTTCACAATTATACTTGTTTTTGAGTTCGTATAATTAAAATATGTATTTACTAAGGAAATATAAAAGATGTGGTGTTGTTTTCAAGCTATATAGCCCGAAGTAAAAGTTTCTTATTGATTGGCTTCAAATACTGCACAAATAAGGTTGGCTAGTTAAATCCTCTCTCAACATGTCCCTATTCACCACCACTTATCTATTCCAGAAGCCTACATATATTTATTTTTATAACACGTATTCTTCAGTCTTAAACTGATATCTCTTAAGTTTGTAGAACAGAGAAACGGGAGGCAGTTCCAAATGTATATGTATATGACTAAATAGAGACATGTCAAATACAAATTCGGGGAAACTCGGTGAAGCATGGCAATGCTTTGCCATAAGACTAGACCAAACTTTATTGAGAGTGGCAAAAGGCCACGCTGCTCCGTCTTACTGACTTTGTAGACACCAAGTTTAACTCGACCTCTAAATCCCTCTGAACACTAATTTTCTTATAATGGTTTTACTTTTTAACTTATCTCACAATTTTTTCAACATGTCTAATATTCACTTCCATACATCATTCCTTACCACACAAACATTTTTTTGTACATTACATTTTTATCACACAACACTGCCTCTTTATTCAATCAAACTTTATTTTACACACCATAATTTCTTCAATTCTTATAGTGATTTACATAACTGATCCTTATTAAACTCTAAATTTCATTAAATCAAATTTTTATCTAATAAAAAGCATATGACTTCACAAAAACTTAGTGGAAAATTCTAATCGATAGGTCAAATTAGTAAATAATTAATCTAATAAAAAAAAAATATAAAAAAATTGAAAGGTGTAATTAAAAAATGTGTAATGTTTTGTCATTTTAACTTTTGAAATTTAAAGCTCTTTCTATTTAGTATAAACATTACAATGTATAATAATTACAATATCTCTAAATAAAAAATTAATTATGCAATTATATATTTTAATAAATATGTTATACATATATTAAATACTATTTTAGTAGATAGAAAATTGCACCTTTCTAAAGCATGATTAAACATTTTTTTGCATCATAATTATTTTAGCCGACCGTATGAGAGTATATCCAGACGAGTTCCATCTTGGTCTTTCTTTCCTGCTGTTGATGATAAAGATCAAAGAGTTTATATTCGATTTCGATCAGAAGATGCTGTTGAATCTGAAGTAATTTAAATTATTTATATAATTATAATATGACATACTAATAAACGTTAATATTAGTATTACAAATAATAATTACATTAATATTAAACATACGTTTAAATATTTTATAGATAAAAGACATGTCATGGCATTCAAAAACGGTGCAGTTACTCTCATCTCCTGCAAACGATTTAATTGTGAACGCTTTTGAAAAGGTAAATCTTTATTTAATTTAAAAGTATTAAACTAATAGTTTATTATATTATTTTAAGATTGAAAAAGATGAGACCATGAGATCAGCGCAGCTTCAAAATGACCTAAGGACTTTTGAAAATAGTGTTGATAACACTGCTGATCTTTGGGTACAAAAGTATAGACCACATAAATATTTGGATTTACTAAGTGATGAGAGTACCAATAGAATGTTATTACGTTGGCTCAAGTTATGGGACAGAGTAGTATTTAACAAAGAAGTAAGCAAAACAAGAAGACCTAAAAATGACATTTACAGCAAATATGGTAATGATATTAATTTATTATTATTTTATATTATGTAGGACATTAGCAGCTGCCTCTGTTTGGTTACCTCTTATAATCTATGTTATGTCGTATTCATACTTTTTATAGTATACAAACTGTAAATACACACAATGTTCGTTACACTTATCCTGGGTCCCCTTTGAGAGGTATTGGGCTTTACGAGTTTACTTACAAAGATTTGGGTTGTGACCTGCCGACTAAGTGCAACAACCCCTCGCCCATGTGGGCCGGATACCTCTAAAAACGCAGTCTTTGTAAAAGTACACTTACAATGTAGAGACTTATAATATATTTTACCTTAACGTAGGATGATGAAAAAGGTAACACTTTTCAATTAAAATTGAAAGAAAAGTAAACACATAAAATAATTTAATTAAACGCAAAAACAATGTAAGTCAAAAAGAACAATAGTCTCATGCATATTATACTCTCTGTGTATCCGACCAGAGAGTGGCACTGACATAGTATTTTACAAATTCTGATTCAAGTTTGCATACAGACTTGAAATACAAACAAATATTAATGTAATAAAAGTTTGAATATGACCATTTTTAAAATCCTTTTTAGCTTTGATGTAAAGCTTTGCTACTGGAATAATATCTTCAAGTAACCACTCTAAAAATCATAAATTTTATCTAGTTTTTAATTCGGGTCCTATACCCTAAAGCCTATGGATTGTAGGAAGTTTTCCTAAAAAAAAAAAATCCAATTACTTTATTAGGTACTATCTCTTTACCCTTAAAGTCATTTTTCATCACCAATGTGGCTATAACCCGTGTAAAAAAGATATATACTTTAAAATGGTAATAGAAATAAATTAAAAAATAAGTTGATGTAGTCTAAATTTAAAAAATAACCATGGTTTATAAGTTTGCATATTGGGTGAGGCACCAGGACCCTAATGAAAAATAAATATACATTAAATATGTATGGTTTAAAAAAAAAATGTTATCTTATTATTTGTTTGATTTTTTATACACAGGTAGCAATTTCATAAAGAAGAATCAAAGTTTAGATGAAGAGTTAGATGAAAATAAGTGTCCAAAACTAAAATTAGCATTATTATGTGGACCACCTGGCCTGGGGAAAACTACTTTAGCTCATTTAGTGGCACACCAAGCAGGCAATTTATTTATTTTATATTATTACTAATTATTATTATTTTATTTTATATTTTCATATATATTATTATCTTTTGTCAACTTGTATACAACTTTATCGAGGTAAATGTAGTACTCATTAATACTTTACTTATCTAGAGACTAGATGCCTGAAAGTAATTTTTTTTTCAAATATGTAATGAAAATATTTCAACTAAATTGATTTAAGATTTAGTTTTAATATTTAATGTATGGTAGCGAAATATTTTTGTATTACCAATGAAAATATGAACATAATGTCCTGCCATATACGGGGTGTTCGTTTTATCGTGAACCATTCAATATCTCATAAGGTTTAATAAGAAATTAAATTTTTTCTGGTTTACTGTTTTTGTACAATGTGATCTCAATTTTTTTTTGTTTTTACCCCCCTCCCAAGTTAGTATTTTTGATAGCAACTTTTGAAACATAGAAATGCATACATTTTATTAACTTTTTAAATTGAGAATAATGTACTAAAAATTATGACTGGTCAATAACCAGTTTTGGAGGATTATTTTTAAACTTATTGAAGTTTCAAGTTTAGAACGGGAGGAAAGCAGGAGTGTTCTATTATTTTTATCTGCGTGTACTTCCCAACGGCACTTCCGCTCCCGTACTAACTTTCAAACTCTTCTAATTTTATAAATAGTTATCCGAAACTGATTATGGACCAATCAACATTTTTAATAAAATATTCTCAATTAAAAAAATTAATGAAATGTATGTGTTACCATTTAAGTTTCTCTCAAAAATACTAACTTGGGAAGGGGTGAAAAATTGAGATCACATTGTATAAAAACATTATAAAAAAAAAAGTTATTTATTTTTAAACTCTATGAGATATGTAATGTTTTAAGATAAAATGATCATCCTGTATTAAAATATGACACAATATAAAAGGGTCACTAAAATGTCACTTGAACACTTGCAGCAATAGTATTATTTTGATATGCCTCATCATGATTTTAATGCAACACTAATTTTCGAGAAGCAGTTGTTTTTTTATAATACTATAAGATTTAGATGTTTAAGTATGTTTTACAAATGATGTGAGCATGTTTGGAAAAGTAATATCGATTGACAAAATGTAGCTTTTTTTGTTCGATCCCATGGTTATGGAGACTCAATGACTACCTGTTCTGGTACATAAATACATCATCATAGATTTTCATAGAACATGTGTAGTAGGAAAATTTAATACCACCCTTCCACTACATTTGTGTACTAACTAATGCACTTTTATGTGGCCTTATTAATATTTAAAAATGTCCACTAACTAAATGAATGTTTTTTTTGACATACAATTCTGTATATGTTTTTGTTGACTAATTATTAGTTACATTATTAGGTTATAATGTGGTTGAAATCAATGCCAGTGACGATCGTAATCCTACTAGTTTTAAAATTCAACTAGAAGCTTCTACTCAAATGGCTTCAGTAATTAGTAATGATTGTAGACCTAATTGTTTAGTACTAGACGAAATAGATGGTGCGCCTGCTGTAAGTATTGTTTTATAATTTTTTAAATGTAATTCAGGGATTTTGTCTGAAGTGAATTTCATACCTACCTTTTTTTTTATTTATGAATAAATAGACCTAAATAGAATTTTTTTCAATTTGGATTAAAATAAACAAATTTTTTAGATTGCGTGCCGATTTTATGTAAATTTTAAATCAACATAGTTGGTGTTGAAGTCCTTTTATAATGTATATTATTATTTTTTTAGACATCAATTGATTTATTGATCAAATTTTCAACTGAAAAGCATGTAAACCGCAAAAAGAAAGCAAACAAACAAGAAGAAAAAGGTTCTGTTTTAAAAAGACCAATAATTTGTATATGTAATGATGTTTATGTACCAGCATTAAGGAATTTAAGACAAAACGCTTTTGTTTTAAACTTTCCTCCGACATCATCAGTAAGGTATCTAAGTTTAAACCACTCGACACTTGTATTAATTTTATCTGAATACATTTATACATTTTTTTATACTACTTTATAGATTGGCTGAAAGGTTAATGGAAATATCAAGTTATGAAAATATAAAAACTGATATGGGTGCAATGACAGCACTCAGTACGAAAACAAATAATGATATTAGATCCTGTTTGTCAACTTTGTCCTGTTTTAGAAATCAACCATTGAGATTATCACATATAAAAAATGCAAATATTGGAAATAAAGATATACAAAAAGGTCTTTTTATTGTATGGCAAGAAATATTTCAAATAAAAAAGAGGTATTTAAAACTAAATTTATTATTGTTTAATTAAATTTGTTAAACTAATTTTCATAAATTATCTTTTAGTTATTTTGACAGTAATTCTATGAGTTCAGACGAAGGTTATTCAAGTCATAACAATGTCATGAAAGACAGGTAATAATAACTGTATAGTTTTCTGAAATAAATGTTCACACAGCTTTTTCTAGACATTTTTTAGTTCTAAAATAACATAGATTCATGATGCAAACTTTATTTTTAGGATAGATTTTGTTTTAAAAACAGTTCAGAGTTACGGCGATTATGAAAAGATCAGCCAAGGAGTGTATGAAAATTTTTTAAGTCTTAAGCATAAGGATTCTTCAATGTCAAGTGTAGGATTATATTTGTCTGATATTTTATAAACAACATTATTTAAAAAAATAGAAAGTTGGGTGCCGGATGATACAGCATATTAAATCAATCACGTAATTTAGTAAATATTATTTAGTTAATAATAGGTATTATTTTGATTTCTAGGTTGTTGAAGGCTTAGATTGGTTTTGTAATTTTGATAAATTTAACAGAATCATAAATACTTCTCAAAATTATTCCTTGTATCCATATTTACCTTATAGTTTTGCAACTTGGCATTGTTTATTCGCAACATTTACTTGGCCAAAAATTACTTATCCAAGTGCTTCATATGAAGTAAGTAACTTATGTACAGTTATTTAAAGTTTAAACTGTATTGTACTTTGTTCTATGAGAGAATAGGTCTGTTTTGCGCTGTAGTAAATGGGCAAGAATGCAATTGGTTGCAACTTGTTAAACATTCACACATACTTGTATATCAAGACAGTATTACAGTATTGTGCAAAGAAAATAACATTTTTTAACAAAAAAAATAATTTGCTTAGGTAATGGTTAGAAAAAACAAATACAAACAAATTGTTGATGAGCTTATGGCCGGCATTAGTCCTGCCATCAGAACATTTCTTCATCGTGATCAAATTTTATTGGACACCATGCCATTAGTTATGCATATAGCTGTGCCAAATTTAAGATCGGTAATTATAATACATATTATTCAAATATTTTGTTAAAACAAATTTTTTATTTTATTTATTGATATATTTTGTAGGTAAGCGTTCAACTGTTTACTATGAAAGAGAAAGAAGAACTTGCAAAAGTTATAAATATTATGATAGAGTATGGCTTAAATTTTTTTCAAGAAAGAGCTGCAGATGGATCTTTTAATTTTGTACTTAATCCGTAAGTTTTATAAAATATCCAAGTAACTACATACTTTTAGCCTGTTATTTATGATATGATACTTATAACAGTTTTGAGTTTATAGTGTATTCCTAGCTGCATATTCTATTTTTTATGTCATGTACCATTAAACAATTTTTATATTATATTTTAAAAAATGATTTAAAAATTCCATTTAAAACAGAAATTACAAGTAAAAAATACATTTTTTGTGTTTATTTTCATTATCAGAAAAATGTTACATGTAACTATTGTATAGTAATATAAAATAGTTGTACATTAGTGCTTTGTTTTTAACTAATAATATTTGTATTAAAGCTGTGAAGTTATATTAGTTTAACAAAGATAGTCATAAGGTGTTATGTAGTAGTAAATCGTTGTCTCTCTAGAATATTTTATGTATCAATTTTCTCCTTAATAAATCATGAGTCGTATTAGATTAGTACTATGTAGGGTGGGGGGGGGGCGTATTTGCCAAGTAGATTAAGGACCTTGCTGGTTTGAATCTGGTCACAGGCAGTCTTTTTCACTGGGCAGAGCAACCTGTCTACAAGAAAAGTCAACCCCCCCCCCCTCTAAGCATGGCAGAAATGTTTATGCACCACTTTGAACCGAACTAGACTTAAAACAGGGTTTACTCCCAATCAAATGTGTCATGCGCTAAATAAATAAAAATAAGTACAATTAGGTAGTTTGTGCAGTGTGTACATGATTCTGGGAGTGTTCTAAGGATTGATCGTCATTTTAATTTTGATCATGAAAAACTTACAATTTACTGTATCAAGTTTACTAACATTTTAAGCAAATATAATATTGTTATGAAATGTTGTTTATCTTGTTGATTATCTAATTTTATAAACATCAGGCATATATTAAATATGTGTACTTGTAATATTTAAAAAGCACAATGAAATATATGTATCATTAAATATATTTATTTATTAGATCTGTTGACGATGCAGTAAAATTTCCTGGTTTGGAAACATTTCCAACTTTAAGTTATGCTACAAAACAACTTATTTCAAGAGAAATTGACTTAGAAAAAATGAGAAAAAAAATGTCACTGAGTGTTGAGACTGGTATAAAAGGAACTGATAACATAGATGAGAATAAAACAGCTGTATCGACTCCAAAAAATAAAAAAAGTATGTAAGACATTTTATTTCGAATGACATAAATAACTAGCTATACCCGCACGACGTTGCCTGTTTCCTCTTGTAGCATATTGCAAGTTGAGATTTTTCAAGCAAGATATAAAATTATTTATTTATACCAAATTATTATTATATTAAGTGTTAGATAACATATGCTCTAATTTATACCTAGTTTATCCCGTTCACATCTAAAAATGAATAATAGCTGTACCCTCACGGGCACCCTAAGTGGTGGAAATTCTAAAAATTGTATGTATAGATTTCAAACCATTTTAAGCTTCAATGCGGAACTAAGAAGATAATATTTTCAATGATATGTTTTTATTTTTTTTTTTGTATGTTGATATTTCTTCAATCGCTTAACCTAATTCGTTATGTAGCAAGGCTAAACGTTTATTTTGCCAAAAATATAAAAAAGGTACCCTTTTTTTTTATCAAAATCAATCAATTAAAACACCAATGAAATTTTAATTTTTTACAGCTTTTTTTTAAACTAGTTGAATTAGTTCCAAATTGGTGTGGAACATTCTTTAAATATAGAATCAAAAAGCTAATACATTAACAAACCAAAAAAATATCATACAATTTATCCTAGAAGCGTTGTCAACTTTTTCTGTATTTCAATTTTATCAGCCTAGTTTTGGGACTCTTTTCTCTTCTTCATGTAGCCTCACAACTCTGTAAAAGTTTTGGCTGCCACTGTCACCGACCTCGTCATCTATTTATTTCGGTATCAAACACTGGTCCACATATTGTCCTTAGTACATTATTCTTAAAGCTTCTAAGTTTTGTTCAATTTGCACTGTCATCAGCCATCGGTCATCGGGACTCTAGGTCTACAATTTAAGATCTATATATAGTATGACTACAAAAATTAATATATTACTTAATTTTCTTAGAAGTCTGTAGTTAAACTTTTTTTTTTATTAAGAATAAAAGGAGAAAAAAATAATTTTGCTTTTTTTAATTTCTAGATTGCTATATTATGTGAATGAATCAATGGTCATATTATTTGCATTATATTAATTTTGATTAATTATATATATATATATATATATATATGTTAAACAATGGCAATAAATTATTAATATAGACAGATCCCTAATCGTATCCACTTAAATACTAAAACACAATTTTAAGCACATTATTGCCTTTACAATGATTGTTATTGATATTTAATTTTGTACTATCGAAAGATTTGCATTATTTTAGTGATTTTATCACTTACTGTTACAAAAATTTCTACAATCCTGTGACTACACTGACCTCACTATATGGGCCATCCCTTCTAAGCCCTGACACTACTGTATTGGCTTTTTAAAATAATTATGTACTTAAGGCTATATTATAACTAATATGAACATTTTTATTGATTTGAATTAGATTTGTAATTAATATGTGTACTTTCAGATGCCTATAATAAACAGGTGACTCCTAACCATCTTATGAGATTAACGCCAAAAATTGTTGGCCCTACCAAAGCAGCGGTTAGTACATATTAAAGTTATTTTTACATTGATTGTTTTTTCATATAAATATTTAATCTGAAAATTCCTCAACCTTAATTTTATTAGCATGGTTAAATAAACACACAAGTGTTTATATTTCGTTTGGTTATGATGTCAAAACTGAATTAAATTTACGTATGTGTATTAACTCTTTGAGGAGCGAATTAAGAAAGGGAAAAAAAATGTTTAATTTCGGAGCAATGACGTATAATATATTTGTTTTAAACACCTTATTTTAGTTCAAATTATAGCTTTTAGTGAAGCACATCTTTAGCCCTGGGTTTTATAACATCTGTTTATTATATAACAACCTATCAACCTCGTCAAAGGATTAAAATTCGTTTCACTTCGTCGGGCTGGGGTTCAATGCAAATACTTAACGAACAATCATTTTTATATTATTTAATTTTCTGTCATCGTTTTTTGTTCTTGCAAAAATATATCAATGGCACTATGCACAGTCGTCATGAATGCATATTTTTGAGTGTTAGTTTTTCGGGAGTACAAATATCGGAAGCCAGCGATTCGTAGTTCTGATGTTGCAGGACATAAAGTTAATTAAACACATTTGATGGTATGTTATATATTTTAATCATTGTTTCTGTATTTTTTTTAAAAATACTTAATAAAATCAAATGACAAATGACACCAATAATTGGAGTGTGCGTTTATGTGTAGGCGATCGTCAACTCAACGCTGTGTACACGCCCTAGTGCTTACACCGATAATATATTATATAGTTGTTTAATAGCGTTTTATATCGCTATATTTATGTGTTATCATTTTATTACTGGCCGCGCACGCATTTAGGCAAAAGAAAAGCCATACTCGATTTTGTGGGTGGCAGCGGCGTCGTTGGACGTATACGACCCCTCTATTATAGGGTCGCTTACATTACAATCCGTCTGTTTCTATACACTCGCTGTAAAAGGGTGTAACTGTTTGACTAATAGCGTGTACCCGACAGTTATTCACCGCGTGTATCGCCTTGTGATTTATTAACATAATATATACAAACACACATACACACACCAAGCCTGCATCCCTCTCCTCAGACAGTGGCGCTGGTGGTCGCGTGCTTCTCGTAGTTCCCCGATTGTGTGGAACACACACACATTAAAGTTGCATAATATATAATATAGATACACTTTAATGTGTGTATACTTGTTGTTGCGTTCACATAACGATCATAATAATGGTAATGATGGTAATGACGAACCGCATAATTGATATTGTATTAAATCGGTTAAAATAATACCCGTTGATACGCGGTCCATAAGTAATGTTTGATTGGCAGAAATCGAAAGTAAGGTTAAGCTTGAGACTAGCTTATCTGTTGTCCAAATGAAACATGATTGACTCCATTTTTGAAGCATTAGGTTCAGTTTCCATGATTTGTAATATGTTGAGAGAGTGTCCAAGTCCTTATTTAGTGTTCTTTCGCAAGTTTCAAAATCTGTACTCTGTACTGCTAGCGTTGTATCGTCTGCATATTGATATCTGAGAGATGTGAGATTCTCAGGCATATCATACGTATAAAGATTGAATAAAATTTGGTGCTAAAAATGGGGCCCTGAGGTAATCCATTATTTAAGGTTCTCTAGCTATTATATGAATCACCTATATCCGGAATCTAGAAATGTTAACTAGAAAAGTATTCAAAAGTCGGCATAACTTTGAACAAAGGATGATGTCACTAAATTTTAGCAGCAACCCCTCGCGCCAAACCGTGTCATAGGCTGCCGTAAGGTCGATGAAGGCCACAGCTGTTTTCATTTTCTTTTAGAACCCAAACTTGATAAGGGTAGTGTGAGCTTTCACCTGTTTGCAACAAGATCTTCCGGGACGGCACCCAGCTTGTTGTTTCGGTAGGAATTTATCTATCTCAAGGGCAACTCTATTAAAAATAAACTTTTCAAGTACTATGTAACAGCTTAGGAGAGAAATTGGGCGATAGTGGTTGGGTTCACTACCATGTTTCCCGGGTTTCTTTATTGCTATGATTTTAACTTTCTTAAAAGAACTCGGTACCGTTCCTGTTTTTTAAATTGTATCATATAGATGGATTATCCATAATTCTTAATAACCATCGTATGCAGGGGATTTGTTCTTCTTCAGGCTTGCCAGTACAATGTCTAGTTCAGTAGCGGTGAAGTCAACAGAAAAATCACTTTAGGTTAGTGTGGACTTTTTCTTGGTCCGAAGTTTTTGTTTTACTGTCTTTATCCATATTCTATCTGTTTTCACTATTCTTAAGGTTACCACGAGACTGGCCACTTAGTTTGGTGGAAAGGAATTGCTGTTTAGCCCTAAATTCTGTCCGCTATCTAGTCTGCGAATAAGACTACATGCTTTACGGGTGGAGTGCGTAAAATCCAAGTTCTCTGTTTTTTCCCTCCGCCTTTCCTTTTTACTTTCATTAAGCTTATTCAGCAGTTCTTTTTCCACTTCAAGATCTCCAGCTCTCTTCTTTTCGTCGTATAATTCTTTGCAGTATTCTAACCAGCCAGGTATATAGTCTTTTCATAAACCTCTTGGGATATTTTTCTTCGCGACGGCAATTATTGCGTTTGTAAAACGGTCAAAAGCTTCAATCTCTGGTGGAATCCATTTTATTATAACGTCTATAAATTCCTCGTAAATTCTTTCCATCTTGCTTTATTAAAATTCCATCGCGGTTCCTGCAGTGTGCGAATAATTGGTATTTTTAGCCCCCAGACTGGGGGCTACAGTCAATTATCGTTGACTGCGCGGGAAATTATTGAGTATAGTTCTTGTTACCTTGGGGAAAATTTCTGTCAGATCTGTAGTGACAATACATATCTGGCCTTTTATATATTAGATTTATAACATATACAAACTAACTCTTGATTAATATAGTTAATAAGTAGCAAATTTTCGATCCTCCAATTTATCCAGAAAAAATGTAGATTTAATTTTTTTTTCTCGTAAATCTAAATAGTCTACTCGTAATACTATTAAAAAATATTTTTTAAGTTGAGTCTTTATAAAGATACACGACTAAAAACATTGAAGAGAGATAGGAAAAACTAAAATTTTAAAACATAAATTGTTTTGTTTGTATTCTATAAATTCTGTTTTTTTTTTATATTTATTAAACCTCAAATTTTATAAATTAACAATTTAACTAAATTATATTCTATGTATTATGTATTCTTTTTTATTTATATTCATTAAATATTAATTTTCATAAATAACCTATTTACCTAAACCAAATTGAATAAGCAATTAACATAAATTACAAATTAAACTTTTATTTGGTTTTGGTCAATGTGGCCTCAATATGGTTGAGTTGATGGTGTCCAAATTATTTTTCTTCTTGGACCTAAATAGTGTCAATAGAACCAATGGCTTCTCACTGCCCAGGCATTCAAAACAACAGTCTCTTCATTTCCAAGATCTTAAATATTGACGTTGGTACACAACATAGTATATCTTCATAGTTCTTTTGAATGGTGGGATAGTTGTAGAAATAATTACTGTCATTTCAGACATTTCTTCAGGCGAGATAACATATAGAACTACTGTCCTGGTTTTTATCTGTAAGGCTTCTACAAACGATTTCATTATTATTAAGTCTCTGATGTCATACCCACTCGCAACGACCAATGTATAGAGGTATATTGAACAAAAAATTAATTTTGAAATACTTCGTCAATGACAAAAATACTATATAAAATGGCCAAATTTTCAAAATTAATGGTTTTTAAATAGGGATTTAGGTTAAAAAACAACATTTTGGGTAAAGCTGTTATTGTAAACAGTTTTTGTTTTAGATAAAAATAGAGCCTGATAAAAATAGAGTTCTTATTATGGTATGGTACCTACTAATAAACTTGCACTATACTTTTAGCTTTAAATTAAAGTACTGCGAACACTTTCCTATACCAGACCGCCTAATAAATTAGGAATTAAATTTTCTTATAATTCGTTGCAATTTTATTTTTTTGTCAAATTTTAATTATATTTTTGTTAAACTACTCGGATTCATTAATTTAACACTTATATCTACGTGACAGGCGGAAACTAGACCTATTACCTTCCATTTTTCAGATAATGCCTAGGTTAGGTAACAGTCATAATGAGTTAAATATATCTATATATCTACAAAAAAAATTTAAGCAACTTATATATATAGTAAAGAAATTAATAATTAAACCCTTAACAAGGTTATGGTTTAATTATTCATTTCTTTATTATATCTATTTATATTATTTTACTTATATATTTAATAATTTCATAAAATAAAAGCTTGGTATGATTTCTAACTTTAAGCGTGCCGGTTAACACGAAAACAGCAACAATGACTATAACAATGTAATAACTAATATGCAATCGACTTGTAACAACTAGTTTATGAATAAACTTTTGTTTTTTTCTCTTTATACGCTCGACAACTTAGGCCATTAGCGGGTAGTAAGGGTTTTATGACTGACAGTATTTTATTATAAAAGTAATAGTATGCAAATCGACGAGGCGTGACAAGAAGCAAAGCTTATTAAAAACGATGTTTTGTCGATTAATAATTTACTACACTAGTGTGCGTTGGTCGAAACGTCAACGATGCGACGATAGGTTGCCCCGAGTAAATAAGCTTTCGAATGCCTCCCATCCTCTCAACCGGCATTTGTGTTCGGACGACAATAAATAATGTATTTTATATTATGGATAGCTTTTACAATATTAATTGCCTGGTAACGATGTGTACGAACAAAAGACGGAACGAGTCACGCCCTCTTAGTTGCGCCAAAGTCATTAAGCAGCATCTTTCATTTGCTTCGTCCGAAAGCACATCCGCCGCCCCACACTTGACATAAAATAACTAATAATAATAATAATAATAATAAATATATACATTTATAAAAACGGCGGGTGTATAGGATATGGTGCAGTGAAAAGCCTTTTAGGAGTGAAGTATAGTCGAGCGGGTGTAGACTATAGAGGTATACGACCGAGAAATGATATAAAAATAATAATAAAGCGCCTCCACTTGAGCGCCGCCGTCTGTAATTAATCTTGCGTGTTGTATACACGACGATGACTACATGTTATTTTATTTATTATTTCTTTATTCTTCATTCTCGTTTTTGTATTATTTATGTATAAATATATACATTTTTGTTGCATCGTAACCAACCACTGCGATTAGCGTTTGGTTTATTGGAGCAAAACGAAGCCGGGGAGAGTATTTTGTTTCAATAATGTACTTTCATTAATAACCATAGATTTTCTATACACATTTGCGACGGCTCAGAAATCATGTATACGAACAACGACTATGGCATATTGAAGTCGCCTAATGCGTTTAAATTAGAAATGTATATGAAAAAAAAAAAAAAAATCAAGAACGCGTTTAAAAGCTAAATAGGCGGGATGTGTACATCTGACCGCCGTAAACCATGCTTAAAGCCGGGTTAAAGACGTTTTGCTCGCTTCCAGATAAACTTTAAACCCCTATCACCTCTCCCTCCTTCAGGCTGCATTGCGAACCGGCAAGATCTCAACTGGCCGTGGAAACGATGGCGGTGGCAGCTGTAAGAAGGAAATGGTGAAAAAACCTTTTTATTTATGTTCGGCTGCTGTGTATGTGTGTGTCGTCAGTGTGTAAGTATATATTTTGTTTGCGAGGAAACTGCCTTCCACATCCCTCCTAGCCGTACTATTTTTTTTTACCGCTCGCTTCCAAGACAAGTGATTTTGAAAAACAACAAACAAGTTAGTGGTGTATTCCGAAGAAACCCATTACGAGTGCCTTGAAAGCATCCCAAAGTCGTATATTCTTTTTCCCCTTTATCTCGTTCACTTTATATAACCTACTAACGATTCGGACATTCTCCTGTTTCGGTTTAATCCGCCTTCTTTTTCACACGCAGGGTTTAAACGGCTTCTTTATTTCTTTCAATCAATCCGCCGTGTTCAACTCATAAGTCTTTTGTGAATTCACAATACACTAAGGCCACCTAAATATTTGAACGTTTATTACAATTTGTATTTAGATTCTCAGTTTTTTTAACACTAACTGTACAGTTTGTACGAGTCTTTGTGTACAATTACTAAGGTGTTATAAAGTAACAAAAAGTTGCTATCAAAAATACTAACTTGGGAAGGAGGTAAAAACAATAAAAATTGTTAAAAATTGATATCGTATTGTAAAAAAAAAAAAATATTAAGAATAAAACATTATTTTCTTATTAAACCTTATGAGATATTGAGTAGATCACGATAAAATGATCACTCTGTATATATATTTGATAGTTTAACAGTAAAACAACATATTACTATTCATATTTTACATTTCAGAGAAATCATTGTACTTAAAAAATAAATCAAACTATAAAAATATTCAGTTTTAGTAATCTATTGCGTTCCTTGGCGACTGTTGGCTCTGTGATTACTGTTCGATACAAAGCTCAAAGAGCACAAGAGAAAGAAAATTAAAAAAAAATCAAGTCATACTATCGAAAGATTCTATTGGTGTATCTTCTGATAATGTTTACCACGGCATGATTTACCTAACGCATCGATACATCTTGTAGATGATATTTTAGCTCTCTGCGAACTCTATCATCCGACAATGATGATCGTCATCAGGGACGTTAGCGTAAAATTGTAGAGTCTTTGGAACTTTACTTGACTACTGATAAAAAAACAATGTATCAGCAAGTACAGTCAAATTATTGGTTTGTCTCATCCGAAGACCACGTAAAAGAACAAACGATATGACTTTTTGCCAGGGCGCTGAAATGATGGACGAAGCAAGAAGTACAATGTTAGTCGACAGAAAAGATGTTATTAAACAAATAGTGAGCACTCATAAGTTGCCAGATTTTGATATGTACTGTAAACGTATGATTAAAATCTTTCATGTGATTTATACTATTTACTATGTATCTGCGATATTAATGTCGCGTTGTTTTTGAAGAATTTCTTCATTTCTGTTGGTCGAGTATTTACTGATATAATTTCATCTGTGTGCTATATTACTAGGCATGATCGAACTCGATGTCTTCTGTTAGACGCCCTATGAAACGAATAGATTTAGACAGTGAATTGAGGTCAAACCTTTCATGCACATACTTTGCTAACCTATAGTAATTAAACGTGATAACTGCTGTTCACAACTACGTTGAATATATTTGTGTTTAATCAAAGAGTTGTAAGACCCATTTAGATAGATGATTAAAGTTAACGCGTAATCTCGTTACCAGTTTCTGTCGTATAGACAAAAATGCAAGGGATCTAAACGGTGTTTTAAATAGTGACTACGCGAAAACGCAACCGTACAGATGCGCAGATAAAACACTAGCAGACATTACTGCCATCACATCCGGTGGGCCAAGTGGCGGCCGGGGCGTCGGCGGCCTTCTTTCTGCCGTCGTCCTAGCCTTATGCCAAAGGAGGTTTAAGAGAAGAGAGATTTCCTCGTCTCTCGTCCCTCACTCGCTGGTGTTATTAGCAATAAATTCAACGCCAAGGCGCCAAGTTTCTTACTTTGCCCGTACAGCGTTTCCTGACCCAACATTATACTGACCTTTTGGTTTGCTACTTACACATTTATGTATAAAATAGTTTTGTGCGTTTTAGCGATAGCGTCCGGTCTGGAGCGGTTTTCGATCCATTAAACCGTTTTAGCGTCTCGAGACCGGGGTAAACGCCGTACGGACCAAGAGGGTTAACGAAGGAGGACGTTTACATTGCTATTACACAGTACACAAACACACACTCACTACAATTTGTGCACAAGTCGTTTAACCCGAACCAACGTAATACATTTTATAATCAATTAAACTTCACTCGTTGTATTTATGTGTATGCGCGTATCCAGTATTTTGTGTGGCTGTGGTTGGGTGGTTTCTATTTTCGTTGGTCGACGTCTTATGTATTGCATAGGGCTTATTATTGCGTTTTCATGCTACAGTCCAATGTTGTTTGTTCTCTCCCTTTTACTTAATCGTTTTGAGCGTATAACGTTGACTAACCGTTTATTTATTGTTTCAGAAACGAAAAGATTTTTTTGGACGCGAAATCAGTTCGCCCACAGTTTCCAAAGGCAAAGGTAAGTTAATTATCAACCGCACAACATAATATTAACGTTATACAGCTATTGTATTAAATTTTCTACCGAATGGGAATCGACAAAATTATCAAGATATATTTAAAGAAGAGAATATAAATCCATAACGTATTTTACTAAACATCAGCTTGAGAGATTATTCAACATTAATATTACAAGCAAAGTTCTTTTTTTTATTGGATAGGGGTAGATTAATAAACTCTGTATGAAAAGTCGTTAATTTAACGCTGTGAACGAAAAAAAACAATATACTAACAATTATTTTATAATTTATCGAAGGGGAATTTTCTAAACTAATTAAACCGAATGAAATACTGCGTTAATTAATTTTCATAGACAACCCCGATAAATGTTTAAAACGTTTTTTTAGTACAATGAATTACGGTATTTCCATTTATTAAGCGTGTTACGATCGATTAAAAACGTTTATCACATTAAAAAACAATTAGTAAACGTACAAAACCCGTCTGATACAAAACGTTCTCGAATAAAAGAATTAAGTACAAATCTAGAGTAATATACCAAAAAAGCCCATTGTTTTTTTTAACGTGTTTATTTATATTGTTAATGCATTAGCATTAGGTAAACAGTTTTTGGTTTTAAATGAAACAATAATTATTTATTGATCATGTCACTTATTGTGTATGCTCGTATATGGCCAATTGTGGTTATACCAAATAATATTATGTGCTATTGATGGGCGGATTGGGTGGACAAATGCCTACTGAGTCTCTCTCACTTCAGTGCAAGGGCCGGTGATATGCATTGAAATCGAGTCTCTAGTGGGCTGGCTCTATGATAAAGAAAATCGCAACATTTTAAATGTTGAAGGCCTTAATTTGATCATTGAATTGGAGCATGTCTAATTGGCCCATGTTATTTTTCAAGTTATTGAAGTTTCAAGTTTAGGGCAGGAGTAAAGGTGGAATGTAGTAGCTATCAAAAAAACTATGTTGGGAGAGAGTAAAAGTAAAATGTGAAAAATTGAGATCACATTTTATAAAAACAATATGAAAAAAAAAAATTAAATTTCTTATTAAACCTTATGAGATATTGAGTGGCCCGTGATAAAAAAAATTACCCTGTATTGAATTATGCAACCAAAACAGTACAGTAACAAAATGGAAGGGTGTTGGGGAGGTAGAGCCAATGGTTGGTCAGCATCGGGTGGTCCAGCGAGAATCCTATGTAGGACTTAATCCACGTAGGATTCATTCGGACAGACATTCGACAACTACAGGGAAACAAATAGGAACTTCCGGAGACACCGTAGTTTCCAAACATAGCGTTTTGTGACCGACCTCAAGACTCCCGATGCTGGTAAGAATATAATAAGGCTTCCTCTTGCCAAAACAATAACTAAATAAATACAAATTATATAGAACTAGTGACAAAAAAAAAATGTCTATAAATATTTCAAGTCAATATTGTTAGCAGTCCGGCTTAAGTATTTTTTATTAATGATAAATTATAATAATTTTAACATACTTCATACTTGTGCTCTATAATCTCTACTGTACTGTCGACGATTGTTTTTTTTTATTACTGTAATATTTTATTACAAATATAAAGTAACTAAGCAGAGTTTTTTTTCCAAATGTTTATTAGTATCGTGTGTAGTTGAGGTATAGGTATATTATAGCAAATTTTTGTTGGTACCGTGCAGAGAGAGGGCAGTAGAAAGCGATCGAAACGTATTAAAGTTTGTTTGGCTTAGCTCGTGTACCCTGACTGCGGTGAGTTTACGATGAAATATTGTCGATTACCTCCATAAAGGTGAGCCAATTACGCCTAAGTAAACAAACGCAGTGTGTATACACGCGATTTTCTATAGATTATTGTTTGTTATGCCGCCGCAGACATAATGAGATTCGTGTCCGATATTATTATGTACGTCTGTTGACAAACGGATGACATGATGACAGGGGTTGGTTTATTAATGCGGTTTTCATCCTCGACGTGTACTGCCACCGCACACAACCACATCACCGCTATCATAGCTACCGGTACATTTTTTTTGGTGGTGATGAGGAGGGAGAGGTGATGTTTATCTACTCTGTTTGCTCGATTAAATCCTCGCGGCAGCCTCGGGGTGAAATTCCCCGACAATATGTCAAAAGCCATTAGTTTTTTTTTATAAATGTATATAAAAGTATCTCTCTCTCTCTATATATATATAGCGTTTGTTATTGTTTAAAATATTTATAAGTTGCGGTTTAGTAAGCTTAATCGAAAGAGAGAGAGAGAGAGAGAGAGAAACATGCGGGCAGGACGAAAGTACACACGGTTTTTTTTATTTTAATAATAATTATAAAATAAAAAATGTATAAATTTGCCGAATACTTCTATGTTATACAAATCTTCTATATTATGTACTTACGTTTTGTTTGCTCTTTCTACATGAAAACGTAACAAGCATAATAACATACGAAATTCTTGTTCACAGAAATCCGAGATGAGATTGTCAAGAGCGATATTTGGTTTCATTTCAAAGAAGGTTACAACAACGCAGTGAGAAAATCGGTATTGATGAAAGATCTTTATTGATAAAAAATAAATAATATATACCTAATCAAGATAGTTTACATCCGTTTGAAGCTTTCCTGTTTTATTATTTTCATAAGTATTTATAGCAGAATTGTGTATAATTTGATTTATGTGCGCAATATATATTAAGTCTAATTAATGAGTTTACTGGATTATTACCCTCCCATCTACACTTTTAGCTAATCTACTCGGCTTGGATTGACTTTATTAAGCAAACAACGCACAAATATAAACTTCAGCAATAATATTCTCATCGTTTGCGGGTTTCATTTAATTTGTTTTCACATTAGGTAATATTAGACATAAATTAAATTGAAACTTGTTTACTGTGCATACCGTCTATTTATTCTCGATATTTGTCGGCGATTTACGAAACACTAAAGTATAAATTATATTTTGTGTATTTGTGTATACTCGTTAAGTATAGCTATAGCGGTACAGTTATGTTAATGAGCCAGTATTTAAACTAAAAGCTATACTAAACTGCCAATTTTTCGATTTATTTACGGCTAGGTTTAAGTAAGGTTCGTTATAGGTATTTTTTGTTTAAATCTCAATTTAAAAACACAACTTTAGTGTCCAGTACAGTAATGGTGGTCATAAAGTCTAAAAATGTAAATTTAAAAAAATTAATTTAATGAATGCTTTTAGAGATATCAACAAACCGACATCATATTACGGTGTTATATTGTTTTCTATAATATGTTTCCAAAATGTTAAAACTTTAAGCCTACTAAAAACAAAATAGGACGGTAACATAGACACAATTTGGGAGGAGTTTGGGTGTGTTTAAAACCTCTAGTTATGAAATTATCATCCATAAATTGTGTTTCATACTATAAGTAGTAAGGAAAAGAGATTTTCTAACATGTCTAGTACTTAAGCATCCCCATTTATTTTAGCGAAAATGTGCCCCTGAACTGTAATAGTAACACCTAAAATAATGACCGCATAAATTACTCTAAACGCATAAAAATATGACAAATATACCGAAAACAAACGTACTTGTTGGATGTTATAAAAGTTTACAATGTTTTCCACATAATATGTTTGAAAGCTTTTGACGAGAAAAATAAAATAACATCTTCAAATTGTTAAAACTGGTTAGGATCAAAGAAGTGCTGTCAAGTAAGTTACATGTACATGTTTTATATCATAGCCGTGTGTGTGTATAAATTATACGATGGGGATTTTATAAAGTGACCAAATACGATAACGTCTGCCATTTTGGTTGTGATTTTATTTCTACCGGGGCCGTCGCTGTATAATGTAAATGTATTATGCAATCCTTTTGAACCCCGCCTTTTATACTTCTCTCAGTCACCCCTCTATCACCCAGGCAAGTGTCCTCTTGGTCGTCCGAATTCGAAAATACCATTTGCGGTGGACACGCGTACATATCACATAATTTAATCAAACAGCGAACCCTTTATTTAACATAATATCGTACCAAAAGTTTATAATATTCCTAGCAGAATAAAAAGAAAGCTTTCCGAAAAAAATATATAAAACAAAGTTTGTTATTGAAGCATACTGAGTCTAAGCCCGGGTACGAAAATATGACTTCTAAATAGGGCCCGGAAGTTCATGTTGCATGTTTTTACGGAATAGTCCGAAAAATAGCTAGATGAGCTACAACTTCGAAATCAATTTTAAAGAATCCAAAATCAAATAAATTGTTTGCAATATATTTCTGAGTTTTTTATTTTTAAAAATATATTTTCGATATTAACAGCACAATATGTTGCTTTATTTATATTTTGTTCATCTAAAAGTACCAATTAAATAATAACATTTTATTTAGGCTTTGGGGTTACAACTAGTCTCAACGTATTAAAAAAAAACTAAAACATAATATTTAAAATAAAATAAAAATAATTTAAATGCATTTTTTTGGGTTTAATTGGTGCATATTATATAGGTCACTTTTAACAAAGAGATTAAACTTCTGGACCGTACCCATAAGAAACAATACTCTTCTCGATTTATAAAAAAACCTATGGACATTTTTAAGATTTATAATTAAAATTTAAGTTATTCAATCTTTATAAATCAGTATCTCTCTCTTACGTTTAATGTCCGTTATTTCCACCGATCGGGGCTTAGGCGGTTTAGATTTGGCATTTTCTGGTTGCCGACCTAACGCTACCAAACAAGTTGGCCTCAGAGAAAGGTGCAGGTGGCTATTTCTTCCCCCAGACACTTGCCTGCCACGCACCTGCACAATCTTTATAAATCAGTATTGGATAAAATTTATTTTTCCTATTTTTACAACAATATTATGAATTATTATTGTTTTCTATAGTTTTTTTTACCATTTTAATAATATTGATGTAATTCAATTTTTGAACTCTCTGGAGTATGGTGTTATTATATATTGTTTTATGTTTATAATATAGTTTTTGTTTCGTTTTATTGTTTTAATATTTGCTATTTGAAATTCGCAATGGTGGTGTTAATAACAGTCAACAGACAGCAATTAGACATACAGCATCGAGGATTTCCTTCATTATAGTCTTTAAACGAGAACATTAAGAAGAGATTATACAACGGATACTAAATCCGCGTGCACAATAAGTTATTCGTACGGAGTACGGCGGTACTCCAGGAAGTCGTTTGAGCATTACATTACCAAACGTTTGAGCATTGCATGCGACGGACGATTTTCCCGAAATACTATACAAACTTTAAAGCATTACTTACACCGTCTTTCGTCGAACATTCTACTATACAAAGACTTTATTATAACGTTGTGTTTAATAAACAGGGTGATACTTGAAATTTTTTAATTGTTAGTTTGTTTCAACCAAAAAAAAAAAAAATAATAAATAATAAAAAAACTTTTTATTTATCACTCCTTAGAGATTAAAATCAAGATAAAATAAAAGGAGACACAAGAATGAAAGGTATACTTAACTGATAATAAAATTCTTCTATGTACCGTGACTAAATAATGTATATTTGGTTATAATAATAATAATACTTCACACACTTAGTAGTACGGAAAACGTATTTAAATACAAGGCATTAAAAACACAGAAGGTAACAATTTTAATTATAGATAAAGAATACTGTTGTTTAGCTATAGCGATAAATATTATTTCCTATAATTTGATAAAAGAAAATGATAAACATATTCACAAAGTTTCGATTGAAATTTTGTTTTATCTTAATACATACGAATTAAAATTTTTTTAAAACCTATATACATAATAGCTGTTATATTCATCTTTATATCGTTTTATTATTTTTACTCGATGTATTACCGTTAAGATAGATAATAATATATTTTCGTTATCTATACTGATGATATTATATTTTACATATCTACTTACAATAATGTATAACATACTATAGTAATAATAATTATAATAATATAAATATAAATGTACAATTATCAAAAATTGCAATGCAGGAATAGATTTCGTACAAAAACACGTGGGCCTTTTGACTTTTTGATGCAAATGTATGCGGTACCTGAGAGTGTTTGGTTGTTTAATATGACATAAAATATAAATACTTACATCGCATTACATATAGCTTATCAGTAAGGTAATAACCGAACTAGGGCCTACTAGGGCACGTTGATTAGTTGTTATTATTGGACTCCGACGGCGGTTGTACCGGCGATGTGGTCGTGGCGGTCGTTTCGGTGGACGAGGTGGTCAGCGAAAGGGGCTGTGGATGCGGCAGCGGCATCTGTTGATGATGGTCAGCCTTGCGGTTGGCGGCCAGCGCGTGCAACGTGGACGTCAGTGATGGCAACTGCAGCCCGAGGCCGACGGGCAACTGGAACGCGGCGGCCGCGGCCGCGTGGTGCTGCATGTTGGCAACGTGCTGCAGACTGTGGAAGAGCGCGGCCGAATGTTCTTGGGCCTTGCGTCTTAGTTCGGCCACACTAGACGAACGGTGCTCGGCTCCGCCGCCTCCAGAACCTTCGGACATCGAACCAAACGGCTTCATCGTACAACAACTGCATCCGAATCCTGTAAACATAATACACATGCACATAAAGGAGATTGTAGACAATAACTTTTTTTTTTTTTTCTAAAATCGACCAAATTCTATTTCAACATACAAGTCTAATGATTCGGCGATAACTTTACATTTGTTCACTTTAGTTATTACTTCTCGATAGTAAATTTGTTTTATCAAATTAAAGCTAATCTGTATTTTGTTGGCTGTTGTTCACAGGCAACAACGTGGTGTTATGTGCTAACAGACTGGGGTACCCCGATGTTTTAGTATATCTTTATTAATACTTAGCTAAAATAGTTTATGATTATGACTTTTATAAAAGGAATTTATGGATTTTAATATTTAGTTTGAAAAATAATAACTATAATAGTTTCTGAAATAAAAAATAAAAAATCTGACGGATGAATAATGACGGAAGGAGTTTGACATTTTCGTTGTAATTTCGTTAAGATGTGAGAGGGATAATTTAAAAAAACAATCGTCCCGTTTTACCCCTTTCTGTGGTTCGTCGTTTTCCCCACCGCGCTCGACCAGACTTACAGCGGTGTTTAATATTAATGATGTCCGATGGTATTTCCTCATCTGTGTGTATATAATTATTACATATTTCGGTAAGTATATTATAATATGGGTATATGCGTATACGTACACAAGAGAGCTGAACAATTATGATTATTGCGCGAGAAAAGGCGTCGCGTTGGTGTAAATTGATTAGTCGGTGTATTCAAAAGACACGCCGCCGATCCCTACTTTACCCCATTTTCCCTTATGTAGATATTCATGTGCAATATATACCTACCCTCGGTATCCATTAATAACGTTACGTGGTGCTACCGCGTGTTTCGTTATTTATTAAGGTATCCGTTTGATTATCGTATAACGCGCCGGCGTGTGACACACACACACAGACACTCTCTCTGTTTCTCTTCGTCCTGTATCCTATATACATACATAATATGGTGATGAACAAAAGTCGCCGGTGTGTGTGTGTGTGTGTGTATTATATACCCATCGTAAACTTGGCGCCGAAAGCCAGGGCGCACGATAAATCTACCAAAGTTATTCCATTATGAAAGCGGCAGTGGCGGTAGGGGAGGAACCAACAGCCTGAGGGAGCCTCAGGTGTCGCTAGCTCGTATCCGCCGAATGTCCACGGCTAACGCAATATAAATCTGCCTCCGCGTGTAGGACATGTATATATATATATATTATTAGTGTATTATACGGTACCTACAAAGCAGGTTTTGTTTATACACGCATACTATATTTATTATAATGTAGTATGGAGACAAAAAATTCGAGTTAATTACACATAATAGTAAAATAAATTCATAAGAAAATATAATTTTAAGTATTAAAATTGTGTAATATTTTGTTGCCACATACTACAACAATCAGTATACGTAGGATAAGTGTGCGTGATCGTTGTCCGAATAACGCTAGCGTCACTCGGCAGTAGTCTCTAGTAGTCAGGAAATTTGTCATTGTTATTACTTTTATCGAATAGTATTTTGTGATAAAAAACTAATATTTAATAAAAAAAAAATCGAATCGAATCTTTCTCTTTCGAAAAAAACATAAGATGATTAATATGTGTTACGGCAGTCTAATTTCTTATGGCTTCATCCTAACGGATGAAGGGGGATGAGGGGGATGAATTTTAACTTTTAAATTCATACCTTGCATGTGACCATTATAAGAAAGCTATGGTTGAAATTTCAAGTTTCTAGCACCACGGGAAGTGCATCAAAACACGTTACATTTTTTTCGTTAGACACATTTCTTTTTGACCCCAAGACATACTAATGTCAAAAGCTTTACGAGCGTTAGTGGTATATTGGCATATCATGATATAGTTAACCAATTCTTTTTGGTTACAAAATTTGTTCTTTTACTTTTCCCTTTTCTCTCATCATTGTCCAACTTCGTGTTCAATTTTTTAACTAAACAAGTTTTCCATAAACGTTGTTTAAGTTAAAATGTATAAAGCACTCAGTTCAGCTAGCTTGACTATACGCAGAGACCAGAGTTGTGCAAAATTTAATAAAATGTTATAAGTATAGACATAAGGATTTTTTATTATTATTTAATTTGTATGTATTAGAGTAGACTAGTATTAGTGATTATTATAATATCAAGTAAAAACGTTTTCCTAAAAAAAAACCAGCCTATCGCTTTCTAAGTAGCTGCAACTTTACTCGGTATTGTCAGATAAAATTTAAAATCCACAAGCATTTGTTACTCCTTTATTAATTATTTTTTCGAATTTTTAAAAAATAAATAAAAAGAATACTTTCTCAGCTACGAATCAAAGTTAAAACAAATTATAGGTTTTGTTATTTTTACATTATTAAATGAACATGTCTTACCTTTGAGGCCAGTGAACAGAGGCGATGGTAACGATCCGAAATGAGGTGGCAGAAATATGGGTCTGGATATTGCCGGATCGGAAACTGGTCTAAATCCATTGCTGCGAACAAAACAATATAAAACTAATTATTAAAATCATATAATATACAACGTTTAACAAGCGCAAATGCGGCGAGGAGTGTTCATTTATTATAAAAACAAGTCGCGCGCTTGCCCACCGGTCACTGTACCTATAAGTAGTACTATACACAGGTATTTGTTTTGTACTAAAACCCATGTGGTCATTAATATTCTATTGATGCTCAAGGATGGTGGTCGTCAGCAGTGGCTATGGTGACGCCGAGGAATTCTAGGGCCCTCAGTCGGTGTTCGCGTTTCGGTATTTCAACATAGTGTGTTAATACATAATAAATACATTATACATACATAACAATTATATGGACTTAAAAGATTTATCATCGGATGGTGCGCCAGCGTGAGATAATCTAGCTGACAATGTATACGATGTAGCGCCGCGGTAAATATACAATAATAATAATATTTTCAATACTATAAAAACTGCCCACAATAGGTAGAAACCGAGTGGTATTGTTTTCCCTTATTTAATATAGTGCTCTTCCTTCCGGAATATTATGCAAGTTTAACTCAATGTTAGTGAATGAGTGCGTGTGTGTGTGCGCGCAACGACGTCGATGACGACGACAACGCTTAACGTATGTGGATTATACACAATGATGTCCGACCGGAACCGGAAGTTTTTAAAGTCCGCAGCAGCGTGCGCATAAGGTTAATACTTAATAGAGACGTCGTCGGCGTGTGTTTATTGCAGTCGGAAGGAACCGGCAAATGGCCCGGCACTATTTTGTGCGCTCCAGACTCTAGATAAGGGATCCGGGACGCGAAGCACAATGGACGCGCACCGTGACGACCTACCGTAATTGACGATAAACTGCGTCCACTGACAAAGCAGTTTTCCCTCCAACACGGGTTGTTTTAAAAATCTCTTGTTTCCAGGGGGAGGGGGGGGGTTGTCGAGGAGCAAGGGTCATAGGAAAGAGATGTATAATGACTCGCATTCAAAATATATACATCCATATAGCTTCTTTTTTTATAGATTTTTACCAAAATTTGCTAAATTATTATACTCGTAATATAATAGTAAATACATAATGTACATAATGTATTGTATTTATGTAGATTAAATCTGTGGTGATAGACAGGGTCTGATTTAATGAAATTAAGGCCAAGTGTACCGACTTATTTGAGGCCCCCAAGTCAACAATTTTCCTGAAAAATATCTGCAGAGAGTGGAGGAAGAAACGTTGGTAATCAAAAAAATAATTTTTGTTTAATGTGTTAAATACTTATAACACAACTCATAATATATTTGTACAATATTTTATGGAAAATGAAGGTATAGTACTAATTAAATAATATTAAAAATGATACTATATTAAAACATAGTTTTAATGAATTAAAGAATTTAAATTAAAATAAATAAATTTGCAGTCTTGCATAAAAACGGAAAAATAACTTATTAATTTACAAGTTTGTTTTATATAATTCAAATTAAATAAAAAGAATGATACATTTCTTTTTTTTAAAAACATTTTATCACAAAAAAGTTTAAAAAATACAAAGATTTCTTATTTGATTTTTTCATTGCAAAAGTTTCAACTACCGAGTCAAAATTTAATGCTACTGTAAAAATTTACTGAACTCTGAACATTAATTGTATTACATTTTACAAAATAAATTTATGTTGGTTTGATTAGAAAAAAAAAGTCTGCGGCTTGCGGGGCCCTCAGAATTTGGGGCCAAGTGCAAGTGCACCATCTGCACTTGCATAAATCAGGCCCTGGTGATAGGCGATACGGCATAAGTTTAAATTGTGTGTATTTTCTTTTTCCTAAACTTTACATTAACGATAAACCGTGGTTTCAGCACAAATGCACTTATACTACTATAACAACTAGTACTAAACTACTCAGAGTTTCTGTTGAAAAATTACCTTTTTTACTTATCACAAACTTAAGTGAAAAACGTTATTAGTTAAGTGCTAACTTTATTTAACATAAGTGTTTATGTGAGTCGCAAATCGTATACTGTCATAATTTTTAATATTTCGGTGCTTATGCCTTTTTATTTGTTGGTAGTTTACCGGGTAATTCTTATTGATTGAACTGTTCGTTTAAATTTGAATACGACATTACTATAATCGTACGACTATTGTCGTAGCAGTGATACCATTGCCAGAAGTATTAATTATTGTTTAATGAATTGTACAACATTATTTGGTTTTGTCTCTTTTATATTGTCATCTTGGAGGAATCTGAAAACGTCTCAATAAATATTCGTGTAAAGATATGTATACCATGCAATAAATTTATAATAAGACTTCATAAAAAAAGTACTCACGAGTGTTTATGATTATAATACTATATTTATAGTTTGGTTTGATATAGATAAGTCTTATGGTTGGGGGTCATTCTGAAAATTTGTCCGTGACATGTTAAGTGTCATAGTGCTGACGTGATTAAGTATATACATATAAATAAGATTAAAGATATTAGATATGGATTATGGAGGGTCATTCTAAAAAAAAAAAATTAAGAGTCTCCACACTTCATGTAGATACATCAAGTTGCAATACAGGATGTTTAAGGGTATAACGATACATATAATGATAGTCAAATGAATTTGTTAGGTTAGGCACTTGCCGAACCACGGAAATTGATTTATGAGAAATGTTAAATATTGATAATAAATATTAATTGAAATGTTGTCAGTAAATCGATTTAAGGCATATTATAAATTATAAAACTACTAAAAAATGTTTGGCCAGAACATGTAATTATATGATTATTTCTGATCTATAATCTTTTTGCGGTATATGATGATAGTATAGTCTTAATTATCAGGATTAGATTAGATATCAGGACATATTATCCTGATCATGTATTGATGTATTTGCATAAAGTGTCCTATTTTGTCCCGTTTGTGTCGCTTATAACTCTTCTCTTATGCGTTTGACCAGTCGATATTGTTAGTATAAATTATATAATATAATGCGTGTAGTCGGTAAAATTGAATAAAGCGACTGTTCTGATACGTCAATCGTGTAAATTATACTATAGTTATATTAATATCATATATATGTAACCTATCAATATGTTACATATTATTATACAGTCGGGTCGATATTGCGATTATTTTTCCGGGTCGGTATATATTTTGTGTGTTAAACGGAACCACCGCAAACGCAAATATAATTTGGATAATCTGTAAACTGCTGAACGGTGGAGGCTGACGCGAAAGACGAGATCATATCCGGGTCAATTAGATCGAATTAGCTGGCGAACTGAGGGCGGGAAAGGGGTTAGAGTGCGCAGAGACTATGGAAAAAGGGCCGGCAAACTGCCGTGGACGAGAGAGGTGCGCGGAGGTAGGTGTATCACTATACAGAACAGACGATGATGATGATATTCTATATACATGTATATAAAATGTAGAGCATTATTTAATAAAGACCGAGCGGCTGATGCGGGAGGGAGGCCTTTGACATCATTTCTTTGAGCGCGGCGAACGAATTATCATATTTTTAAGCCATCAAAAGGAACGCCAACTACCGTCCCCCGCCTTTTACCCCGATCGGATACATAACTTGGAAGTTATGAAATAAAAGGAAAAACTGCTTTTCCGACCCCCTCGCCGCCCGTATCTACCACCGTCAGGGGTATAATAAAATTCAATTTGCTCCAATATCAAACGACGCAGGTACTGAATAAAAAATTTCCGGCGAATTTCTGCGCCAGCCTTCCCTCGCTCTCGCTATATACTCAATACATTATACAGCAATAATAAGTCAAAAGAAGTTGATGGAATTTTTCGAATAAAAACTTTTTTCTTTTTGATCCTAACCGTTTTCTTTCTCTCTCTCTCTTTTTTACGCCCGTTTTTTTTTACTTTATGCAAACTTTTCCTCGTTGTGGACACTTTAACGTGATTATCTCATCTTTATATATTTCCGTCTTTCACATATAAATTCGTTAACAGTTATATTTTTTTCCCTCGATCCTCTTGCTCGCGGCGCATATTTTTTATTCGCACTATTTTCCATTTTATTATGACGGTCGTCGTCAGGCTTCGAAAATAAATGTGCCTACTCCTAAACGAATAATCATTTTTAAAAACCCTCAATTCAAACGGCAAAACTATAAGAACGCCAAGTAAAAAGAATCTTGGCGTTCTTATTTTCCTAATATATCTAATTAAAATTGATATATTATAGCATTGAGTATATATTGTATAATATATACTCAACTATTATAGGTATATCGTCTGTACTTTCCACATTTAGCGATGTTAGGTATTAAAAAAATGGTATTATTGTAGTTATAACTCACAACACATTTAATTATTCCTCCATTATTGTTACACTCGTTCAAAAAATAATTAATCATTTACAGACTAAATATTATGTAGATACTTAGTATATATATATATATATAATACTATATTTATAATGATGAAAATTATTATTCCGTATTCGACTATTTGAATTTAATTACAACCATAATACTAACCGATAATATTTCGATGTGTTGTCCATAGTCTTATTCTTATTTCTGGATTTGTTGTCATGTCAGTGAAACTTTAATAAAACATTTAATTTACACAAATAACATTGTACATTTTTTGTTGTTTGTGATAGGTATTTCACGTTCAATTACTTCTAGAAAAATGTTTTTAGCGTTTAAAGCTGTTTGATTCCAATTACCGTCAATATTCGAATTCGACGGTGTTCGCCAAAATATGTAATTTTTGTTACAAAAGTTCATGACGATAATAATTTAACAACATATACGAGATAGGTAAATAGCAAATTATCCAAGACAAAGTGAAAACGATGTGCTATTACATTGCTTTGGCCGCCCGACTTAGCGAGCGCATTGTGAAATCCTTAAGCGTTTAAAAATATACTATTGTCTTTCCCACTCCTATCTGTGTCCGATGGCCGACTGTCGGCTATATACAATGCCGTCAAATTCATAATACAAAATATATAATATACAAACGACATCACTTACCTACCTACGGGTTTGCTGAGCAAAATATTAATTTTATTACCTATGCAAATCAAAGTGGAACGTGTGTGATGACGTCGCCCAAAATTAATTCGATATAATGCAGAACACGATAGCCTATTGTTAGTTTTATTATGATTTTGACAAAATAACAAAAAAATAAAAAATGTAAACACTGGCAAGTGGCATATACATGGTTGTTTGTTAATATTTATTTTGCAAACAGTGAATTAGTGATTAGTGTAGTGGGATTTTGTTATAACAAGCTGGTCTATAAATAAATAACGACGTGGAGATGAGTATTGGTATCCTGTGACACTGGTAATCAGGCCCTTCTTCGATAAAGTTGAAATCCGATCAACATCAATTCAAAACAGTGCTGAGGAGCCCGCTACAATTTGAGGCCCAGATCTTAAGACTTGTAGTAAGACCGGCTCGTAATTCCATTGAACAGCATAATTTAGTGGCACAAACATTATAGAGTATTTTTCTTTATTTTAATCGTTGATGGTTTAAAATTATAAAACATTTGCCTTATTCCTTTCAACTCATTGCTCATAGCTTTAGGCTATTATACCTAATATTTAATAATACATTGCCTCTATGATCTCCCACTTATCTTTTGCCCCCTTTCTTGTCAATCTGACGTATTAGGATATTATAGATTATAAGAAACAATTATTTAAACGCAAAATGTAATATGGACAAAACTAATTGCGGTGATAAATCAATTACATTTTATCTAGATTAGATTTTTATTCTAGACCTTAGAGGACAATCCGTTAAAGGAACCACATCACCCAAAACGTCTACCGAACAAGTAAATTCAATTGATTATTAATTGGTTTTTATTAACGTTTTGAGCAAATTTTGATTTTCATAAATCGTTCGGTTGTCCCGACTTCTCTATTTAAACCCCGCACACACCTTGTCCAGTTATGGTCGTCTGTCGAGTATCGTGTACAACACCATTCAAATCGAATTAAAGCCGCGATAATGATAATGTTTCGATAATTCAATAACATAAAATAAAATACTAATCCGTATCAAATTGTATGCTATTATATGTGTTTCGTCCGGCGGCCGGAGAGTACCCTGGGCGTGCGATGTCGCCTACAAACCGAATTATCCCATGTGTAACCTGATACCGGGTGTATAAACGTCATGTGCGGTATACACGCCTGTATAGGTGGCCGGCCGGCACGTGTGCCGCGTGCCGCATGCACGTGCGTGACTGTCACCGGAGGAGGAACAAAGTTTTCCACGTTAATAACTGGGATTGTGTCGCGGCAACGGTTTTTGTTCCCAACCTGCAGGGGCACGAGAAACAATAACATAACGCCACGGCTTCCATGAGGGCGGTCCTAAATAACTATGTGTATGTGCACTATATTATGCTGTTTTAGACGCACACACACACACAACCTCGGAGACGGATCAAACAAATAGGGTTTTAATTTTTTCAATCCATTCTAATTACCACCAAGCTGTACAATACAAGTTCTATTATTATGAATAAAACAATGCTTGCACAAGGGACCCCGTCGTATGTTATGACACCGCGTTGTATAATGTGAAAATTGTACATTTCTCCAACGTTGAATAGTAGCGGCCTTTGAAATTAAAAAAAATCTCCTTTTCCGGGAAATTGATAGTAATCGAATCCCTTTTCAGCCACTTCAATTTTTTACTCTAAACTAATAATACAATATTTACTCGTATTTATTTAAAAATAACCTGCTTAAAGACGTGTGAAATATACCTAAATTCTCTAACGAGTTACAAATCATTAACATACCGTTGATCGGAGCATTAACGGTAAGCGGAGTTTTGATTGTGAGGGGTAATGTAAAATGTTGGAGGAGATCGCAAAATAACATTTAAAACATTAAATGGGATTATCTGTAATATTTCAGGGATATCAATTTGGTTATTTATTAATTTATATTTTTAAATCCAGACCATATCCAAAATACGACGACGATGATCAAGAATATTTAATCCTATTTCAGAAGCAATCGTACCAAGATCTATTCCAACTTTTCCAGTTCTAAAAGCCATCATTTTCAAGAAACTTCTCTGAAGACTTTCAGTCGTATCTGTTAAGCCTGCTCGATGAGGTGATAAAATTATGAAACCATACTCAATAATTTAACAAATGAAGGCTGTATACCTATAAGACTTTAAGATAGGTCAGATTATTAAACTTATAACAATTACACTTAAAAAAACCGAAGACACGAAGGGCTTAGTTGTACGTTTGAGTGACATGTTTACAAAACGATAGATCACTAGATAAAATAATACCTAGGCCCTTCACATGATTGAGTCTAACTAAATTAACCCCACATTTTTCATAAGAAAAAAGTCCAGGGACTTACTACGAGTAAACGAAATTTGAGAGCACTTTAAGGCATTTACGCTGGGCCATTAACTACACAGTGTACACTAACTATAATAGTTATTAAGATCTTCTTAAAGTTTATAGCAATCTAAAAGAGAGTTAATATTTAAAAATAACTTCACATCATCCGCAAACGAGAAATATTGGGAAACAAATGTTTATACAAAACGGTTCCAAAATTTTCTATTTTTTGAGTTTTGGTTAGTGGAAAAATGTTTTTTGGGTTTCAAAACCAGCAACTGCAAACAACTATTTTTATGTTTTTTAAAGGATATAATAGCCCCTAAAGCTCCCTTTGGAGCTCTTATACCTGACTATATTTCTGCCTGATGATAATACCTAGTTCATAGGTACTATTCATTGGTAAAATATTTTTGAAAATTGTCTTGTCCCATTCAGGTCAATCTTGGTTACGATAATACCAATATAGTGTTCCTTTTTAAAAGAGGGGAATCGTCGATGGTTAATAATTTCCAGCCGCTGTCGTTAACTCTTTATTTTAACCGTAACTTCAGACTTGCATTGTCGTGATCATTTTATGACTCGAAGACATTTTTGTTGTAGTTAATTATTATTTGTCGCTCTTCATCTGCACGAGGACGCTGCGTCGGCTCTCATGGGAAATTAAGAAATGCATGTGCGTGATTATACATGTATAGACATATACATATACGGTAGTGGTGTTACTTAACTTAATTCTATCACGGTACGGCGGCGCATAGAAATATTTTTTAACGTGTTTTGTGTGTGTATATACTATATAAATATATGTATGCTTTTATGTACATGACGTATACAGAATGTAATGCGCGGAATTATTTAGAACTTTATTTAAATTCCCCGCTCGTTATCCTTTAGAAGAGGGTATTAAGCAAATTATACATACATAATATATTCAAAACAGATTAATGCGCTTTTCGTTTGGTGTTTCGACAACAGCAATATCGTACGTGAATGTGAATGTGTGTGTGGCGCTAATGGCTAACACTATAATAATGCGCAGAGTGAATAATATTGTAATATTATTCTAGATAATTATAACATAATATATACGCGTAACGCTTTGTAATTAAAAAAAGCAACCGTATAAAGTTTAATCAAGTGGAATATAGGTTTAAATTCAAGCACATGAATATTTTAAACTTATCTTTTCTCTATTAATATTAATTATTATTGTTCCGATCATCTATACATCACAGTCGTAGTCTTAAAAATATTATATCCGCCGTGGGATAGTTCAATAGTTATGAAGATGGTTGTATGCTGTATAACCATCGGTATGTGCTTAGGTAAAAAATGTTATCACTATTGCAGGGTTTATGCGCTACTAGTAAAGCTTTTTTATGAATCACACAAATCACTATATAGTAGCGGGGAAGTAAACAAAATGAAATAGCCGCACGTTATTAAAGAGGAACAACGACCCTAATCCGTCAATACTTCATATTGTATGGTGTGTATGTACATAAGCAACCCCCATGCAAACCTTTTGTTCAATTTTAGACGATCTGCTAACACGGCGCGATTTCTGGTTAAAAAAGGGTAGTTGAGTAAGCCGCAAATACACATAGGCCATCTGTTTAGCGGTTGTAACCAGTAAACACACACATTAAATGGCTGGTATATCATACACAGCTCATTGAGCATAACGATAATAGTAATAATATATTATAAAATAATGGTGTTTTTACTTTTTTAACGTGGTATTATTTTGCGCGAACATGGTGTAACTTATAAACTGTACTCGTGGGATACATGCAGACGCCTATTCAATGTAAATTATAGTTAAGATAAAGAGATGTTCTGTACAACTTGTAATATGACTAATGACTTACCCTTCAGACGAGAATGGCGTGAATATGGAATGATTGAACGTGGACGTGGCCACGCTAACGGGTGGTCGCACTTGAGACGCACTTGGACTAAGACTTGGAGTCGGCGAGTCGGGCACGGTCGTTCCGTTTCTGTGAACGCAATAATAAACCAATATCTTTTGTTTTATTATGGATTTATTAATAAATTAACCGTTTATTTATTAGTAATTTAAAAAATCGTATTAAAAGGGTGCGGCAAGAGAGAGAAAAAAACAATGCAAATACGCTGTTGATCTAAAAATATATAATAATAGATATTAGTGTACAGCTAACACTAGTAGTATTATGCGTTTAGTTGTTATAATCCAACTTGTCGCTACTATTGTATTATTATTATTATAACTGTTAGAAGTATTATTATTATAATCATCACCATTGTCACTCGAGAGGCAAAACGGGCGTTTACAAATGTCGCCGGCTATCTGAATTGATTGTTTAATTGGCTCAATTACCAAGTATAATTTGAATTTATCTTCACTTAAACTGAATTACGATTTATTAACAACAATTGGACGCGTGGCATAACAAGCACGCTACACGCAACATTCCGAATCGAATAAAATTAGCCAAGGACACTCATCGTTCCTTGTGTAAAGACTAATGGCACATTATATAATTTTACACATATGTTGTGCCCTTAGTAGCGTAGGCCGTAGGGGATGCAATTTATAATACCCGCATAAAGCAGCCGGGTATAGGTGTTATAATAAGGGATTATCGTTAATAATATAGCGTTTTAAATATAAATATTAGCAATACAATACTATAATCGTTTTGTGATCTATATTGAGTATAGGTTTTTGACAACCCATTTATGCAGCGACGACAAATAAACAAACAAACAAATTAAAATGTATGGTGATGCCTAACAATTGTCTCGTCATGTAAATCTTTTCTAATGTCATATGCCAATAAAGTTCATTTGTGTACAAAGTATAATACCATATATACATTTTTGATGATTTGGTTCGCCTCAATTTTAAAATGGTTAAAATTATTATGAAATTACGATGTAGCATTTGGTGTTTACATGCAAAACGTCCTTAGAATAATACTAATTTTTTTTAATTTAGTGGAGTAGTTAGATGAAAACAGTTGAATTGGTCTGTAAGAATTTAATATAAGTGCGGGATACGTTAGACCGACGTTTGAATGATCGAAAACATTAATAATATACAACATTCTAGGTGCTTATAACTAATTTATGTGTATATAACGGATAACCGCATAGACCCGGATAGTTAATTAAGAGGGTTTGTCTGCGTTGATTAATGTAATTTGTACTTAGTCTCACATTGAAACGGGAGAATTTCAAGAAAGTTATAACCGAATTGAAAGTACTAGTACTAATAATAATTTGATGCAACCTAATAAAACACATTCTAGATAAATCATTTTATCATTGGCGTTTGAATTAGTGGTTTATAACAACTTTTCATATTACACCAAACTCCAAAGGAGTAAAGACGGTTAGTATACAAATTAAATTAAAGAGGAGGAAAAAAATAGTAATAATAGACAATTAATGTTGCAATTTCGAATTATTTCGATTACACAGTTATAAATGTGAAATTTTCTAACGAACGTACGAACTTTAGGAATTTTAAGGCTTGTACCTAGTTTGTATTATGAATAATTGAAGTAAAAAAAAATTAAACGCATTAAAAATATCCCTAAATCTAATGATACTCCCCCAACAATTAATAATTCAAATTATTTTTTAAAAACTTCTTAGTCCGATATTTTGAAAGGGGGTTTTTATGTTATTAACTCTTAAGTATTTTTATTAATCATTCAACTATAATATCACTTTCTATCCTGTTCCTTAAAAAATATTGATCTAACGACTATATATTTGTATAATTCGTTCATATTATTAAAACTATTGTTGTTTTTTCCTTTTGTAACGTAATTTGGACACATTAGATGACTTCTGTATGATAGGCGTTTGGAAATGAATTAAATTTATTGAAGGAGCAATGGTTATACTGACCCTGTGGGTGATGGCGACAACGGTCTATCTTCGGTGCCACTTCCGTTCATACCGCTGCAACTGGCCGGTGATTCACTTCTGTCAGAGATATGTACCGTGCTGGTTCTAGCGTCTTCGTCCGGTTCACTTCCACTATGCCCGTCGTCTCTATGTTCTCCTTCTATAGCGTCTCCCTGAAAACAAATGACCAACAAAATATAAAATGTTGAACCGTTATTTATAAATTATTTTAATGGTAATTTTTAGTTTATTAGTTTTAACTTTAAAATCAATTTTTTTTAATTTCACAAAACTTATAGTGTACTTTTAACATTTGATAATTTACAATTTGGCAACGTTTCATACGCAATCGTGACGTTTTATAGGTTTCCATTGTTATACAACTAACATACGCAATCGTGTTCCTAAAAAGGTAAATCTTACGCAATCGGGTTCTACCCCTAAATATATCTCTGTCCGCATAGATGTACCGTAAATCGAGCAAACATGCAGCAATAATATTTCATCTTGCTCCGTATCCAATACAAAATTCGATGAAAAATTGAATTTGATGTGATCTTTGTGTAGATAGTATTATATTATACACGTTTTGTGGCAAAGAGTTATTTACGGTTGGAAAATTATCATCATCCGGAGAGGAAAACGCGCGGTAATACACTGTCGTTTTTATTTGGTTTTATGATTTATGATTCGCGAGTCCGGTTAATAAATAATACATTACGTCCGCTGTGAAAACGAGGAAGAGCGTCGTAAAAAAAAAAGAGAAGAAAAAACGAGAAGAAATAAAATAAAATATATAAATATGGCGCCACCGCCACCGTCGACAACGACTACCATCTTGTGGTTTATGTAACTGTTCTAAAGTTACAGAATACTGATACTCTCAAATGTATATTATACATATTTCCATTTTTTAATAATATTTCTTCTGTCGCGGTTTTCCTTTCGCGAAATGCGTTGTTTTGTAGTTAATATTTTAAACGCGGTCTACCTCGACAACTCCGGATACGGTTTATTCGGTGACATTAACGAAAAAGCGTTAAGAGATTATTAACCGCCAACGATAAATCAGCGTGCCGGCGGTGACAACGGCCCTACGGGTGAGTGATAAATACTTATACACAATATACACGCATATTTAAAAGGGCGAGGGGGAGCGAAGAGGACAGAGACTATGGAAACCTATGGCGTGTCGTTTATACACACACACACACAAGAGCGTGTGCCGTTCGGTTATACATTAAAAAGGGTTAAGACGACATCGTAACACCATAAATTTGGATCTGCTTTTCGCCGAGCACCTGAGCTAAATTAAAGTTAACGGATAAATCAAAAACCCCCCGCCTCCGAAAAGGGTTGCGCCGATATGCCATAGCGATAACTTGCGCGCGTGACAAGATTTGTTGCCGAAACCTCTTATTGTTATTGTATCAGATGCACGGCGTACCTAAACTTTGTGTTGTTCTGTATCGTATTTCATAAAAATTATATGTATAGATTCATTTGTTGTAATTATACATCGTGCTATTTGAAAACATTACCAACGCAGTACGCACAGACGCTAAGTATCTTCCTGCTAATAAACGTGTAAAGTTTGCCGAGTGGATATTATGTAAATTGTATGTACTAAAACTCGTCGGAGTGATACATTTAATTGCAGTTAAACGGAAACAAAACCGCTGCTGTTCGCGACGACAGGGCATTATGGATTACAATCTTAAAAAAATAAAATAAGAACTTGAGTCGAAGTACTTACTTTAGTGGTAGGCGAATGCTGCATGTCTTTGGCCATATGATCCAACTGCTCTTGGAGCGACCCCGTCCTGTCGTGCTCTTCTCGTTTCCTCTGCTCGTCTTTCAGTCGTTCCGCTTTTCTCCATTTGGCCCGACGGTTTTGAAACCATACCTATGTGCAAATAATTTAAACGAGCAAAAATATTAAAATATGAGATGTTACTATTGTTTTGTGGATTGTTTTCAAAGCAATTCATATGATATAAACTAAACATATTGTACATAACTTAAAAATTAAATGCGGAACATTTTTTAGAAGATAAAATATTTAATATATTTTGTATGTTATCTTTGAGGGTTTAACAAATAATATAATAACTGTCGAGAGGCAGCCGCGTGAGACCGGTCTGCTGCCTCTTGTCCGACGAACTTTATCTTTTTTTTTTTTAAAAAGACATATATGTTTATATATATATTATACATATGGTACTACGTTGATATTGTTGCGGACCCGCGTATAACCCATTTGGGAATCAAAATGCGTGGCTGTCAAATAAACATCAATGTAATACGGAACGCGAGCACCAATAACGAGGTCGAAGTATCAATTCGTTAAGTGACGTAAAGTCTATACTCAGTGCGCTCAAAAGGGCCACCAGAGACTCGAGAGAACCCTTGGATTTTTTTATAGGAACTACCATTACTTGCCACAAGAATAAGTAAAGTATGCTTTCGGGGGGCATCTACAAGGTGCGTATAATATGTGTTAATATGTTATATATCTGTATGTGTAGTTTTAAAAATGTATAACTTCGGAAAACGGGTTATCCAAATTCAAAGAGTAGGTTAAGTTAGCTTTATACATTTGAACTTTTAGTTATTTTTATCCTAGAGATCTGACAGGAACAATAACCATATAATATTTATGTATATATCGATTCAGACAATTTTAGGTACCTACAGCTAAAGCGTTCATAAAAGATTGATTTGGTGGAGTTTTGGACTTTATCTATGACAAGTTCAATCAGTTAATTTTATCACTCCAAACCAAGCCTAACTTGGCATTATTTTGGATTTTGGAAACACTAAAACAACCTAGGCTTCGTGAAGTAAACCCTTCTTTTGTGTTTTTTTATAAATTGGCTAAGTATTGGTTTAAAATTATTAAAACGAACTTGCGAATTCTTAAAAATAAATTGCTTTATAGTAAATACTAACATAGTCTTGGATTTGATGTTGATGTGTAAGTAAGCTAATTTTACATAAGTTTAGTAGTTAACATAATTAAATTACACTAACATAATTATGTCTAATAAATATTTTTAAATTTGCTGGTAGATTCCTTTTATTTGTAACTTAATCTTTGTTACATTGATTAATGGAATTTATAATTTCTTGACATTGATGATTCTTACCCAATTGTTTTTCCCAATATTATATTGGTTAAATATGCTGAATGAGACTCTAGAAAGAGTAGACTATTATTAATAAGAGATCAATAGTATAGTTTTTTCCCATAAGTAATTAAAGTATTTTAAGGATACTAAAGTAATAGAATATAACTTTAAAACAAGTTTTTTAATGTTACGTGAAATCCATTCTAGAGATGTTACCGTAAATATACATTTGTATTTTTTTAGCATGTATTTTTTATATCAATTTATTAGCTTCTTAAACTTTACGTCGATGTATATTTAGTATTTATTGCTGTTGATTTATAAATAAAACTTGAAATTGATATATTTTACTATTATGGAAATTTCGTCACTCTTGTAAAAATAGATCAAGCAAATTTATTTTAGCTTCGATGCGGAGCTTAGACGCGCGGCTGCCATCGAACTGTTTTTTACGGAAACAAGGCGACTTAGTTACAGATTTGTGCGGAATATACTTTAGACATAGTAGGTACTACCGGTAAACGTTGACAAACCAAACAAAAATAACATAAACCCTTTTCCTTGGAAGATGTGGAAACTTTTCTTTATTGTGTTTTTTTAGGTGAATCTACCGAAAATTAGACCGAAGGTACATCTAGAATGGGGCTTAAACATTTACAATTTTCTCAAAAAAAATGGAAAAACTACACATTGTTCGTATACATTTCTAAGTTGCTATGTGAATTGTAAAAGTAAATTAACAGTCAACGGGTAATGAAATTATTTCATTATATTGTTAATTACGATTTATGGATAACAAGGGCAGAAAACTATATTAGACGGACGATCAACCCTAATCGTGTCCACCCAAATATTAAAAATACAATTTTAAACACATAATTGTCATTAAAACGATTTTATTGTTATTTATATTTCTATCATCTACATATTCGCATCACTCGTGTAATCATGCGGTGGTTTTTATTTGGTTATATTTTTTCTTTTGTTCATTAAGCATTTTTAAGTTTTGTATGCTATTATTTATATTATTAATAGTGTGTCAATATTATTACATTAAGTCTTTGCATATTGTCTATCTTACCTAAAATCAAGGGATGACTTTAAAAATTATGATGTATGGAGTTAATATAATGCACTACTTAAGGCCGAAAGCGAAATCACGAAAATAATATACATGCCATCGTAAACGATATCTCTAAGGGGTTTGTGGTCTTTTTAAAAGCACCGCACTACCGTATGTGCCGGAGCGCACGAGACATTAATGGGCCGAGACAAGTAAAACTATATTGACATTTAGGTAGTCTATTAGCTGTCGGATTACATTGAAATCGAAAATCACCCTACAAGCACTCAGGCCCCTCGTCGGTTAAAATAAAAAAACCGCCCCTCATATTTTATTATGTCTACCCTTCTACATGATAAAGTTGGTATACATAATATATACATATGTACCGCAAACAATTTGATATATATAATATATATTTATGCCAAGTTTAGAATGTTTAGAGTTTTCCAATTTATGTTAACTCAACCACAAAAACAAATGCACTAGAATTAAATTAATTTAAATCAATACAGATAATAATATATTCTGCTTTATCTACATTTATTAAATATAATATTAGAGCCGGTATATTTTTGTATTTCAAATCTTAAGCGAGTGTATTGTTAGTATTATATTCTAGAAGTCATTTGACACTTTATAAATATACTTATTATAGTTAATAACGAAAGCGTAATTTTGCTTAAAAAGTGGGGAGGTTTTAACGCAGAAATTATTATAAAGCTTTCCATGTACTAAACATGAAAACGTAAACAATTTTGGAGATGCTAATTTCAAAAGTATAGGTGTAAGCATAACCAAGCCCTTAACAAATGTCATCTATAGTTGATCAAACTTTTTATATAAATCAAATTATTTTTATATCAGTCATATTTTAATATTATTAGATCAATAAACTCTTAGAATTTACTGCGGTAACGTTACTCCAGCATCCACACAAAGAAAACTAGTTTTTAGACCAGATTAGGCTACGAATAACTGTGAATTAGTTACTAAATACTAATATAGTTTTCAAAATGAAAATCTAAAATTCTGATGCTAAGGTAACGTTCCTCAGAGTTGAAATTATTTTTAAAAACAATGAGGTGTTACGTTGTTTTTCACCTTGTAGTAACTATGTATTATGTATACTATATACTCAGAGCCAGCCTGATCACTGTGCTACAGCATGGGCCTTTAAAGTGCAAAGGACAATCCCAAATCCGATGGCGTACATTTTTTTTTTTAGGTTTATCAAATTATTTTTTTAAGAGGGGCAAAGAATAAAAGTGGGAAATAAATATTATTTATCGTTAGTGTTCCTGTTCTAGTCTAAATTATTATGTAGGAGAACGAAAATTAGGCTTTATAAAGTCTTAGTCAGACCAGCTATAATTGTATTGTTCGCGTGGTCATCGACGAAAGCAGACGAAAGAAGACTGACAGTATTCGAGAGAAATGTTTGATGAGCCTGACATAGTATATATTATAAAAAGTTAAAAAATTAGCTAAGCAGGACATGTGCAGAGAGACGGTGATGCAAGGTTCCAGTGTATAAACCAAGTAGTACAAGACCGAAGGGCACACAAGACAACTGTGGAGTGACCAAGTCAGAGAGGACCTCAAGCTCTTAGGAATTAGGGAAGGATTAGCTGTATTTAAAGATTAGAGATGCGTGTCGGGGTGTAGAGAGGCGGCAATGGCCTAAAAGGGTTGGAATAAGCTTGAAAAATAATGATACTGATGGACAAATTTTCTTAAATAGATACGTGTATGCAAAAGCGTTACAATGTTACCTATACGCTTAATATTAGTATACCTAATATTGTATCTAAAAAATACGTATTTTGTAATACAAATTGTATTTTATGATACTGTAAACTCAATTTTTCAAAGGGCCGAGTATAATAAAAAAAAAAGAAAGCACTACTTAACAAACAGCAGCTTGAAAGCAGGAGACTCAACATTATTATTAATAATTATCATTATTTCCATTGTTTTGCTCATTGTTTAGAGACGAGGCCCCCGTGATGGAGTATCCAACGGTACTAATTGACGGCCGACGACTTCTCTGACGTTGAAACAATGCTTCCAATTACTAGAACTGTGTTGGTTTTAAGGGTCGCGAAAATATGTATTTTATAATTATATTTTTAGCAAACAAAAGAAGGATATGCTGTGCTTAAATAATTAAAAAGTACGCTTCTCACGAAGTACTACGGTTGTTGTTTGTAATATTTAAGTACCTACTTTCAGAGATTTAAAAATATATATATTAATAAAAAAGTATTTTTTTCCACGGCCTTAAAAATATAATAAAATTTAATTCTGTGACAGAATAAAACAGGGTTGGTTGTGAGGACCGTAGGAGGAAGGAACAAGTAAATACAGTTATACCCACTATGAAAGTTTTATGAACGTGAAATAATATAATTCTTTAAAAACTGTTCAAGTTTAATAAATTATCAATTTTGTCTATTATTTATAATAAGTTAAACTTCATTAAAAATTTACTTGGTTCAACATAGATATTTTTTACCGAAAAAAATGCATATTATTAGAAAAAAAATTGATAACAGGTGTTTTGTGTGGTTTAAAGTGAACGACAAATTAATTAAAACTGTAATGAGCTCAGCAATTTTACAATGAATTCATGTAAAATTGTTGTATGAGCATTGATTAGTGTATAAGTGGAAATTTGGGAGTAAATAGAAATGTGAAGAGAGAGAATAGGTTAAGATGATTTTGGTGTATCGAAAGAAGAAAGTTAAATTGAACAGTATGGTATAATAATGGGTACAAGCGATTAGAGAAAATAGATATAGAGGTAATATTGAGATAGAGGAGTGTGTAGTAGGGAGACATTAATGAAGATAGAAAATCGAGAATTGTAGAGAAAGGATTTTGGCTTGGAATTTGTATGGGTTGAGTTAAAGAAGAAGACGAGAGTCTAAAAATGAAGCACAGCCCACCCACTACACTTGTTTAGCCTTATTAATTTTTCAAAAATACGTATAGAGTACACAAATAAAATCTTTGTTATACTAATTCAATATTTTTGGTGTACATATGGAGTTTGTATTTGACAAGGGATATTAATATGAAATAAAAATAACGAGAGGAGTTTTCTTCTGTAGGTGAATTTTAAATTTATATACCGGGGGAAATTATCAGATATTCTCTTTTATAGTGTAAACTTTATTGGGAAAAATGAAAATAATTGAAGTAGTTAATTCCCTTGCATTGTGCTTTACGACATCCATACTTTATATTAATATAAGTAATTAATGTATCAGTACAGCATAATAACAATATAGTCCAAGAATTAATTTTGTAATCTGCTTATTTTATGTATACAACAACAGTTTGTGACAAGGTGAAATAAAAGTGCAATTTTATTTTAAGTATAGCAAAAGTTTCAACTCGGTTAGAGTCGGTAATTAAGTTACTCATCAATCACGTAGACATGACTGTAACAGGTATACGTTAATATAATTGCGCGATTATTATTCAAGTCTTATGGGTTACTGGTCTTTTTAAAAATAATTTTGTTTTACATTGTATAATGCAGTAAAGGTTTAAAAGTTTTAGAATTATTTTCCATCAGTGATTTTATTAAGTTAACCCCTTAAGTGGATTCAATGGCGGACAAACGCTGACGCGTTGCCAAGGTGACCAAGCTGCCTTATACTTATGGCGGCAGTAGCGTTGTGATGTCTGCTGGAAGGCACAATAACGCTTGTAATATTGTTGTTATTTTATCGAATTAAAATCCATAAGGTAAAACTAAATGTTATGTTTACAGTAGTCAATACTTAATGCATGCGCAAAGCGAATTATAGTGCTCTTTGCAACAATGTGTTTTATAGTTTACATATAAAATAATTATTAAACAAATTACTATCTATACTTCTCACTTTTTTCTTTCTCATCAAATAGTTTATATTATGTTTACTAAATAAGTACAAGTTATTGTAAAATTCATAGATATCAAACGCTGTGTTTAAAACACAGTCCAAGCAAAATTATGAACTCGCACGTGTAAAGCGCATAATTACCTGGACGCGAGCTTCAGTTAATTGAATTTTGGCCGCTAAGTCTTCTCTAGTAAACACATCGGGATAGTGGGTCTGAGCGAATGCTGTTTCTAATTCCTCGAGCTAAAATTAAAACAAACGCGTAGTTTAAAATTTGAATACACGGAAAAAACATTTTTTGAATTATTTTTTTTTATCTGTGGTCGCCGGTAAAATAGCGATCCTTACAAAATTAACACTAAATAAAATTATCATACATTCCCTATCCCAAATTCAAAAAGTAATCAAATTTTCCAGTCCGTCTCAAAACCCAAAATATAAGGTTGAAAATCGTAATTTGTGTCTAATTTATTAAATGAAAAAAAGGTTAAGCTATAATACAATTAAATTGTAATATTAATACTGACATTTAAAATTTTTTTTTACATACTTGTTGTAAAGTAAATGTAGTTCGATTTCTTCTTTGCTTGCGCCTCACAAATGAATCATCGTGAATAGCTGGATGATACGAGTAGCTAGAATCTGTATAACATAAAATTCAGTTGTTAATTTGTAACTGTCATGATTTCGTCACTTATATCCTAATTCAAAATGTTTCTTCATTTAAACGTACATATATTTCTATAGTTATTACCATTATGTTTTTAATTTATTGCAAGATGCATAAATAGGTACCTTTTAGTCGTATTATAGACATATTATAAGTAGGTATATCATATTATGTATGTTACCTTCTTAGAAAATTTTTTGTACAATTAAAGAAATTACGGTATAAATAAACTAAATAATATAACACTTTTAGATCAATTATTTAGCAAAAAAAAATGTTCAATTAATTTACTACGAAGAGTGAAATTTGCTTGATTTAACACAGTTGGGAGCACCGTGGGTACGACTAAGAAATTAGTCGAATATAAGAAACAATATTTTTGGTAAATTTTTTTATCTCGAAAGTATTTATTATATTTAATTTAAACACAATCATAAATTGAACTTAAGAGTTTATTTAAATTGCTTTACAAGACAGGAAAAAGTCAACATTTTATTGTTTAGAGGCTAAACGTTATTTAAAGTGAGACGAAAAAGTGTGTGTATTAAGAGGACTAAATCAACGCTAAAAAGTCTTTAACATATAAAAAATATGGTTTCAAAAATCGTTTATCAATGATTAATTATTCGATTTAAGATATAATTAAATGTGTCAATAATATAATTCTTTACTATTACGATTTTCATTAATTTTAATTTTTTTTGTTTTTTTTAAGATTGTATTATTTAGCGAATAAATAGTTTTTTATTTCTGTTTCTCTGTGTTTAGCTAAGTTGGCGTATTTTAGTTTCGATGCGGAGCTGAGAAGGCATTGTTTTTAAAATAATGTTTTGTATGTTTTATGAACAAAATAATTTTGACTGTACAGGTTTGAACTTACTAACCATAGATTCACATCGAAGAATTTATTTAAAAGTGATTTTATCACTTTCAGTTATAATAACTCTTGTAAACTTGTGACCTTCCCGTCTCCACTATGCCCCGATCCCACTTTAATGTTTTTTTTTAATGTTTGCGTTGAGCAGAAGTCTTTTCCAACATACTGGAATTTTTTACTTATTTTATTTCTTACATGAGCGGCTTATACAACATATGTAAACACAGTTTTCAATTAAATATTGAAATATAAAATATGTATTGCATTATAATAAATGATGTTCTCGTTTATTAGGTTTAATTGAATTTGGATACTATATAACTTTTATGAGTGATTTTATTAGTTTTATTAATAATAAAGCTGATTGTGCTTAATAGTTTATAAGTTTTATATTTAATCCTTTTTTAATTTATTTTCCCAAACCTCGTGAATTGTACGTTGTAGCCATTCGAGTCGTATTAATGGTATTATTGTTGTAGCAGGTGTTGTTACCATTGTGTTGGTAGTCTCGAGAATTGGTAATTATACATTTTGCAGAGGTACAGTTAACTAAATTGACTTTAATCCTTTTATCCTGATGTAGGAAACGAATGATCGGATGTAATTTACTCTTTCGTAATTTACAAAATATATCGAGGGGGGCTTGCGAAAACATTAGTTAGGTAGTAAATCAATGAACCAACTCTCTCTCTCTCGGGTCCCTTTGCACAGCCAATATACGTGACTGATGATGTAAAACCGAAAACTCAATTAAAGGCGCGCGGCCAGGCTTAAAGAGAAAGCGAGTGCGCGGATCGACAATCGTAGATGGTGTAAGTGCGGGTAGGTGGTGTGTATGGCGATAACGTATACATCCCAGCAAAAGCTATCGTCGCCTAACAACGTTTAACTCCTAAGTGAATCAAGGAACAAGACGCCGCCACTATGTAGTCGACGACCGGGACCGAGCAATCCCGAGGGACTTCGGGACGGATTCTGTCCGAAATTTAATTAGGGACGGAATGAACCTAATTACGGACCGGAGCTGGAGAGGAGTGACAGCGGTGGTAATGGGGGTAGCGGGTTTCCTTTAGGATTGCATTATGGAAATTTTCGTTAGTTACGCCTTTGAAATATTCATACGCTTACCCACCTCGCCCTCCCTTAGCCCTAACCCCACACGGTGTAACAAGCTATAATAATTTCTTGGCTGGCAAGGGAATACAGGTATCGCGGTAAACATTGAAATTACAAAGGGGCGGAACTGTCTGTGATAATATTCTAGTACCGCGTTAACCCGTATGTATTATACACTATAGCATTTATAATCGAATATACCGCCGCGCCAGTTGATCGCGTTAATGTGGCTGTAATTTGTGTATAGACACAACTTAGTGTATGCATTAATTTCGTCGTTTGTGTTGAAAATCCATTAATGATAATTAAAAATATTATTCCTGGACTACTTTACTTCGATGATAACAATCGCGTACACTGGTCGTGTTATTTATCACGTGCAGTATTCGAATATGCGACTAGAATTCCTCAGGTTTTGTAAAATACTTAACCAAACAGCCTGCTTAGGTATAACGATAGCGAAAAGCCTTTTAACGACTAATTGTGTACCGCTGATTACAAAATGATATACATATTTTATTATGTTAGTAATGAACCAATTAAAAAAAAAAAAATCCCTTTTTGGCGATACCGCACGACTTTCACTACAAAGGTACATGAGTGTATCTATTATAGTATTATTGTTTAATCACGTTATTCTTTCTCCGGACGGGAAATGTCAATCGAATTGGACGTACGCTTGCTTCGTTTATATATAGTTTTTGACGGGCTCAGACAGATGGGCGCCAATTACGATTATCAGCGCCGCGGTCCATTATGCTGGGACCCCGTCCCCAGAGACCTTAAGGAATATAATAACGGCTACTGTACTTACACGTACTATCGGGTTAGGTTACACATTTTTTTCCATTTCTGACCGCGGCCAAATATTTTTTTTGTTTAAAGAGCATTCTATTATTATTATTATTACTACTATTATTTAAACTGCGCGAGCAGCACATATATATGTGTATATGTATACTATACATAAAACCACGGTTAATCGGCTTTAAAACTTGCTGCTGTAGAATGCGCTTGGAAATCGGCTTAAACGGAATTATAATTATAATTTATAGCATTATACTGTGGCAGCGACGTTGAACTCTTCCGCGTCCGCCGAATTAATAATAACGGGTATACAATATAGTATTACTATACATTGTCCATGCGTATCAGAGTTTCTCTTGTAATATTATTATTGTTGTTTAGCCGGCAAAGGGCAAAGGACGGTAGACAATAGTGCGGAGCTCAAGTACCGTGAAAACAAGCTTTAGGAAATTGAAACTTAAATTTTTAACCATGTGACGAGCCCCGGGAGCGCGCACACAAGTAAAACAACAAAAAATTAAGCCTTGTTGTTATTGTTGCGCAAGTTTACATAAAGTGAGTAAAAGAGGGGGGGGGAGAGAGAGAGAGAAAGAGAGTAGATACGAAAAAGAAGGACTGCGAGAAACGAAAAACGGTGCGCGGTAATGGAGGATAATCCGAAATCATTATTCATGGAAAAATTTTCATTTCCGGAATTAAATTACGCGGGTTACGCCGTAAAACACAGTGCAGTTATTTATTTTTGTTGTTTTTAAGTACAAAAAGATTACGTTCAAATTCGTTGTTTTCCACATCGTAAAATATTTACGCCATCCCATTACGTCTTCAGTCTTGGTTTCATTATTCTCGATTTGATCGAAGAAAATTAGTAATGACACACTATACAAATATGAAACTAATTAGATTATGATTGAAAAAATTATGGAGCGCTGTAATTTTAAGTTGAAAAATATATACATTTTTTTATGATTTTCTCTATTTTACATGGGGAGGGGTGAACTTATTATATGATTGGCCCAATAAAATACCTTTCAGGTACGATTTCTGATCTTTAAAGTAGCTACAAGAAGAAACAGGTTCAGCGATTTTAAAGATATTGTGGATCCAGACACAAAAATAAAAACACATCATGCTAAAAACAATGGCTTCTGGGTTCCGCAAGAAAGCTAAAAAAATATCTACTAGAAGACAAAATTATTGCTTTACCAATTATTTTGAATATCAAATTTCATATTATTTATATTAAAATAAAAGACGATATTTCCATTCAAAAAGGGATTCTTTTAAAATAATAGTTAAATGTTAGTTTTAAGTAGTTATAATATTATCATACTGTATTTATTTAATTGCATATAGGTGATGTTTCGTTATAATACATCTTATATCTTATTTCTTATGTTTTATAGCCTAAATGTTATAATTATTTTCAGTACATGATATTATAAAGCTATATTTGCTAGAAGCTAGTTATTGTTTAATAAATATTACATTAATTTTAATATTTTTGGGCAACAAATTTGTAAACAATTTTTTTTATAAAATAAATAAATAAGTTTTAAATTAATATATAAAATAATTTTTTTGTTAAAAGATACACATTTAAGGTGGTTGCCAATACACATTTTGATGTTAATTGGCGTTAATGATAAAAGATAAATTTAATTGATCGATCGGAGTTATTCATATGTTCGATATAATATATTTGAATTAAGTGTGTACGCCCCTTCGGTGAGCACAATTCGTAACCCTTATAGATGACGGGTATCGCCCTCGCCCTCGGTATTTCTGCAGTGGTTGTATCAGGTTAGCTCCACCCATCATAGATATTCGCATTGGATTACAGGCTGGTTAATGATATAACAAAATATGTTTTTTTTTACTTACATGGATGAGACGATGAAAACGGGTAGTCGATTGACGGTATCCGCGTTGGTGGTGTTGGATGTAGAGGGGGCGCTGGGCAATGATAGCAGAACATTCCACCAGCTGCTCCTGAAATTATAATATAAAAATTATAATATAAATGATGTAAAATAAGTATAAATCAAGAGGATAACTATAAAATTCGCAAAACCATTATCATTTTGTAATAAACCCTAATAATAAACAAGAAATTCTCCTATGATTCCTATTCTACTAATTTTCACTACCGAAACTAGTGCTAAAGCGCAAAATGAATAAACGTGCCCTTTAATTCAAATATTATAGCTTAGTTATACTTGAGTATAATACTATTTTAATAAGTCGAACGTTTATGGTGCTTAAATGATACTTAAAAAATAATTGAAAAAAAAAATTAATTTGCTAATTGAGTAGAATTAATATTAGTCGATACGAGCACGTATACTATGTAGAATGTAATAAAAACTGAAGAGTAGTTTTGTTTTAATGAAATCAATTGAAGTACGTCTAATATTTAAGTACAAAAACCATGTATAACTGTTTAATATAATCAGGGCTTCCAATCACCAAATACAGAAAGAGCTAAATCTTATTATCTTTCATTTACATAATCTTAGACTACTGAAAACACAAATGGAATTAGTGGTAAAATATGTTAGGGAGGTGAGTGGTTGTAACAAGTGGTGAAGTTAACGTTGAGGCAGTACATAATTTTAGGGCACATACACATATTTATACATTTCTCTCATTCGATTCAAACTGTAGTTACACTACTAATTCAGATTACTGGCGTGGCCTTTCCCCCCTTCTAAATCTAAAACCAATTTTGGCGTGGGTTATTAGAAATAGCTCGTATAACACAGTGACATAGTCGCATATAATATTCTAAACTTATATTTGTAATCACAAACGAATTTTCTTAGTTTTCAAGTTTATATTGAATTATAATAAACTCTTGAGCGTTGAGAATTATAAAATACTTAATAAACAACACATCAGTTTTTTAACGTGCACTATGCACAGTGCACACAATACACGCTAATTGAAATTAATTGAATATCGGTCAACGGGCAACAACTATACGACATGGCCTATGCGCATTTTGTAATGCTACATTAAACTATTTTTATATTACGTATTAAGTATAGTACATACGGTGTTTAAATAATAATAATTGATGGAGTATACTAATAGGTTAATTTTAAATTTTCATTTTGCCGATAGTGTTCAAAACTTGAATTATAATCAATATGACATTATGATTCATTTATCGGCGGCGTGGCGTGTTGGTCAAGTTATAAATCAAATTTTTGTTTTATGTCATGTACATATTGATTTAATTGCTGTCCCCACGTGACCCCGGACTGCAAACATGCAATCCATGAAATTTCGGGGACACATGATATTATAAAAGTGTTGTCCCGAAAACCGTCCAAATACAGGGTTTTGTTCAACGCTGCAATAAATATGTATGCAATTTAAATTTTTTCATGCTGTTTCCACTTTGATAGTGTCCTATTTTCGTTGTGCATTGAGCGCATATTACAATAATATATACACGGCCGACCGAGGTGTCCTTCACTGTCATTAAATCAATTTCTAATAATATAAAACACATAATGTACTCACGCGCCGTGCGAGTGTCGATTTGTTTTCCGCTTAATTAGGACGGATCCATTTAAATTAATTTAGCCAATTTATACGTCTGTTATCGTTTCCCTTATGCGCTAATTAACCGACGAGCGTATGGGGCTAGTGTTAATTGTTATTTGTAATGTATGGGACTTAATAGAAGCCCATCACCCGTATATTACAATTACTGCGCGAAGAATACGTGCCTTCCCCACCAAACCCCTTGTACACAAATTATGTAGTATTATTATGTACGTGTATTAATAATTATCACTCCTTCCCTTCGGACGGCTCCTATCCTTCTTTCACCCGTAAGTATTAATACTTAAGGCTTGCCTACGGAGCCTAATTGAAATTAAAAGGGTACACACACACAAACATGTATAGTGTATACTATTTCCACCCCTCGCCCTTTCTCTTGCACCTCCTCTTGCTGGTTATATATTGTTGCTCATTTTAATTACTACATGCATAGCCGTGTAGACGACTTCGTTAAATTAATTAAAATACATCTATTTCGCAGATGTTGGGATGTGCAATTATTGCACTACACACGTTCAACTGGTGTGCGCCTTTCTTATGAGTGATGAGTGCTCATCGAATACAGTGCGAGATGTGCATAATAAACTATTTGTGAATCGTGATGCGATGTAAAATTAAAATATCATTACAAGTGTTAGTTTTTACAATTTTTGTGCACATAGACGTATTTAATAAGTACACATGGGCCATGGCATGTTATATACCTCGACAAATGTGAAGGCATTTCTTATCAAACAGTCGTGGTTCGAAAATGTAGAATTTATAAATAGTATATTATATTAGCACATTATTCAACTCTGAGTACCCAACGCTTATGCGGAAACACCCGGGCTTTTTATTTTTTTAATGTTTATAAGATAATCACTATCAGGAACGAATATGATACGTGTTCGACGTCAAGGGTTTATACTCGTGTTGACCGCCCGAGTTAAATGAAAAGGCAACATTCTGGTGTTTATTCTCTGTAAATCGGTGGTCATTTATGTATAGCATATCGCAGATCAGCTTTCTATACTGATACTTAAGCCGACGTGACTTGTGTGCAAAAAACTGTCCGCCTCGAGTTTTGTCGTTACCGAAGGGACAACATAGACTGAAAGGGCCGGATTCAAATTATCGTCTCCCGGCTTTGTCAATTCAATTCTTTCACCCGCATCGGAACTATACAGATTTACACCTCAAACGTACACAAACGGTTATATGTAATCACACCATTCAAGCGTCACACACATCTGATTACACAGAAGCGATATTTCATCCTCCCTAGTCTTCTGTGGATAACAAATAAAAATTGTGTTGAGTATTCCAGACAAACTTCATGTTCTACACTTTTACAGTATTTCTGTGTCTCGTTCTCTAAATAATAACACACACGATTTATGGATTGCCCTGGTCAATCGCGGTTTTATAACTTAAGATATGATAGTTGTTAATTCCCTTTTAGTATTTTAAACACATTATATGTATACTTAAACTTTTAGAAGATAATTAACCATTGTGATTTTTGACACATGAATGAATATTATTAGCTCACATATATTACAACTAAGTACCAACACATACTTATCTATGGGGACATTGAAAAAGATTATATTAAGACAAAGATTTGATAGTATCTATTCGCAGGATGTAGTTCGTTTTGTTACATATGAGCTGCCGGGAGAAAAAGTGGTGTAAGTCACAAAAGTTTAAAGTTAAGAAATTAAAGGTTAAAGTAAAAAATACGCTGTACAAAAAATTTAAAAGTTCTTCTGTCATCTAGTGGAAAAAAAGCAAAGCAGGACTCAAACCACTTTCGCAGACAATAGATTGAAGATAGGCCTATTGCCTGGTGGTATTCTTCAGTTTGTGCGAAAACGTGACTTACACCACTTTTGCTCTCGACGGCTCATATAAGCTTTTATAATGGCACACATTTTGCGTCAAACTACCTTGGTTTTTATTTGCAAATTATTGAAACATAGAATAATATATTTGTTATAGTCAGGTATTCAATTTACTAGAAAAACAAGTGAAAAATTAGTTTTATTTAAGCATTCCTTTCGTGAAATATATATTACTCGCCATAACTTAAAATGTTTCAAAAATAATTATTCCAGCAAAAGTAAATGCGATATTTAAACAAACGTATAATCTTAATACATAATACATTACAAAGATAAATAATAAAACATAAAAATTGCATTCAAGTTTGCCCCATTTGTTTACTAATATTTGTCTATAGTCTATAATACTTATCTATAATAATGTTTTTAATCATACTTCAATTATTTTAGTCTTTTAATTTGTATCAAACATAAACGGAAACAGTGAAACCTACAATAGTTTTTTTTTAATTGTGTTGTGTTTAAGCAAAATTAATGGTTTAAAAGAAGACCATGACATTATAATCTTGGCGCTTTTAGTTTCACTTAAACTTTAATATTTCTTACACATTTTTTTCATATTTTATAATAATTATTTTATTTGTAGACCTTCTACTGTATTTATTTATAAGATATAACGATACACGCTTAATTTGGATTACTAAAATAGTTCAGTGTAGTTTATTAGTAAAAAAACAAAGAGTTGTTTAAATTATTTGATAACCATACGTGAAAAACAAATAATTTGTAACACGTTTAACATTTAAAACTTGATTATACAAATTACAAAGCATTAGACGAGCGTATTACGTTTTGTATTAAACTTTTATATAAGTTAAAAGTTCCTTGTGTTACTTAACGCGTGAACAGTTTTGTCCAAAAACAATAAACTTCATAACTAAGTTATAACGTGAACGTATAAGTACTCATAAGCTGAAAAATGTTTTTTAAAAGTACATTTCTTCTAACGGGTTTCATTTTATTATAACGAACAGGGTCTATTTTAAGGATTCTCATCAATAATGCATTGAATTTTAAAACCCATAGACGTAAATAAGGCGGGACTGGGACGACAACCCTCTTTTAATTTATGTCTAATTCTCTAAAACTGTTTATTATATATTTGTAATTATATATATATATATATATATATGTGTGCATCTACTAGGTACATATTTATAGTGGTTTTTATTAGACGATGGGAATAAAGCATCTATTGAAGAAAGTATTAGGTTTTTTTCCAATAGTTAAAAAGAAAGTTAAATTAAACAAAAATAATTAAAATAATATAAAAAAGTATAATATGTTTGAGTATTACGAGCCACGTAATATAATATTATATTAATTAGTATTTAAATTCAAGTGTTTTTTTTATTATATATTTTATTTTTTAATATTATAACTCGAAAATTGCAATTTGATCATATTTAAATTAAGATAAACAAATCTAACATTACAAATAAATTTCACTAGTAGAATTATCATTTAAAGAGATTAAGACAAGTGTTAGACTGAAAATGAATGTGAAGCCGTCTAAAGTGATAAGTATATACATATTAGGTTATATTTATAAAAGTAGCGTACAATAATAATTGTCTATATCTTGGTTCATTCAGCATTCAAAAACCTTACAGTTTTTTTTTTTGTACAAAAGTTAATTCGAGCAAAATTAATTTAATTTATATGATTAAAGCGCCATTAGTGCTGTCGAGTTTAGAATTTTAAAGAAAAAACTCGAGTATAATATATTGTAATTTATAGTAATTAAGTAATAAGATAAAAGATTACCTATACAGTGCTACTAAATTTAAATTTCGCGTATTGTAATATATTAATTTGTATATACTTACCCTTACTCAAGAACGGTTTAATTTTTGAAAGTTTTCTATCCTCCACGTCAGAAATTCGTTTAGACGTTGTCGGCGATTATCGGTTCATTTGGTCACGCGGTTGTCAATATTCAGTTGTCATCGAGATAACGTAACAATTATTAATAACTTTTAAAAAAATAAATAACAAATAAACGGTAAAACGTTTTTTTTTTTTTATAAGTTATTCAAAGAAAACCATATTTTCGTTATTCGGGATGTTTCAAAGACGGAAGAAAGTGCGACACCTGCGGCGGAGGCTGTGTGTCCCGTTATAATGCCAACTGATAAGCGAACCGTGTATGTGTGACGTCCCGTTGTAGTGCCGTCGGGGACGCGCGCATGTTCCCGTGGGCGTGGTGTGCGGCAATCCCCACGAAGGGCTGTCGGCCAGGGGTTTGCCGCCAGCACCCGCCCACCGTCTTGGCGGTTGCCGGTTTCGTGCTCGCGTACCCGACTCACCCCAACCGCCCCTGCGTTTTAATTACCCCCGCAAAGTGATTGAAACCGCGATCCCCTTAACCGTGCCACTACCGAATCATCGTCGCATTTATAGTCTTCTCAATTACGTTGTGTAACGTTATTATAAATTGTATAGCGGAGAGCCGAAAAAATGTTTTAAGCCTATAACATACCCATAGGTATAAAAAATCGGGAAAATAAATAAAACGCACGATGTTTCAATGTGTGTTCAGAGCTATATTGTTTTTAAAATTTAGTGCCAACACTCAAAGTTCTCGTCCGGCACACGCCTCTCGAGGGAAAAAAGGTACAACGAAATTGTATTGTAGAGCTTAGTTCAACCCCAAGACGGATTAATGTCTATAATTGTAAATACAACGAGGATGAACTCATTATACTTCCTAAAATGGGTTCTTTCTCGTTTTATTTCCTGGCATTTATTAAAGGGGCTAGTATATGATTCTTATAGATGTATGTTTGTTCTGTAGATTTCGCTCGTTGGAGTACTAGATACTTAGATCAGCGATTTTTATGGAAACAGATTTCAGGTAGTTATTATCACTATTCGAGTTGTTGAAGATTTTCGACTTTTAACTTTCCAAGCAATAATTTAATCAATTTTAATTTTAATATGAAATTACTGAAGTAACTGAATTTAGGATTTTGAGTATTGTTGAATAAGTGGATTAGAGTGAAAATGATAAAGTATCGGTTTTAAAATAACATTTTTTCTTTTAATTTCTGTATACTTTTAAATTCTTTGTAGAGTTAATATAATTAAATACATTAGTTAATCAAAATTCTTATGTGCTTGTAATTTGTATCATATTTATTTCTAGATTTATCAACGATCTGTGACAATGTTTGAGTGGGGTTCGAGACTCCTTGGATTTTCATCCGTAAATGATCTATGTGATGTGGTACAGCAACCTACCAAAGGACGATGGTTGTGCAGGATCAGCTCGGAAGAACAAATGAGTAAGTACTTAGTAACATGGGTAATTGATAAAATTTTATTATTTATTTATTTAGTAACGTAAAATTATTCATTTGTATGTATTATTCATTTGCCTAGGTAGGTTAGCCCAATTTATGAGCGAATATTCGTTTATAGTAAAGTAATTTATTGTTAAGTATAAAATTATAAATTATATATTATTAAAACGTATACATCAGTAAAATTCGTTACTATAGTATTTATAATCTTTAGAAAGAACTAGTTAGTACAAGTAACTAAATACAACATATTTATATAAATACGAAGATATATATATATTTTTTAATATGTGTACACTAAATAAGTTATGGTTATCTAATTAATAATACAAAATAGTACAATTTCTAAAAAATGTTGAAAACAGATTTGGAATTATTTTTTAATTTTCTTATTCTGATTACTAATTATTTTTAATCAAATTTTCTAGTTAATAAAAAAAAATATTGGAAATTAAGAAAGTCGAATATAAAAATGACAAATAACTAATGAGTTTTCACGATTTCAATCATTTGAATAAGGTTTACAGATGGAAATCTTATTGTGTGTTTTGGATAAAAAATACCGATAGATAGAGGCCACTTAAATGTAGCTTTCGTAAAGTATTCCAAGTAGTCAGATCTGGTTTGATTTATAACTAGTTTAAACTTTACGTCCATAATAAATCATTATAAACGTTATCAAAACATCGTTGGTCCGCTACTAATTATTTTCTAGGACGGCATAATTAGTACATCCATGTATTGTATTCCGCTAAAAACAAGCGTCGAAGTTTGTGCATATTATTTATTAAGTCTAGTTATGCAATGTACGGCGTTGTAACTAAATAGTAATTGTTTTAATTTATAATTGTTATTGCGATTTATGAAACGGTCGCCAATCGAGTCACATGACAAATGGTAACGACCATGATTGTCTACAAAAAGTTGTGTTGGATATTGAGTTGTATATATGCCTGTCGGTGATAACTTTAGACACAAAGCCGTCTCGCATAACGAGGAAACAAATCGGATTAAACGAGCGGAGGCGTCCGCAGTGACGGGGAAACCAATTTTCCAGATTGTAAAAAGTTAGTCGTGCCGTAGCCCAGAGGGACGTGTAATGACATTGTCAATCCAATATCAGCGGACGGATGATTGGCGGTGTTTTAATTTTCCACGGCTGCTACCACCGCCATCTCCATCACTACCACTCCCAAAAACTTCATATACCTCGAAGGTATGTTAAATTAGATTCTTGACGAAAAGAAATGTAAATCATTCGAAACACAAAAAACCAGAAAGCAGTGGGATATGAACGTGTAACATAAATTTAAGTACGAGATACCGGCGCGCCATTTGCAATTATTATTAATAATATGATGATGGTATACCGCTATAAAAAAAACCCTATGTACTGAATGGTCTCTAAACTATATTATGTCACGCAGACAATTTATAAAATATTTATTTTATTTTCAGAGTTTGTAAAAACAGAAAACTCTATTCACTATTGTATGAGTATATGTTCTTTACCCTTGAAAAACATTATATTCCTATAATTGAGCTAAAATGTCCTCTATTAAAACCTCTTGAAACCTGAACATTAAAAAAATAAATTAATAACAATTTATTTGAAATTATTATTAGGGCATTTATTGAGTTCAAATTACAATTTGATTTATTATTTGAATTTTTATTTAAGTACATTTTCTACTTGTAATAATTATTTTAAATTTGTGTTTAAAATAATTCCCAGATCATGTTTAGAATCTTCTGAAGTTCTATACCGTACATGCATGCGTCAAGTAGAGTCGCTCACCATAATATTTTTTTCCAACTTTTAATACTTTTGTAATCTTCTTTACTACTATCAAACAGACAGTAATAATATGTGCAATGTGAAATGGTGTAATCGACCACTTTATTTGTCAATTTAGTATCGATTCGATTATTTTGGATATTGTTTAAAAGCAAGTAAGCTATCAGTAAGTTGAGCTGTATAAGACAGTATTAAAATTATGTTTTGCCTTTTCTCGAGAAATTCATTAATACAAATTACCAGAGTTGGGTTGGTAGCTATAGCTACAGAGAAATAACATTGAACACTCGAAAGTTGGACATTTTGTAAGAGAAATAAAAGAAAAAGTAATTAGACTGTTGATAGCTGAATAATAAGAATTATTTGTATTTTACTATTGTTTAAAGCGAAAATAGTATTATAGGAGATAAACGGACACATAGTTCACTCATAAAGTTAAAAGAAATATGGCATAATTTTTCTTGTCTATTCGTTTTTGAATTAGGTAGTACAAATATTTATATAATCGGTATGCGTACAAATAAATACAATTAACATATTTTATTATTTTTCAAACTATATGATTCTTGATGTCGATATTTTACTATTTATCATTGTTACAGTTGCAATGGTAATGGAGAGAAATGCTCTATTATTAGGTATTAAATGTATAGCAGTGTGTTGGTTATTACTTATTAGTAACTAAATTGTAAGCAAAGACTTTGGAGAATGACTCCAAAGCATTAGCTCTATAATAAATTATATGTATTGTAAAACAAATGTTTATGGAGGTATAGGCATTCCAAGGAATATCTTGTTTGCATTTAATGTTTTTATTTTAAATTCAGCTGATTGCCAGCTGTTAGTGAATAAAATCATACCTTGGTAAAGAAAATAAATACGTTTTTATACGCAATTCTAACCCAACACTATTAGGTATATAAAGTATGGCGAATTCGTTCTGAAATAGCTCGAATGAGAAATGGTTTTATAATATTCTATAACTGTATACACAAACGATTATTTTTGCGTTTTACGCGTCGGTTGCAGAATAGAAATTGAAAAGGTCGGTTTGGAAAATTTATCGGAAGGGATTCGGCAAACAGCCCATTATATCGTTTCCCTGCACCTCACCTGAATCCGACCACCATCGTTGTAGATATATATGTACATTGTATATGCCTCCAAGCTCTATAAAACGATTTCCGCTCCGCGTTTTCCAACAACTGAATTGTTTATCGATACAACCGTGATGATATATACGAGCGTGCTCATAGAAATACACGTTTTCCGGAATCAAAAAACAATATCTCTGGGCTATTATAGCCAATTCTCCGTGGTAATGAACCTTTTTTCGCTGCAGTCTACACCCGTCACAAATCCAAATACTTATTGTATATAGTTTACTACGTATACTATTCAATCATCCGTGTAAACTCGACAAGTATTGCGACAAATCGATTGTCTGTCCTACCCAGTTTTAGCAATACATAAACCCTACAAAGCATAAGTTGTTAGTTGTGTCCTTACATACGAACCGTATAAGCTTCGTTACCAGATCGTGAAAAGTTAAAGTTGTTTACTACGAATCGTAAAATTATTTAGTCGACGCTGCTCAATACTTTCTCTCTCTTGGGGACAATTATATTGCTGGTATAGTGACATTAATTCAAAACATTACTAGTAGGGCTCTAGAATAATCAAAACCAGAGAACAGCTACTCTTAATTAGTTATATAATAAAATCTAAAAATAATTTCCTCTCAAAATCTCACCTACTGGCTCTCATATAACAATAGACAACCTGACATCATTTAATTTTTTATAACGATCCTTCCAAATCCCATTTCCTACAACACAACAGATTGCTCATCCCTTTATTTCTGATCACACCCTTGTTCTGTTAACTCTAAACGATATTTTTTACACAACCAAATCTTACCCTAATATTACTCCTGGCAAAACCACCTGACCAATCAATTCTCTATAAAAAGATCCACTCTAACAACATAAATTGCCAGAACT